ACTTTAGTCGCATGCACCGAATGCATCGAAGCAACCTCGGAAACTTATAAGTCATAAAACGCCTCTTTTCCCCGAGGTATCAAATATTACACCTACCAAAAGCGGGTTCTTATTCATACACACGAATATATTCAGCATAAAAGTGTAAGCTACTAAGAATATTTCCCTGTGGGAAAATTCGTGAACTATGGCGTCGTATTTTGCGAAATATTCATGCAAATCTTTTTATAGGCAACAGAAACTGACGGCATTTTCGTACATGCGGCAAAAGTAAGAAGGTTTACATGTTCGTTTATAAAAGACGGATTTGCATTTTCACTGCGTTGAATCCTTGGATGAAACAGAACTTCCAACGAAGTATCTGGATTTATAACGAGTTGAAACCGAAAGAATGTCGGCAAGTTGTTGTTTTTTTAAATTGTTGACAGTCGTTTATTTTGAATGACTTTCCCAACGTTCTGTCTCCTCCCTCTCCCTCTCTCTTTTCCTGAGTTTTATGTTCATATTTCTGAAGTCGGTTCAGAGTTACTTTCAGTTAGTTCAATGCTGGAACTGACTTAACCAAATACGATACAAGAGGAAGAGATGACTTGGTTGTCCCACGAACTAACCTTGCAAGAACAATGAATTCTATTTTTCACAGAGGACTCATGGACTATAACAAGCTTCCTAATGAAATTAAACAAAGTAACACCCTTCAACTCTTCAAACGCTCCTTATCTCAATACCTACGGGCACAATACTATTCCAATTGAGTTGTTCATCATTCTTCTTTCTATTAATCTCTTCATCATCTACCATTGCTATGTTTTACCCAATATATTTCATTATATAGGGTCTTATATATTTCAGTTTTTTTGTAATTCTTTTCATTAACAGGTTATGGATATCTGTTCTATAAGACAAATGTTCATATAAGTAGGGAGGATTCCTATATTTGAATATTTTAAACAATATGCATGCTGCATGAAGACGTCTACGATTAAACATATTCAACCACTTCAAATCTGCTAATTTGTGTGAAATTGTAGACCTTCTTCTGATACCAAATACTAACCTGATACAAGAGTTTTGAACTTTTTGTATGCGACACTTGTCGTTCTTGTCTAAACATGAATGGTAAACAGCGTCACAGTGGTTGAAATGAGATAAAACTAATGAATCACGTAGCATTTTCTTGACATCTACATCCAAATATTGTCTATGGAATATGTGAGTTTCAATGATGAATAAGCAATTTTAAGTTTGTAGGTTATATGTTCATGAAATCTTAGTTTATGATCCAAAATCAACCCCAAATTTTTTGAATACGGTCTGAATTGTATCTCAGAGTTTCCCATTCTCAAACTGTAGTTTTTTACTTCTTCCCTGATGCTATCACTTCCAAAAATAATAGCTACTGATTTTTTTGGATTGATTTTCAACATATGGTCGGTGGACACTTTTAGAATCGTATTTAAATCAAAATTTATATCGGTTACTGCTTGACCTATATCTGAAGATTTGAAAGATGAATATATTTGAGAGTCATCTGCATAAAGGTGATATTTACAAGACTTCATCTTATTGATGAATGTGGCAGTATAGAGGGTATAGAACAGTGGGCCTAAAATGCTGCCTGGGGTACTCCTGTTTTAACTTCTCTCCAAGTACAATAGATATCACGAATCTGTACTTTTTGTAATCTTTTATCTTGATAAGATGATATCAACATCACTGATGCATCACTGAACCCAAAAAAATGTAATATAGCGCAAAGTATTTTATGATTGGTGGTATCAAATTCTTTTGAATAATCCAACAGAATCGAAATGGTGAGAACAATACTCCAAAGAAGATCTGATCTGAGTTTTATAAAGCACTGATTCGGAACAGTGTTCCAAGCTTTTGAGAAGCAGTATTTGCAATTTCAGCCACATGATTGTGGCTGAAATTGCAAATGCTTTATGGAGTGGTACAGTCTATCCTATTATACGGAGCCCTGGTGTGGTACGGGGCACTGAAAATTGAAAGATACAAAGCAAAAATGGCCAGCGTCCAAAGGAAGGCATTAATACGGGTAACAAGTGCATACAGAATCGCGTCAGCAGCGTCGCTCCAAGTAATATCGGGAATTCCACCAATACACTTACTGGCGGAAGAAAGTGCATACACATCTGCAAGCTCTTGCGGGAATAGGAAAGGAGTAAGAGAGGCAGCTAGAGAAAGGACAATGAAGAGGTGGCAGAAAGAATGGGAAGATCATGGAAGCCAAACACAAGAAAACGGATTACTACTTCAGTCAGTTTCTTACCGGTCATGGAGCGTTCAAAAAATACACTGAGATGATCGGAAAAACGGAGGATGGTAGATGCGAGGAGTGCGGAAGAAGGGATATACCAATCCACGTGGTATTCGAATGCCCAAGGTATGAAAACGAAAGGAACACGATGGAAAAGGAAGTAGACATTTATCTTTTTGGAGAAAACCGCAATAGCTCTTGACTAAAGTCTTCCAAATTTCTAAGGATATGGTGGTTCACGGCTTTCTTCATGATTTTTGATATAACTAATAGCAAAGCGACTGGTCTATAGTTATTTGGAAGATTTGGGAATAGGCTGAACGAGAGCAACATTCCAACAAGAAGGAAAAACCCCTTCCTTGTAAGACAGGTTGAAAAGTCTGCAAAATACTGGTGCGAGTTCATTGGTGCACTTTTTAAGTACGATGTGTAAATAAAATTCTGAAACCTACATTTATTTGTTCCAAATTGTTCAATAATTCGTTTTAATTATCGGTTTGTTACAGTACAAAAAGGAATTCTAGATATTGCAATTAGAGGAATTGAAAAACACAAAATATTTCATCCTTTTTAAATATAATAATAACATACAGTTGGAAACACGACCCACTCTTTGATGGTTCTAAGCCTCACTAGCACGTTGAAACCAGAACATTCATAATCCAACACCAGACCTCCACAGGTCTCACCAGTACATAGGCAGCGGTTCTAGGCTGAAGAATGCATTGCTGGGATCAACGAATTTATTTCCGAACTCAAGTGTCCTCAAATGACAAGTCTGGGTACGTTCGTGATCAATTTCGAAACTTTGCTTTGCAACGTACCATTCTAAGTCAGTTTATATTTATAGTAACCGCTTGGGTTATAGCGATACCAAAAGGGTCTTCATTATAAGAGGTGTATTCGGCATATCTGTAGATGGTGACGTTTTCATAAAGGACAATGTCATCGCCTCTATTTTCTCAGGACTGTTTTTTAAGGACAGTTCCAGCAAAGAACTACCCATGAGACCTATGACGGATCGAGAACTCAATCCATGAATATCAAAGAGAAATGAGGCTCATCCAGGGTGGACCTTTGCAAATCCAAATTTCAATATCGACGACCGACGAGATACGTCGTCTGTCTTTCACTGTAATGCCACTAGTTGAGACCAGAGCCCAGAAACAAAGCTTTATGTCTTGTATTGGATTACGATTGCTTTGTTTTTGGGCTCAGGTGTTAGTGGCCTTTTAGTGAAAGACAGAGGACGTATCTCGTTCGGTCGTCGATGTTGAAGCTTGGCTTTGCAACGGTACACCCTGGATGAGCCTCATTTATCTTTGATATCCATGGATTGAGTTTCCTTTACATATCATAGATAGCGTTTTTATAAGGGGAGATGTCATCGATCAACTATTGTTATTTTAGTTTTTCCTGTACACGTACGTTCACGCCCTCATGATGATCGATCATGGAACACTAAAGACCACTTGTAGATTTTTTCTACTTCACCTCTCTTCTGATCCCAGGATACAACCGAATTTCCCTCCCCGCTCTCATGATAGTCTTTTTGATAATTATATAATTAAGGCCTTAATTATTTTCTTTAAGTTATTTCGTTTCAGTCCAGTTTGCTCTTTATCTCCGCTCTTTATGTACCATTCAATGGATGTAACTTCTTCATATGCATCTTTCAAAACGAATTTCTTGATTGTAGAGTGCCCTGCATATGAAATATCTCTTACACCAAATAGTTTGATTAATGGTCTTTATATGCTTTCCTTCACCAAAAATGAATTAAAGAACTTATAAGCTTAGCTCATTTGAGAGGCACAGACAGGGCCGTCGCCATGGGGGGAGATGGAAGGGGAGCCTCCCCCCCTGCTTTTTCGACTTGGGAAAAAGTTGGGAAATTTTTGGTCATGAAGTAGAAGAAAATAATAGTAACAAAATAAATAAAAATTAAAAAAAAAAAGGGAAAGGTAATAAGAAAAGGGGAAGAATCAGGGTAAGGAGAACCAGGAAAAGTTTAATTTCTCCCAAGTAAGAGAACAATCCTGAACATTCCACAAATTTTGAAGTGACAATTTTACAAAATTCCCAACTTTTCACTGTTTTTTCGACTTGGAAAAGTTGGGAAATTTCGGGCCGTGAAGATAGAAAAAATGATAGTAGAAAACAATAAGCACAATATTATTTAAATGTTGTTTCCTTTCATTTGTATTGAATATTCCTATATATGGTGGATATGGTGGAAGACCAAGGACTTTGGTCCAAAGTAGAATAATTCAGACAATCTTTGGATAGCTAAGTAAGAAATTTAATGTATTATAGTATTAACTAATCCCTCGGCTTTCATTTTCTCGAAAGTTGGGAAATTTTGCTGGTGGGCTTGGGAAAATTTGGATTCCCTCCCCCCCCTGGTTTTTCATTTCGCTACGGCCCTGGGCACAGACAATTTCTGGTATTGGCATTTTATATATCTCAAGCTTAACGTCCATCACTTTTCACTACCAGTCCAATATTTTCAATAGGTATCACCAGTTTTTATTCTTTAACTAAATGCTGTCACCTCTCGGAAGTTTGAATAAGTACGGTCGCTTATGTCTGAAAACAAGAACCGAAAAGAAAGAACTCTGTTGTGTTGTAGATATTTTGTGTCAATCAGTTGAAAGATGACATTCTTGTCAGAAAAATTTCTTGACATTTTATTTATTTGTTTTTTTGTACCGTACAATTATGTGATTTAAAATTAATAAAAAGAATCTTCAAAAAAACTTATGAATGAAAACTAGTCCATAAGAATAGATGATACCTGTTTCTTCAATAAGAATGTAATTAACTCTCCTTTTAACAATAATTTCCAGAACATGGATTGTTGTGGGTTATGTTTACAAAAAGCGGAATTAAATTATCTTAGTTGCCCAGAAAGCTTGGGAATCCTAGAAAACTTTCTCCAACAGACGGTAAAAACCTTTACATATACGTAAAAAGTAAATCAAAGTGAACTTTCATTCATTTATAGAGCAAATGGTTTATGGAAACACTCATGCTTTGTGAAACATGCCAAGACAATGCAGAATCTGTGAAAACATTAATGACAAATATTCAGGAATCAACTGCAAAAATTCAAGCAGTCATGAAAGAGTCTGGTCTTGATACTATTGATCTTCAGAGACTTCATAAGAATGTTGGTATAGTCACTGGCAATAGATCTGTCTGCAGATTGTGCCTCAAGGTTTTTGGTAAAGCAAGGATATTCCTGTATGAAAACGGGGTCAATATACTAGACCACGATCTCATCAAAAGTATGTTCAACTTTTGTAATATAACATTGGTAAGCACTACTTACTGGTATTCATTCATTTTATCCACAATTCATACTTTGTAGGTATGTTATTTCATTGTACAAGGTTAATACCTAAAAAATATTGATGTTTTAAGTTCCAAGTTAAGTGTCCAGGGCTTGACAATTATAGTAAATAATCAACTCCAAATATCAACATTTTTTCCATTAATAATAATAATAATTGCTTTTATTGATAAAATACAATACAACATATAGTTGATATAAAAAAAACAGGCAGTTCTTAAATGATATCCTACATTTTTGTCAAAAGGCAGAATTCAGGTTCTGATCTTGTCATTTGAGAAACGCAATCAGAACTTGCTCTTCCATTCAACCATTCCATTCAAAATTGTTCTTCTCCACAACGGGCCATGGATCTATACATAAACTGAATGCTACATAAGTTATTTTAAATTTCTCTTGCAGGACTTGCAAATTTCGAAAAATCCAGTGATGTGTTTTGATTGTTGGCAACTTCTTCAAGCTTCCTATAGCTTCAAAAAGGACTATCTTGAAACTGATAGAAAGATCCGGTTATACTGCAAGGTCTTCAGAATTAGAAGGAGAACCTTAGACAACAGCTCTCTGCATAAAGTTGGTTTATATTTCAATGAAGAAGTCCCTTCTGATATGCAGTTGATCAATAATAATGAAAGTTCCTTAAGTGAACATAAAATAGAAGTGAAACAGGAATTTGACTCTCCTAGTATAAATCATATCAAACGGGAGTATCCTCAACGAATCAAAAGGGAGTATCCAGGTAGGAGTCATTTAGATGTGAAATAATTCAAGTTGTCTCGAATTCAAATATTTGAAGACTTAAAGAAATCAAGAAGATTCAAGTTGAGAGGTAGATATATAAATGAGATCATGAAAGGTAGAACTGAAACCAGCAATACAATAAACTTCCTGTAGACTTCACAAACATTGCTTCTAGAACTGAATAACTGTTCAGAAAGTAGGCTGATTGAGTATGATTTTACCATGTTGAAGTTATCAAACAATAGTTACACCAACATGTTTTGTGGAACTTTTTTATTTTTTTCACCTATAAAGTCCATCTTTATAATAATAACAATAATTAAAGTTTATTCATGACATTTATAATATATACATCGGTAATAAACATACTTCCAAATAAACTAATAATAACCTTGAGAAGTGAAACTTGTGCCAAAGTAAGTCATATAAAAAGATACATCTTTATTCATATACAAAGTATATGAACATAATATGTGAAAAAAAGAAAATAACAAATGAATACATAAATTGTAAACATGTGCTTGATTAATAAAAATATATGAATTACTTAAATAAAATTATTCAGAAATGTAGTTGATGAAATGTTCATCATGATTTATTGAAATTCATTATATCATGAAAAAAAAATCCTGAAGTCCCTATTATCCATTCTTTAATTTTATTTTTATATGAAAAAAAAGATTTGTAATTTTTTTTTTGTTTTTATATACATACTTTTTGTTTTCATTATTTTGTTATTTTAGTATTGTTATAAATAACTACAAGATTATATTAATCAAAGAATACTTTGCAGGCCATAATACCAGATCTATTCTGATTATTGGCCAATTATATGTTTATAAATAACTCATAATACTGTGTTGGTTTACTGATATCTTCAAACTTAGTTCAAGAGTGAACCTTCACTCAACCTAATGTATTTACTGATAAAGTTTGTAATAGAAAGTTGTTGTAATATCACTAAATTGTTTCAGGGTCTACAAATTCATCAAAATTAATAAAAGTACTCTCTAGAAAGCGGCACTTTAGTTCGGAAGATGACAGGGTATTATTGAGAATTTACTTCGAAAAAGATATGGTAGAAAATTCCTCATTCGGGTAAATATATATTCTAATTTTCCAATAGTTTTTTCCAGTCTGAAAGTTACTTTTTTGCATGATCTACACATCTTTATAAATAGTTTATTTTGATATCAGATGCTTTCTTCTTTTCTTTGGAAAATTTCCAAAACCTTTCTCTCCCGAAAATAAAGATCTCAATCAGAAGCTGGTCTCAAAACCTGTCTTCAAACTATTCTGCTAGGCCGCAATTAGCTTTGAGACTGAAAGTTCTTTTACGCGGTTACAAATTGCTTTGAGGTTTACTGTACTAATTTTCATTCCTGCAAGATCTTTCACATATGTCTGTAATGAGAAAGGACCTAGCACGGATCCTTGAGAAACTCCATGGCTTATTTTGGAGAGGCCGGATACGGCCTGGAAAATTTGATTTCTGTCAGATGTATAAGAGATTGATGAATCGAGGGCTGGTCCTCTGGAACCATAAAGGAATGATTTATTCAACAATATTCAGTGATTCATAGAGTCAAAAGCCTTAGAGAAATCACAGCTGCGGCCCCACCTTGATCAAGGCCCAAATATAATTCCCCCAAGAAGTCAGATATATTAGATTGTTTCAAGAGTTTTGTCCGTTTCAATGTCATGTGTTTTTGTAGCTTCATATCTCAATAAACATTTATTCTGCTGATCAATAGAGAATTTTGTGCTCTAGGCGTTGATGCCGTTCATTTTTTGTCTCTTTTCAGTTTATTACTATATGATGTCTATAAGCGATTTTTGGCCAATTTTTCTCTACGGACTCAAATTGAGCCAAAGCGCTGTCGAAACAACCTGAAAAAATTAATCAGGCATTTGGCAATCAATCAATGAATCATTTATTTGATCCTGTGGAACTTACATAGTTGAAGGACAAGTCAATGATAGTGTTTATGAATGCACTGTTCGATGTTGGTTTGCAGAATTTCATTCTGGAGATTTTAGCGTCGAAGTGTTCGACCTACAGTAATCCAGGACGAGGATGATTTTAGGACCCTGGTGGAGACTGACCAATCACAAACGGTGCGTGGGATGGCGTAAACCTGGGCGTCAGCTCCCATGGAGTTTTTTATGATTTAACACGTATTGGAAAGGTCGAAAAGCTCAGAAAGTGAATGCCCTATAATTTGAACGATGGACAAAAATTGTCACATTCTGAGGTCTGTTCTTCTTTGCTCTTGCGCAACCAAAACGATCCTTCTTTGAATCAGGACCAAGCAAAAACGGCCATCGTCGACTTCATCGAATCCCGAATACTCACTAATTCAAATGGCGCTTATTTCGATTAAATTAATAAGTATTCGCTGAGATATTGAAGTTTGAAGTGAACTCATAAAAATGGACAAAACTTTTGAAACGACCTAATAGCATGCTTGTACACTAGGATGTTTGAAAACCGAATTGTTAATTGCTCAATTTTTATGCTGATCATCATTTATTTTTATCCAGATTGTTTCAATAGAGTTTGTTTACAATATGTGTATCTGAAATCAACATTGTGTCTTCCTCATTAGCCACACGTAGGCATTTTCTGTTTTTAGGGTATGGAAAGAATTACAAAAAAATTTCAATGAACTCAGAGCCAATAGACAATCGAGTGTTATGTCACTACGGTACAGAATAGGTGCTCTTTTGAATCAGTCGCGTCTGAAGGGCCTATCGAAAGAGGAAATTGAGAAAATAAGGCGCAATGCTAGAAAAAAGTTAAATTCAAAGAAAAATATTAATGTGGGTCTGAATCCTCCCATTCTAGAAGAAATATCACCTGCCGCACAGGAAACTCAGAAAATCGATATTGCACGAAAAGGAAATAATGATGTTCCTCATCTAGAAGTTGAAGGCAGGTATACACCTTCAACACAAACCAATGGAAAAATCACTGATGTATCACCGTATCAGAGTACTCCTACAATCGACAAAGTTACACCAGGTGATGACAAAGAAGCGGAATATCCATTCAGAAAGGATGATTCTGATTCGGATGATTATTTTGTAGATGAAGGTAACGACTTGAATTTTTCTAAAAATGAATCATCATGTCACACATCATGTTCACACCGTATGAGAATTTCCTTTATGATAGATATAGGTAGTTGAAATATGGTTTGGTTTCTGAAAAGTGCAATCATTTGGAATGAAATGACTTTCTGTAATGTTCCTAGGGATGATATCGATTTCAATTCCATAACAAATGTTTTCAGTACTGAATGGGGGAGTGAAATGAACTTTTCCATTTCGTGTTTGTTAAACGGATGAAAAACATATCTTTCAATGAATTGGTGTTCAATAAATGTATAGGTTTGTATAATTATGTGGTCGGTTCTAAGAGTGGCAAGTTACATTTTTTTGCTTCATTTTGGCGTAGAGCTCCATCAGAAATCAAGTATAGGCGAAATGAGAGCCTATGTGTTCTCACAATCTGAGTTCTCTGTTTAAGGTACGATTCTATCCAATCATAACTCTGTTTTCTGAAACCATACTGGTTTAGTTTACGCAGTAGAATTTTATGGTTTACACAGTCAAATGCTTTTGACAGGTCGCAAAACACCGCCGCACATGCGTCTCCACGGTTTAGTGTAGTGTACAGTTCATTAAGGAAGACAAACATGGCATCTCCAGTTCCTTTCCTACCCTGAAAGCCAAATTGCTGCCTATTTAGAATTTTATTTCTTTCCACGAACTCCATTATTCTTACCTTTACTAGTTTCTCAATGATTTTACCAAGAATTGGTATAAGCGATATTGGCCTATAATTGCAAGGGTCATTAATATCACCACCTTTATAGATTGGAATTACTAAAGTGGTTTTTAGGAAGTCCGGATATGTTCCCGTCACAAACGAGTTGTTAATAAGTTGGACTAGTAATTCTAAAACGAAAATAGGCATGTTTTCAATGATACTAACTGAGATACTGTCAATGAATCGAAGGACGCTGAAGGAATACCTGTCGCACACCAGTTTTCTCACATAACTTTACTATTCCTCCATTTTTTTTATCTGGCCTTTTACAATAGGTTATGCTCTCAACAGATCACTTTGTAGGTCAATACTTTTTTTTCTGCACAGGCAAAAGTCATAAAGAAACCCAAAAACCAATTTGGACTAGGACTATTACAAGCAGAGGTATGAACAAAATGCGTTCGTCTTTGCTCGAATTTGACTGGACTATTTTTATCCCAAGCCCAGATTTGTCTTCTCTGTTGGTGAAAATTTACAATGATCTTATTGATGATATATTTCCAATGAAACTAATGAAATCGAGGTTCAATGTGAAACCTGTGTCTTGGTCCAATGACGAATTGAGAAAACATCGTGATAATCTATCAAAACTGAAAATTATATGTGACAGTACCAAGGCACCTGAAGATACAAATAACTTTAAAAAATTCAAAAAAGACTATAATATGCAAAAAATTAGCAAATAATTCATATATTATTGAAGCTGAAAACAAATCTAAAGCTAGCTGGAACATTGTGAATTTTCACAGAAAGAAGACTAAACAAAGTTGTTTGCCAATATCGTAAAATCTCTACCTAATCTACCTATCTCTGAATTGGTGAACTTTAGAAATTTTCCCTCTCCTGGCTCTTCATTTTTTTTAACTCCTGTTACATGTGATGAAGTACAAAAAATCATTACATCTTTGAAAAATTCGGCTTGTCCGGATATCAATGGAATAAATAGTCGAATTATTAAGGAAACTCTGGATATTATTCTTGTCCCATTTACCAATGGCATTTACCAATGGGACAAAATTAATTAAGAAAAGACTCGCCAAATATTTCGAAATCAATAATTTTTTTTGCAGTTATCAATTTGGTTTTCGCGAAAACTGCTCTACCACCGATGCTACTATGAGTTTTGTCAAAGGCATAGTTGAGGGACTTGAGACCGGGAAGGTTGTGGATGTCACACTATTGGACCTGTTAAAGGCCTTTGTCTGTGTTTCCCACAGCATTTTACTCGAAAAACTGTCATATTATTGTGTAAGAGGGACTCCTTTGGGTTTGATTGAAACTTACCTGAATAATCGTTTCCAGAGAGTTTTTTATAACAATAAATTTTCTAAGCTGAGGCCGATTGACCTAGGTGTACCGCAGGGATCGGTTTTGGGTCCGCTTTTGTTCGTTATTTACATCAATGATTTTTACAACTATATGAAGCCATGTCATAGTGTACTATTTGCTGACGATACATCCTTGATATACTCTTCTATGAATTATTCAGCTCTTGTTGATAAATCTATGGAAATACAAGAAAAAGCGGAGCACTGTTCAGTGTCAACAAACTCATGATGAATAAGAAAAAATCACAAAATATGAGTGTTTCTATGGCTCTGCCTTTACCTGAATTCCAGTGTGTCAAGTTATTGGGTTTTACTCTGGACAATAGGTTAAATTGGTCAAGCCACATTTCAAGTTTGAAAAGTAAGCTATCGAGTGCCTTTTTTTTACCTAGACAGCTGAAACCAATAACAAATTTCACTACGCTGAGAATAGTATTTTACTCGCTCATACAGTCTCACATTTCTTACGGTATTCTACTTCGGGGAAATTCTAGTGATGTCCAATGCATTTTTATATTACAGAAAAAAGCTCTGAGAATTCTTGCTGGAATCGGTTTTAGGGATTCTTGCCGTGAATCATTCATCACTCATGAAATTATTTCGGTGCCTTCTTTGTATGTTTACTTAAGCCTATTAGATATTCACAAAAGAGCCCCCTTGTTTCCCAAGTATGATACATGTAACAGCAATTTTATTAGACCTCAACGTTTCAGGCTGATGAAATCACAAAAAAACTTCTACGATTTTAAATTGTATAATGCACTTCCTGCCAATATTAAAAATATGAATATGTTTTGTTTTAAAAAAGTTATAAAAAAAATGTTTTTATTCCACTTCAGAATATTTAGAACATGTGCGTAGACACACTTTTGACACAAGGAAGATGCTCGCCGAACCTCCACACTTAATTTGAATATGTTAATATACCCTGTAAACTTGTTACAAATTTTTACTGTTCATTTTATTTTATAGACTTGTCATTAATGTATTTTATACATAACATGATCAAATAAATATATCTATTTATCTATATTTTTAAATACCACACTATCAGAACAGTAACACTTACAAATAATATCAATCCCTTAATGCTGCTTGTATATGCATATAATATTTTTCGTTAGTCATGTTTAACTAACACAAACAAACTATAGATGGTTTGTCCACTCGAAAGAATGCCACGTATAATTGTCTGTGCGAAAAACATGTTGTGCTCACATCAAAAAACGGACATTGTTTGGCCTTGGGACTCATTAATAGTCATTGCAAATGCCAATTTAATTGGAGAATGAAATGGCACATCTATAGGTATAATGAGGATTCGTGGTATCAATATATAAGTATTTTCACCCCGGAACTTACCATTCAAAATGCTGGCTTTGACAGAGCGTTTTTCATCAATTTTTTTAATGACTAATCGCGTGTTATTGCACAGCCGTGGTGGATTCAAATAACCCAACCTTCAGTTGTAATAATGGCCGAAAATTGTGTAGGCAGTGAGAGAAGTCCTATTGTGTAAAACATGTAGGAGGGAATAACTGATCTTACTAAAATTACTTTAATGACAATTACAAAATAGGGGTTGGTGAAAAGAGAGGGAAAATTGAGGGTATTTTACAATGCTACATCATAAAAAAATAAATAAGGAAATTTTCTCCACTCCCTTATCACTTAGGGGTGTGAAAAATAAACTAAAATCCTCTTCTCAGAACTACCGAATATACATATAAAATTTCATGAAAATCGATTGAGCTCTTTCCGAGGAGTATGGCAACTAACACTGTGACACGAAAATGTTGTGTATTAGATATATGGGTAATTTACTAATCATTATTATCTGTCGATGAGCATCATTGCATTTTGGGACATTATCTTGACTTTTATCCAGAAGCAATACAATCATTTTTCCAGCTGCCCCATCAAGTTTCACGCCTAACATCAAAGCTGAACCTTTGAGCGATGATAATGAGGAAATAAGGATAATTGAACCGAGTATAGTTGTGAGGAATAATGAATCGAAAGTCCTATCTGACGATGAGTTGCCTACGTTAGAAAGGATGGATTTGCCCCCATTGCAAATCAAAATTCAAGATTTTTATAGTGTGGATGTGAAAAGGGAAGAATTAAATATGTTGACTAATGAAGGGGATCGGGACAATCCTTTTTTAGTTGTCGAAGATCTGAAAACTTGTAGGAGGTAAGTAAAATTTAAAATTGCATAAAATTCAAATAAGAGAAACATAAATGTATTTTATACTCAACATTGCACAGAACATTTGATAACTCCTGCAATGAAGCTGAATCAATAATTAGTAATAATGATAATCCACAAACGTTCATTAACATAGAAACTGAGTACTTTGGTCTTTCGAGCCGGATGCAACTAATAAAACCCTTAAGTTTAGAGAAGCTGTTCAGGGATTTGTATATAAGTGACAATACATTAAAATAGTTTTATTACACCAAACTAGCACAAAATACATAAATATAAAAACTATTCATAGCTTTATGTAAATAAATATTGAATGTTTTTGTATATTGCATTTGATATCAACTGTTTCTTCAACTAACTGCCGCACAGTGATGGCCATGCTTATTATTTATACGGTTGAATCCCATTCACTGGATGCATTTGAGAATTTTTTACTACTCAACAGTCCCCATAGAGATACTTTCCACTCATTCTCGAGTTTTTGAGAAGGTATTACGGATAGATAGACGGCATCTGGTTGTGGTAAAAATGACTGAATAATTCCACGAAAGCAATGATGTACATGAGTGATATATCAGAGTCTTAATAGGCCATCACTTAAATGTTAGGTTACAGAACGGTAATGACAGTAGTTTCAAGAGTATGTTGGTTTCGATATTAAATACTAGAAATCGTACGTTAAATGGTGAGACCTCATTGATCCTCAGCTCTGAGGGTTATCGTTCGTAAGGAGCGACAGCTGATTAAAGGAAAAACTGGATTTCATCAAATTTGAAATTCATCTACAGTCATCAATATTTTTTCAAGAATGCCTTGAATAGCACACTGTTGAGAACCAGCTCTATTTTGGTTAGTTATTTTTATATTTTCTTATAGGATAGGTTTAAAAAATGAAGAAAGCAGTGTGTTCAAGTGTATGCAATGCAGTTTCGAAACAAAGCATAGGTTTTGTGCGGACAGACATTCTAAATGGCATGGAAAAACGAAAAAGAAGCTTTACGAATGTCAACTCTGTTCATATCGAATATCGAACAAAATAGCGTATGAACGCCATATGAGATTCCATAAAGAGAAGTCTTCTTTTGATGGTAAGATTTGTGGTAGATATTTTTCACAATAAAATTTAGTTGAAATATTTAGTTCAATACATAGTTGTCTAATTATGGTAATCACTATTGGTTTGAAAGTTAAACTAGATTATTTCTCACTATATACTCACTAGATTGTCTGTCAAGCCAGAGAGGAATTTATAAATATACCCAATAATTTTTTTCTGGTGTATTTTTAGTGTTCGAAGAGAGTGAAATTAATATTTTTTGAGAAAAATGAAATTCCATGTTATTTTTTGAACATACCTCATATTCGAAATTTAGATAACTAATGGGAAGAATAAAATTATTCAGAAGTAACAATGGTATTCTTTTTTATAAAATTCCTATAATAGGAGAAATTCGTTTTCCAGAAATTTTTACTCACACCAGATTAATTTTGAATTTATATTCCAAAAAAGCTGAGGAGTTCCAGAATACTTAATAACAGATTTGACAATATCATTATAGTGTTAACATAGTATTTCAAAATATATGTAGATTTTGGTGATGAAATTAATTTGCATTTTTCAAAATTCAATATCATAATATTGTCTCAAGACTGTAGACACAAGAAAATATTACTGTGGCATCAACAAAACGTTTTAATTTTTCTATTCCAATAAAAAATGAATAAAAAGGAATAAGATTTGTCTAGGAGTCAACTCTTGTGGAACACCACATCAAACTGTTATCGAGGACTTATTTTAGTCCTTCAATTACGAACTAATGAAGAAGAAATGTTCCTTTTCTATCTGTATACAACATATAGCTTGGGTGGAAAGAGTCAAATTCATTCCCTTTGTCAGACTCCACACTAAATCTCTGAATATTTCATCATTTCATTTTCGGCAATATTTCAAAATTCCTTGTGAAATAGAAATTTTTTTTTAATAAAATGTGTGTTCTGCTTATAAATTAAGTCTGCAAATTAATATCTCAAAAAAAGTGAATTTGCAGAAAGATGTCTGAAATATTATAACTGATATGTTACTTTTTTTTCAGATATTCCTGTTTTATATCCATTTACCATGCAATACTAACTGGACTGTTCACACTGTTCTGAAACTTTCAAGGATTCTGAAACTAAAATGATGTTTTTGAAAAGTATAATAATGTGATATGTTTGCTTAGAATTAGTAATTATTTTTCTCAAAAACTAGTAAATATATTGACTGAGGCTTTCTTGAGCAAATTTCATTATATTTGTTGCTTTTCATAACTGCTTATTGTCATTTATTTTTAGTTTCGCGTTTCGCCAACATGGGTAATTGGCATCTTCAGGCATTATTTGCTTCTTTTGAACCGTCCCTGTTTTCCAGAGATTTGGTAGAAATTGCAGAAAAAATAAGCTCCAAAAGAGAGAGAACTCGAAAGAGAAAAAACAATCTTCATGCCCCCTTGAAGAGGCCAACTCATGCCTCCAAAACACTGAGTATATCACTGGAAATAAACGACAATCCACAATCCTGAAAAGAAAACAAATAAAGTGAATGTGTCATTCTGTTCTTTTTGTGATTATTTTTTCGATTTATTTGGAATATATCAGTTTGGGTATTGTCAAGTGCAGCGTGATAATGTTTATACCCATATGTGTATATATACAAAATTTTGTATTTTTTTTATTTCACAATAAATTTTTTTATTTTCAGAATAAGTGAGTTTTTACCTTTTCTTTGAATATTGTGTATTATTATCAAACTAAAATTAGCTACAATTATATCCAATTTCTAAAAAAGAGAACCTAATAACTTTTCTATTAAGTTGTTTCAAAAAGTTTTGTTCGTTTTTATGACCCTACTTTAAACTGTAATATATCTATATGAAATAGGCACCATTTGAATTAGTTAACTTTTGCCAAAGTAACAAGTCGATTAATTCCGTCGGAATGAAAATTGAGTGCTCTGTATTTGATGAAGTCAACGAAGGCTACTTTGGCCTGGTCCTGCCGTTGAGGAAGTGCTTGAAAAGATGGTAGTCGGTTGACAAGGAGTCTGGAGAGTATGGTGAGCGAGGTAGAACTTCGACGCTCAATTCGTTTAATTTTCAGATGTTGATTTGTGAAATGTGCGGATGGGCATTATCATGAAGCAAAATCGGACCTCTTTTGTTGACCACTGCTGGCTGCTGTTGACGTAATTTTTTGTACATTCAATTTCATCACAATAGAACTGCTGTGATGGTTTGGCCTGGTTGAAGTAAGTTATAGCAAATCAAACCAACCGCTGACCATACAGTAACCATGGTCTTTTTTGGTGAGTTTTCGTCTTCGGGAAGTGCCTAGGGGCTCATCGAAATCCAACCATTGTCCTGTTGTCATAGAGGACCTATTGTTTATCACATGTAACTGATGTTACTGCAGTTTCCTCCTATAAGGATGTTTTCAAACAATTTCAATTGTAATTGTTTGAAAATGTCCTTAGAGGGCTGCAGTAATATTAGTTACAAATAAAAGTGGTAAAAAACAGAAAGTTTCATTTCCCATTTTTCAAAATAGTGTTCATACACTACCCGTCAAAGAAAACTCCCCATTGATTCACATTGTGACTTTCTTGAAGTAAAAGTTTGGTGTAAGTATAAACGAGGCACAAGAATCCGTTCATGAACAGCTCAAAATTTCTTCGCCTTGAGGAGATGAAGAATGATCTTCTGCATGGTGTTTTCCAAATTTCAAAGTGGGGTGAGAATATTTGATAATTTGAAAAAAAATACAATAATTGAATTATCTTATTCGGAATAGCAAGAGTTGGAAATCATTCATAAATATATATAAACAATTAGACATATAGTAATAATTATAATACAAAAGGAATGAATTCAACTATGTGATGTTTTTTCAAGTTGCCTTCAGTTTTTCCTCAGTCGAGGATGTATTTTCTTGAATCTCTTGTATTTCTTTCTTCTTGTTCCAACTGCAGTCACAACTGAACTCGCATTTTTTGTCTTCACCTTCTTTTATTGAAGTTTTTTCCCAAGGATTCCAGAATTTTAATAGGATTGGTTGAATGTAGCGGTGGAAAATGAAGAGTAGCAGAGGAATCACAAAACAAGGAACACATCCAGCCATTCTGTAGGCAAGATATTAGATATGTGTATGGAACTGAAAAAATTTTAGAAGTGGGTGACGACTGTTTATACCTCAGAGTAATAATGACAATGACAGTTTATACCTTTGATAATTTGACGATTGACTGAAAGAAACAAAAGTGGAGAATAAAACTATCTTCTTCTTATTTTCCGTTCTTTGGCCTTTGCAATCAGAGCTATCCGGTCAATTGCTTACGAAAATTATTTGTTAAACCATTTTTAGCCACACTCACCTGAGCGTGGGACAAACAAACCTATCCACATTTGGGTGGCAACTGTAGAAAGTAGTAGCCAGCATCTTTTAGAGCACAAACAATTGATGCTGCTCCACTTTCACAACTGCTATCAAACATCAGTCGATGCTTTTTTCACGATTTAGATTACCTAGTTATATCCATTCTGATCGTGGATCTTCATTCATGTCTTCAGAATTCAAAGGATTTTTTCAATCGAAAAGCATTAGCTCAAGAAAATGGTCAATGTAAATGAGAGAATGGAATAATTTGGAAAACAATTGTGTTGGCTCTTTATTCTAGAAGACTGAAAATATTGCAGTTAGAATCAGTATTGCAAGAAACAACATTCGTTATGAACATGAAATATTGGATCTGGATTATTAATCATTTCAATGAATGTATTATATATCAATTCGAAAGGAAAATTAGTTCTTTTGTGTGTGTAAAGTATATAGAGAGGCTATAGAAATTCAAAAACGCAGAAATGATTTCAATATAAAAGAAAAGGCAATGAACATTAATACAATCTGGCTACCGTTCCTTAATTATACATAAACAAGGTCAGATAATTCAATTAGTAGAAAGTAAGCCACGCACACCTATGATAATATAAAACCTGAGACAAATTCCAGCATTGTAGTTTCTACGTTGGGAACAACTCGAACACTTCGACTGTTACTTCATCGCCTTTGATAATGTCTACCGCAGTAGTAGACGAAACATCAGACATAAAAACTTGCAAACTACGGCCAAGAATGCCGGAAAATAGCTTTGACACAGTTTGATACTGGTACTTCAGAAAATATTAATATGGTATTGAAATAACCTCTCTATGTATTCACATTACTCTCGCTCAATTCACTAAATATGTTATCTTAATAATGGGCAATTGAAAAACTACAATAGAGAGTTCAAGTTTGGAAGTACTTTATTTTTCCATTATATACAACAGATGAATCACTTTGGAAACTTCCAAAACCAATAACGTTAAAAAATTCTCTTGGTATGCACAATCTCCTGGCTGCAACTTCATGACTTCCTCAACTTGCAGCAAAACCCAGCGTTTCCACCTGACTTACATAGGCATCTTGCTTTTTTTTATTAGTCACTTCTCACGCAGAAAGGAAATGAGTTACTTTTCAATTTCCTAACCAAGAAATCATGATGCAACCTCAATACGGTTGTGTGTTCAATTTCTCATGCCAGATATATTCTTTTTATAGCAAGCTAAACTACACAAAGCAGCTCCAGTTCGAGAGCAAAAATACTTTTTTATATTTCCGCACCCCATGCTACAATAAACAATTTTTGGTGGTGGTGGAGCTACTTTTGACCTCAAAGGGAAATCACAGCCTTCAGGGAATGACATTAATGTTATATCAACATTTTGTTTATATACAATTGAAGGTGCTGAGGATCTAGTAACTCTTGGCTTTGCTTGCTTTGCAGCTTTAGAGTCTTGTTTTTTCAGGAGGCGCTCCATTGTTTTCTTCTTATCCTTTTCTCGTTTCTCATCAGCGAGTTGTTTTCGTTTCAAAGACTTGATGGCAGCCTTTTGAATAGCTTCTGCAGTCATTACTTTTTCCTAAAACAAACAAATTGTTCATAAAACTTTTTACTCCCAATAATGGAATGTATGTTCATGGGAAAGTAGGTTTTTTTTATAACTTATACCCTTCAGAAGTGAATAGATGAATATATTACCTTATATCCTGTTGGCAGTGACATCAAAGTAGGGGTTGATACAGAAGAAGTTCCCTCACCACCCCTGTCATACATTGCTCTTTGCCTGGCAGTCATGAGGGCTGGATCTTTCGGTTTGATTTTCTTCAACTCATCATCGACATCTTCTAATTTTCCTGATTCGATGGCCGTCAACCACCTTTCTTCATCACTTGATGCACTGTCTCTTTTTCTTCTTTTCTTATTGTTACTACTGCTGGAAACAACCGGTGACACTTTTGTAGTCGTCAAAGATTTTGTTTTCGAAGCAGAAACTGTCTCATCTACTATTACCAAGTCACTCGAAGAAGATCCATCTTCGGAAAGTGCTGGTTTTGGTTTTTTCATCTTACTCTTTTTATTTGATACCTTCGGCGAAGAGTTCTCTTGTTCTATGAAAAAACACTCATTTTAAATTAATTTAAAGAGAGCATTCGAAGAACATACCCATGATTAAGGGATAGAGATACTGTGGATAACTTACAGAAACAAAACTAGAACTTCACAAACTCACAATTTGACTAACAAACCTAGTCGCGACATTCTTCATTCATTTTCAGTTCACCAATTTTTAACATAGAAATGCTAAAATTGAAAAATAAATTCATGAAAATTTATAAATTTGAGACATAACCTATCGGTGAAAACAAAAATAAAATCAGGAGTGTCAGGAACAGTGTTGCCAATTGGTCTCTCTCTCTATGTTAATGGCTTTTGCTTCCATTGGGCGCATTGAGCCATTGCTAATTGATCATTTCATCGAATGTTCTTGTATTGTATGTAGGTTTTTCACACTTGTTTTTCATAAACAAACATATATTTGACAAATAACAAATATTTGATAATAAATAAATAAATAAATTAAAATATCCTAGCAGAAATAATAAACAATGAAAAATCAAATTAAATACATTGGATAATAAGATTTGATTCGAATAACCAAAAAAAAGTGAAATAAAAACTGTTCTAGTTGAAAACAGAAAATTCTTGTGATTAATTTCATAATGTTACTTGTCCGAAAATGAACAACAAATCGTCGAAATGAAGTTTGGGAAAGTTAGAGTTAATTTGTATAACATTATATTGATAAGTATATAACGTCTCAACCAGCTAGCAATGTTTATCTTTTTTCGAAAGTGTACGACACTTCAGCAGCTTTTTTAATTGTTCACAGTTATGTGCTTTGATGAAATTATGGACGAGTACAACTCCGTGAAAAAATTGTTTTAGTGATCTCAGCTTGAATGATTTTTGAAACAACCGCAACAAACCAAAAAATTCCCATTCAACAAGGTTACATCTCACAATAATCTTCGGGATATTATTATCTTGATGAGTACTGCGATATCGCTTTGAGATATCCAAAAGACGTTCTGGTGGAATAATAATAATAATATCGTCTTCATTTTCTTCAAATACATTTTTCAAGCAAATTAATCATGTACAATTTGATTGTTATATGAAGATAAAAGGCGAAGTTCAATTTGCATGATGACTAGTCATCATTCAATTGCTCTTCCACTTAACCGAACTATCACCAATTGTCATACTCATAATCGTATCTGGATATCAAATTGTGATACCAGTAAAATGCTTCACTTTGATGTCAAAGAAATAAGTGTTGCATGAGAATACCTTTAGATGATACTCTCGAAGCTGTCAACAGTCTGAATCTGGATGAGGCCATAGAGAAAATGAACGAATGTTTGGAAATTATCACTAATTTTTTGAATAATAATAAGCTCAAATTGAATACTCTCAAAACTAAGACCGTTATAATAGCTTCAAAATATAAATATAGCGAAATCAACAATAATAACATAAATATATCAATATATAATGAAAACATTGAAATAGTGCAAGAAATGAAATATCGATATTGGCTTCAAAAATAGATAGCTATCACTTTCAAAAGCCATTTCAATCACGTTCATAGCAAAATAAGTTAAAAAAGATTCTTTCTTTCACGAATACGTCAACAATTATCTTCATCTATATCTATAACGGTCTATAAAACTATAATCCAACCTCACTTTGACTATTGTCTAAGATTACTGTTGATACTAGATTCTAACAGTATCGCTGCATTACAAAAATTGCAAAATAGAGCAATGCGAATCATTCTCTAATGCAAGAAGTCCACTCTCCTATCGATACAATGTTAGTTGTACTGAACTGGAATCCATTAAAAACCCGATTGTATTATCTTTCAATGATTTTTATTTATAAAATGTTTAAAGGAAAGTTACCTTCATATTTTAATCAATTTATCACATTCAACAATCAAATTCACAATTACCAGACCAGAGGAAGTTCAAACTTTCATGTAAATAGAACCAATTACAAAAACCCTATGAATTCTTTATTTCACGAAGAATTGATTCAATATAATAATCTACCCATTCATATCAAGGATAGTGCAACAATGAGTTCGGTCAAATGCAATCTGGGGTACATCAATGAAAATTGACCTCCATTCTTTTATATGTATTATTGTTTCACAGACTATTATTGTATTTAGTAACAGCATATGTTCATTCATTTAATCAAATAATTATGTAATAGTTATTGAAATTTTTGTATATTAGAATTTCTATTTCAAATACAGATTATTATTATTATATTGAGGAACCTGTATTACTTTCACAATATCTCAGTTTTGTATCGCAACCACCTCCTACACAAATGTCGTGGATATTTTTCAATGAATTGAAATTAGAATCCAAATTATTATCTAGACCAAACTCCAGAAAATCAGCATATTTGGCAAAAGGTTTATGAAGTTCAACGAAGTAATTCAATGTTCCAGCTGTCAAATTATTTGCATCATCATTAAATATTACATTATTTTATCCTAAAATGAAAATTTTAAATTCAGTTGAACAACTTTATACAATCCATCAGAATTTTTCCGTTGAAGTTAAACTACATTAGAGGAAGAAAGGTTGTGTTCTCCAGTTCACATTTGATAGGAGCCTTGAAGTATTTCATTCTTTTCTAATAATTGTTTGCTCAATCTTTTCTTTCTAAAGGCGTCCAGTAGTTGTAGTATTGACAACCTAATTAAAAAGAAGAAGAATTGAAGAAGTAAGTCAAAAGGAAAACTGTTATTCATTTGATTTGGTTGAAAATAAAGATTTGGAATATGCCGCCCAAGTTAAAATTTTCTGAAGGCGAAAAAGTCTTGTGTTTTCATGGTCCCTTAATATACGAGGCCAAATGTTTGAAATCGACAATTACAAAAGAAAAACAGGTCAAATATTTCATACACTATGCTGGCTGGAACAAAAAGTAAGATGCTTTTGTATTTACTCTCTATAGCTCTTGAACTAATATAATTTCAGTTGGGATGAGTGGGTTCCAGAAAGCAGAGTTCTAAAATATAATGAGGCCAATGTAGCAAGGCAAAAAGAAGTACAAATGGCTCATTCTGCTCAGCCTGGTAAACCAAAGAAAACAGCCAAAAAGTCCATCTCTGCTAAACCTGAATCTGTAAAGGATGGAGACTCTAGAGCTAGTACACCAGTAGCTGAATTACCAAAAGGTGACTTATTGTTTACAAAAATGTATCACAATTGAATACATTTACACCAGCAGCTTTGATTTGCTGGAAAAAATGATTGAAAACATATCTGTCTTTCTTTAATCAATTAGTTGAAGGATGATAGAAATCTACTTGTAAGGAGATCCAATCTGTCGACATAAACATAGTCAATATTGTGCCAATTCCGATTGTTTTTATCTAAATATGGGTATATTCTTTTTCTAAGCATTGATAATTTATTGCCACTAGAATATAATATCATTGGAATAGTTAATGTTATGTTTTCGAATGTTATGTTCATATATTGGTTTGTTAAGTATAAACTTGAAATAATTTATCACGTATATAGTGCTTTCAGTTTGTAATCTACTGATGAAAGTTAATATTGCCAATAATGACATGCCAATGATTCCTTGTAGGTCATTATTATAAACTGAGGGTGAAAAAAACCGGGGCAACCAAAATTTAGCTAACATTCAAAGCTTCATAACTTTTAGTGTAGAAGTCTAATTGCACAGATTTTTTTGTTTTATAAAATAATTCATTGGCATTATGATACATAACTTGGGGTGGCAGTAATTTTTGATCAACCTGTTAGAATAGGTATGATGACAAATTTTGAAATGTCCTTTTTAATGCAGGTATGCTGATAAAATTCACAGGGCTTAACAACATTCACTAGTTATATTAAAAAAATGATCACATCACAGACAACATAATGAGGGTCCCTAAGTTATGTGTCATAATGCCATCAAATTATTCTATAAAAGACAGTGCAAAAGTCGTGAAGTTTTAATTAGTATCAACATTTTGGTTGGGCAACTATATTTTGATCCTAAGCAATTTTTTGCATCTGATTAATTGTGATAATTCTAATAACACTGTGGCTGTGCCAACTAAAATAGTTTAAAAGCTACACCCTGGAACCGACTAGATTTATGTACTTAAATCAAGAAACCTGTTTAATATTCAATCAATTCTTGAAATGTAAATATGTATATATTCATACACGAAGTGTTAACCAGCCACAAAAATTACAACAAAAAATGTAAAGAAATTGAAGATGTCCATTTATAATTATAATCCTTACGAATGTTTGAATGTAGATTAATCCAACCGATCTTTATCAAACCAAGGTATTGTAATTCATAATCACCAGAAATAATACAAAATCCATAAAGAAACGTAAAAACGAATTGATTTTTTTTTGTAGAAATGAACTCTCACTTTGATTTTTTTGTCACTAATTGTGTTATCGACTATAAAAATTTATTGTTAAGTATCATTGTGTCCATTTTTGTTTTCAAATCTGTTAAAATCCCTAATATAAATAGATTTGTTTCTCGAGTTAAATGAAGAAATGTCCAGTTGATTTATTTACTGGGAACAACTAAATGTTTGGCTATGCAACTAGCTATGCTTGGGAGCCTCATATATATTTGAGTCTTTTGTCGACCTCATAGAAGACATCTTTGTAGGTGAAGATGTCATCGCCTTTATTATATGTTTGTTATTTGTTTGATGATTAGAATAGTATCGAATTTTTTTCTTTACTGAGGATGAGTCACAGTATACTTTTCTTGTGAATAAAGTGATATGGCAAAGTAGTTTGTAAAATAAATCTCTACTCTACAGGTAACGTAATGAGCCAATTTTTAACAAGTAAACTGTTTACAAGTTTCCATTATTGTACCTATCTTATGTATTTCTCATTCTCACATTTTCTGTAAATCATCTTCAGCATCCAAAAGAAAGGAAGTTAATACACCTTTAAGTGGGCAAGATTCCAGTTCTGATATTCCCAAGAAAAAGAAGGGACGCCTCGATCCGACAGTTGAGCCAGAAGATCAGTTTGTGTGCAAGGTTGAAATTAAAGTTAAAATTCCTGATGAACTGAAACCGTTGCTTGTTGATGACTGGGATGTCATCACGAGACAAAGAAAGCTTTTGAATTTGCCTGCTAAGTTGACTGTTGATCAAATTCTGACCAATTATTTGACATACAAAAAATCCATCAAGTCAAATACCTCCAGTAAGGAATCAGCTACCATAGAAATTGTTAAAGGTTAGTGAGTTACATCTTTTTTATTGTTCAGTTTTTGTGAAGTAAAACATACTAAGGAAATCAAAGTCATTCAATCTAATAATTACCATTTTTAAAATACAAATAAAATAAAAAATTCTAGTTTGATGAACAAATTGTTTCAAAATATTTGATGATTGAAAATACGAAAAAAAAAAATCAACAGCGCCTTTTCTGTCTTTTGGGTTCATATTCAGTATAAGAAATTTTGCCAAAAAATTTAATTGTTAACTAGTGATGAATATGTAAATTCATTCATGTTAGAAATTAAATCTTCCAGTTTGAATTTCAGTTAGCCTAATAACTTTCATGGACATAATACTCCACAGAACATTTTTTTGAGATCCCTAGATCTAAAAACTACTTTTGGGCAAAAATGTATTCTTCACAATGAATTGAAATAGAAAAAAAATTATTTAAATGCCTATCAAAAACAGGTTTTTGGTTCTCAACATTTCTTATTTCTGATTTAACCATTTACTGATAACTATTTTCCGAAACATTTATGTTTTCTTTTTTGGCTATGGTTTTTTATTAAACAGAGGCCAACTAAAATGAGTCAGCACAGAAACGTAAAATCGTTCTGTGTTAAAAGACTCCGCCCACTCAGTCATTTTTTGCATTGTCAGTAGCCCAACAGCCAGAAATAAATAGTCTTTGAGTCAGAGGTTCAGTTATAACTTAAGTCGTTAGTGAAATTATAATTTATTGGGCCAATTTTAGAACTTCAATATAAGCCGAGAAAAAAAGTGTGATATCAAATGTGTAATTACTTTAAAAGTAGAAAGGATGAATTGGACACTTTGTTAATGGTGAGAGGTTAAACATCGCCAGCAACAGGTAACTAACTTTAAATTACATTTCAATAATATTTATTGAATATTACTCTAGTTCTTTTCCAACACCAAATCGTTATTTTCAACACCTCGACACGTGTTTCGATCACCAAGTGATCATCTTCAAGAGGAAGATTAATCTTCTTCTTGAAGATGATCACTTGGTGATCGAAACACGTAATCTTTCTCTTGAAGATGATCACTTTGTGATCGAAACACGTGTCGAGGTGTTAAAAATAAAGATTTGGTGTTGGAAAAGAACTTCAGCGATGAATATCGCTGGAGTTCTTTTCCAACAACACAACAACACTGAGGTTAAGTGGAAGAGCAATTTGAGGTTAAGTGGAAGAGCAATTGAATGATGCCTTGTCATCATGTAAATTGAACTTCGCCTTTTGTCTTCTTATAATAAATGAACTGTACATGATTAATTTGATTTGAATGTATTAGAAGATAATAAAGATGGTATTATTATTATTATTATTATTACTACGCCAAAGGTTCGTTAATTTTTATTAAATAACTGTTAGATAAATATTGACCATTAGATAAACATATTTTTTAAATAAATAGCCAATCACAATTAAATAATTTGTAAAAATTGATGAAGGAAAGGGGAATTTCAATAAGAATGTTATGGTGCTGTTCTCAATTAATATGATTAAATCCATGATAGTTTGATGATTTTTGTATTAATTAATAAATATTGGATACTTAGTTTTTAAATTGTATGCTTTTCAACATTTTTTATTTAAAAAAGTCATTAGACATACGCAAGTGTGTTATTTGATTACTTATCTTGAATAACGTAAGTAGCTCTACAGTAAAATACTTTGTTACAGGAGTTTCTATTAGCACAGTAGGTGGAATTGTACAAGATGCTCAGCGGTCATTGAAAAATAACGGTTAAATAATTTTTGTCGATAAAAAAACCTGAGAGAAAGTCACCTGTCGAATAAAGAAAGCTTTATAACTTACCAGTTCGATGAACTCTTACGAGAACATAGTCACACCATTTTTCGCTTACCTCCATACCATTCGGATTTAAACTGATATGGGCAACTGTAAAAAACAACGTCAGACAAGAAAATCTCATATTCAAACTAGAAGATGTAAAAAAATTAGTGTGAACATGTTGCTAAAGTAGAAGATAAATATTTAGAAAAAGAAGTTCAGATTGATGCTTTTGAAGATGTTCATCCTGTCAGAATAACGTTAGTAGATGATTCAAAGCGACGACAGTGACTTTTCTTCATCTTCTGAGGAAATAAATTAAAACTTTCAAAATGTAATTTTGTGATAAGCATACAATTTTTTAGAATTCATCATAATTTGTATTTTTTTAATTCTTTATTCTTACATTGAATTTAATTGTTTTAAGTATATTCTAAAAATGCAATTAAATATAGGGCGTTCCATAAAAAAAATGTAACTATTGGTGCCACCACATAATGACACATGGATAAGAACTCTCTAGAAGTCGATACTTGTGTGAACTAAAGACTAACGAGGTCTTACCTTTCAACGTGTGATTCCTAACACGTTATATATTAGTAGTTTATTTTATATACATTGTAAATTGTTGTTTTTGTCGAGATAACTGTCGATGCCACTGCCATCTTAGTTGGCGCATACTAAAAATGTCTTGAGGGTAATAAATTATACTCAAAAAATGAAGGCAGCTCCCAAAAACCAGAACTGTAACTCCTCTGGTTTTTGGGAGCAGAGCTTGTTTTGGATTTATTCTGTCAGAGGTTTCAGGTCTGCCTTTCATTGAATTATAACTTCGCTCTCTCTCTTCTAGGAATCAAAGAATATTTCAACGTAATGCTGGGTACCCAGCTACTTTACAAGTTCGAGAGACCTCAATATGCAGAAATCCTCCAATCTCACCCGGATAAGCCGATGTCCGAAATATATGGCTCAATTCACTTGTTGCGCCTGTTCGTCAAACTAGGTGCTATGCTGGCCTACACCCCCATGGACGAACGGAGCATACAGCTCCTTCAAGTGAACTTCCAGGATTTTCTCAAGTATTTAGTGAAAAACAGCACTCAGCTATTCAACTTACAGGATTACGGGAACGCATCTCCTGAATACCACAGAAAAGCGCTGTGATATAAGGATGAACTTGATTGGGATAGCTGCGACTAAGGCAGTTTGTATCGTAAGTTTGGTGGACACTGTGCAACACCGAAATTGAAGAATTGCGATCTCATAATTTTTGTCTGGCCGACTGAAATTGTGTCATCGTTGTTTACGATAGTAATTGTATCTCTTTTATTTTTTATTGTTTGGCTGAGTTGAAAAGGTGAGTAAAGGCTTTCGTTGTTGAGGTAGACAGTTCAGTCATGACAATTGACTTGGATTAACTGGGCAAACAGGTGAAGGTTTTTGAAGAATTTGAAATGTATTTTGTGGTTGTGAGAAGGTCACTTCCCCAATTCATAAATGAATGAATAAATCTAATTATTTTACTGTTTTTGACAATAAGATGGGCTCTGTTGAAGGGATTTATTAGATCACAAAAACTTTTCAAGACAGACTTAAGATTGGCGTGAAACAATTATCTTTAATTCAACAATCAATAGACTTTCTCACTGCTAGTGGACAAAATAAGGTATGTTTTTTTCAGATTTTTTATTTTTTGAATGACTTCAACCTTGAAACTCGAAATTTTTACTTTAAACTTTGAAATTTCAAAAATTCAATATTTGTAGCTGAGAAACCAGCGTTTTTTTGGTATTGTTTTCCTGTATCACGGTATATTTTAAAAATATATCTTGAAAAATGTTGATAATTGGAGTGAAATTTTTATTTATACACAAAAATCGGAAAGTACATTAAGAGGCAGTAATTTAAAATTCAGATTAAAATTTTCTATTTATACTTTTTAAAAGCCTGTCACCTGTTTGATACTTAACTGAAAATAAAATTCTCGCTCAAACGTGCCATTTAACTCGCAACCAAAGATTTAACAATGTTTTGAAGAATGAATATTGTCAATGTTTATCAAGAAGGGTTCGTTATTTAATAATTGTTGTTTTGATTGATTAATTAAGATTGTTCTAGAGTTTGTCGTTTTATATGAAGACTTTGTGAGGGTAAGATTTTTGAGAAAAAAAACATTTTTGTCAGTTTTCACTTCATTTCTAAAAACTAACTAGTATTACCAAAAGAAAAAATGGCACCATTATTTAATCTCTGAAACCCTCTTCATCACATGAACATGAACCATATTCCCGACATTGTCACAAATAATCAAATCATTACTGTTTCAAAGTTCAGCAATGTTTGTTATATTCATTATCACTATTTCTTGTTGGGTATTATTAAATTATAGTTTTTTTTATTTAATGACTGTATTTTGTATCAAATGAATAAAATATTGATATAAAGTGCTTGGTTTTTATAACTCTTCTAAAGGTACTTTTCATTAGTTGAAGAGAAATATTTTTTTTCAATGGTCACTAGAAAAAGCTAACTTCCTCTTATTTGAAAAAATGGGATTGAACAGGTTAAACCTGCCAAAAAACGTTAGGTTAGGTCCAAAGTGAGTGGGTCTATTCGGCCCTCCAACACAACCCGCAAGGGTTTATTGTGGCTCACACCAATTCACACTCGGCCAAATAAACCCAGTTTCTTAACGAAGCCGATTAGTTTATAAGGTGAGTGGTCTTTCATGTCAGATGGCAAGATTACGACTCTGCCGAACTCTGAAGACCTGATTCGGTCCCCAGCGGGACAGGCACAAAGTATATGCTCTGTTAATGAGGTAGTCAGATAGCCGGTGGCGTTACTTTTCTCAGTTCCAATTTTTCAGAGAGGGTTTCATTATTATTGTTGATCAGTAGTTACATTTTTCTGAATGTACATAAGATAACCACAAACGGCGCTAGAATTTGGAGGAGGTTATTCGATTTCAAAGTCAAATTGTGTTCTTATTGTAGGATACTTTTGAATTTGAATATGTGAAAGTAAAAATAGTTTGGATTCTTTTTTCGCTGTTTGATATATGAGGACTTATCAATTATTTGAAAGAAGAAATTGAATACATGAGTGTTCCTTATTGTAAAATGACATGATGCTGATAGATAAGTGAATATTTTTTTAATGAAAAGAGAAATGAAAATTTCTATGTTTTTTACCACTTTTAATTGTAACTAACGCTACTGCAGTTTTATTCTATATGGACATTCTCAAAATAATACAATAAACTAACAATGATTCATTACATTCGCCAGTATATACCATTCAGATACTTGATTGAGTACCTGAATTTACAGTTCACAAGGCGGATGTGCCAATTTAAAAACCGGAGAGTAAATTAAATCGATTTGATCATTCAACAGGTTGCACCCACAATGTGTATGCTTGTGAATTTCCAAGGATGCTAAATAATTGAGTTTGCAACCCTTCCTTGCATAGTGCAGAATTTCCGTATCTTTCAGATTCAGAAACTTGTGGTTGCATGCCAAGGAATGGTTTGAAAACGTCGAATCATTTTTTTCTAGTCTTAAGGACCTTTCATGTTCAGCAAACCGTTTTTGGAAATTTCGTCCGCATTGTCCCACATAAACACTATTACACTCCGGACACTTAAGCTTATAAACTCCAGATTTTTCCAACTTGTCGACCTTATCTTTGGAATTGAAAAGGAAATGAGATAACCTGGCATGTGGTCTGAATGCTACTTCCACATTGTTTTTTCTGAAGAAACCTGCGATTATTTCTGTTCTTTTTCCAAAATATATTAGCGTTACCCATTTCTTGATTTCTGGTTGTTTGACCTGAGGATATATTAATCTGTNAGCATGTGTGGGACATGCTTCAACGAAGAATTACTCCGCATATGGGGAACATTCACACAACGTTTCAATTGAGAGAGCTTTTAATCGCTGAATGGGCAAATGTACCTCAACAAGACATTGACAATCTCATTTTGTCGATGCACGATAGATGTAGGGCCGTAATAAACCAGCGTGGAGGCCATACTTTGTACTGATTCCAATTTTTTTTGTATTATGATTTTTTTTCGGGGTGCCAAAGAAGAGCCATATTTTTTTTTAGTTTTGCTTACATGCGCACTCAGTATTTTTGACCATTTAATAAATTTTGTTGCAAGTTACATTCGTTTAATAATCACCCGTCAACTTTTCCCTAAAGCGATCTAAAAAAAATTATTGCCATTTTTAAAAATATCCCTAGACTTTTTCGATGTGTGTATATAATACGTTACCTATGTGTTTATAATTTGTAAAAGCTCATGGCTTTACATTTTAGTCAAGTCTTATAAGATTGGAATTTTATCTTGTTAACTTGTATTTTTTTTGGGAATCTAATTTATCTACAAGCATTTTTTAAAACTATTTTGACAAATCTTACCCTCTCAAACCTATTTTAGAAATTGTATTGACGTGTGTTTCTTGAGACTAATAAATATTATTATTATTATTGAACTCGAATTTATTCTGATTGTGTGTAATGGCCAGACCTAAGAAATTTATCTGTTTCTCTATCTCTGTTTGCGGACGAAATTTCCAAAAATGGTATGCTGAACATGAAAGGTCCTTCAGACTAAGAAAAAAATGATTCGTCGTTTTCAAATCATTCCTTGGCATGCAACCACTAGTTTCCAAATCTAAACGATACGGAAATTCTGCACTATGAAAGGAAGGGTTGCAAACTCAATTATTTAGAATTCTTGGAAATTTACAAGCATAAACATTGCGGGTGCAACCTGTTAAATGATCAAATCGATTTAATTTACTCTCCGGTTTTTGAATTGGCACATCCGCATTGTGAACTGTAAATTCAGGCACTCAATCAAGTACCTGAATGGTATATATTGGCGAATGTAATGAATCATTGTTAGTTCATTGTATTAGTTTGAGAATGTCCATATAGGACGAAACTGCAGTAACGTTAGTTACAATTAAAAGTGGTAAAAAACATAGAAATTTTCTTTTCTCTTTTCATTATGATCTCCTACCAAGTAGTAATGGCTCCATCCATCATTTTTTTTAATGATTCTTTCAAGGAATAAAAAAATTGTTCTAATAAAAATATCCTCACTCTAGCTTCAAAATGTCTGTTCCAATAGTTCATTCTTAATACGAAGTTCAAAAAATAAGTAGCCCTCCTCAGATGAAATACACTTGTGCCAGCGTTTTTTCTAATTCTCGAAGCAGTTTTGATATGCACTTTTTGGTATGTCCTTAAGCTCTCTCGGCGATTCAGTTTTTATCTCCTCGATCGTCGCAAAAACGCCGTCCTTTCATGGGAAGGGGAAAAAGTTGCAGAGGGCCAAATCTGGTGAATATGGTGGCTGAGGCAGCATTACGGTGTTTTTTTTCCAAAAATCACGGACAAGCAATGACGAGTGGGCAGGTGCATTATTGTGATATGAAAGCCATGAATTGTTTTTCCACAATACCAGACGTTTTCTTCATACTACTGCTCGCAAGCGCCGCATAACTTCAAGGTAATACTTCTTGTGATGCACTGTTTGGAACCTTTGGTGTAGTAATAAATATTACTGGAGTTTTACTTACTTACTTCAAATCTTCCTCTTGAAGATGCTCACTTGGGGATCGAAACACGTGTCGAGGTTTGGTGTTGGAATAAAACTCCAGTAATATTTATAATACTCCTTATTGACCTTACGACCATGTGGCAAAAACTCTTGATACACTTCGCAATGGTAATGGAAGAAAACAGTGAGCAAAATCTTGACATTTTATCGAACTTGGCAAGCTTTTTTTTGGTCTTGTGGCAAAAACTCTTGATACACTTTGCAATGGTAATGGAAGAAAACAGTGAGCAAAATCTTGACATTTCATCGAACTTGGCAAGCTTTTTTTGGTCTTGGCTCTCCTGGACTTTAATTTCAATGTCAAAACCATTTACCACGGTTTTTTGGTCAAAATTCAGCAATTTTAGAACGAACTTCGCTGCCACACCCTTCATACCCAAAATTTTCGAAATAATTGCATAGCATGAGCCAACTGCTATACAGACATCCTCAGCAACTTCTCTAATAGTGATTCGTCGATTCTCCATAACAAATTTTTTCAGTTTCTCAACATTTTCATCGGTTGTTGATGTGCTGTGGCGTCCAGGGCCAGCGCCTTCATTCTTCTCGACCTTCTGTTGAAGGCATGTACCACTCGTAAACATTTTTCTGACTCAGAGTACAATCACCGTATGCCACTGTCAACATTTCGAGTGTTTTTGGACATGTAATTCAGTTTTTTACACAAAATTTTATGCCAATTCTTTCATTCGTTTTTTTGGTAGCAGAAAATCGCCGCAAACACTTCTAACTTCCACGTCTCTCACCAACAAACTAAACATGCTGAAAAGCTGAAACTGCACATATGTTCGAGACGAGTGTACCAACATAACATAATCGCTAATTGAATGTACATAGTCCGCAAAATTTGAACATTCATTTAATTACTTTTTTACAGACCTCTTATTTTTAGTCAATAATACATTTTATCTTTTCATTTTACTCTGCTATGTTTCCGAGTTAGCATCAACAGTTTTTCAATTTTTTTTATTCCCTTTTTATGTCGAATCATTCAGTGTAGTTGTGAAATAGAAATATATTCACTGATTGATTTCAAAGTGCAAAGCATGAATAGTCGGATCAATTAAAAACAGGATAGTAATAATTAGTGTTGGTGACAAAACAGTAAAACAATAAAATGAAACATCTCAGATAATTTTAATGAAAAATTGCACTCAACCCATAACTTAGTCAGACTCTCTAGTGTTAACAAGAATATATTTTAGCTAAAATTAGCATCACTGTAAATCTTCTTTTAAATTGTGTCACTTTCTTATATCCTGTTATCCTCTAAACATGGCCTATCAATCTCATTACTGCTGGAATCAGAAGTATGTTGAACACTTGCATCAAGTTCTCTCTCTTCAATAACTGTTTGCGGGCAAAGTCTATTCCAATCCAAGAAATTCAGAACATTCTGCTGATACTGTGAATCATCGGTGGTGTTATACATACTATCATCTTCATTGGTGGTGCCATCTTGAGCTTCTACTTCAACTGCCACATGAGACCCTGGTTCATCTGAGGATTCGGATCCTCTTGATGATTTGGGATTGGCTCTCTTTTTTTTTCTGGTGGGGTGCACAGCTTTTGGAAATGGTTCCATTATAGTAGTTTCACTGCAGTGTCCCACAATAGAACTCAAAGATGGCATCGTAAGTGGAGTTAAACTGGTGGAATCAGAAAATGTTGTAGAGGAGGAGTCTGAAGAAAAGGAAAACAAACAATTGAATTCATTGAAATTATTGTTTTTTTTTCACAAAATAAATTAACACAGTTACGCATATGTACTGTAACAATAATCAAAACTATCAGCTATATGTAAGCAAAAAAAAGAAAGGCAAAAATAAGCCAATCAATTACATACAAGCATTTCAGTCTTTTTAATTGATTCCAGAGAAGAATTAGAAAGTTCAAAATCTACTATGTGTTCGCAAGTCTCAAAATTTTACCTTTAGACTCATTCTGGCCATAGTTGGTATGAAAAAAACCTACTTTGAAGATGTCTGTATTTCTTGTTCTCTTTGAATTCACATTTAAAGTTATAAGTTCAACAAGTTTCGGAAAATTAAGGCTACCATTGATTATTTTGTGAATTAGTTTAAGATCTGATTCCAATCTTCTATTAACCAGAGTATTCAAGTTAAATAAGTCCAATATAATTTTATGGTTATATTCACCAATATATCCTTATATGCACTTACCACATTCTGTAATTCCATCGTATCGTATTGTATCGTTAGTTTCATTCAAGTGACTCATCTGCTCAAATATCCTCTTCATCATCCTTTTTTTTGACATTCTCTCTCTATCCTTGCTCAGCCTCAGTTCTCGTTGTTCGGGTGTTTCCATACTGCGTCTTTTTGCTGCCCTCTGCATATCTTTCATGTGCCTTTCTCTTCTCTCTTCTTCAGTTTCATTTTGTCTTCGATGAGCTGCTCTCACGGCATCATTATGCCTAAATTAATGCCATTTATCCAACAAGCAGAAATAGGTAGGGCTAATGATCAACAAAAGATGCTCAAACATATATAACTATAGGAACACTCTAGTTCAAGACATATTTATGTCAAATCAACTAGTTGCCTTGCAGAGAAAGACAGAGGACGGAACTCACTCGGAATAAATCACGAAAGGAAGTTTCACAAAGGAAAAGCTAGAATATTGAACTATTGTGATTCAGTCTAATACCACTGATGAAACCGATAGCGAGTCAGAACAGCGCTGTCTTGTGCTGAATCATAAATAAGTAGTGTTTGGGGTCTGGTTTTCAACCAGTTGCCTTGCAGTGAAAGACAGGATGAATCTTGGCGGCGATCGATGTTGAAGCTTGTCTTTGCAACTAATCGCCTTGGGAAGCTTTGTTTATCTTTGATATCCGAGGATTGAGTTCTCTGTCAATCCCATAGATGGTGCTTTCGTAAAGAAGGATGTCGTCGATCTTACTGATTCTAAATCAATCAGTTATCAGTGTAAATGAAGAGAATTACTAACAATCTGATTCATGTGCGGACCATAATCTCTATTAGTGTTCAAGTTTTTCCGAGAGTAGGTCAAAAATAATATTCAAAAAGATGGAACTTTGCCAAGGATGAACTGTGTGATGGGAGCAAATCGTTTCTTCCTGGCTGTAAATAAATATAGGTAAAAATGTCACTCACTTCCGGATTCTAGCTTGTGTTTCTGTCTCAGTCTTCCTCCTCAATTGGGCACGAACCATATCCTTCACTCTTCTAGCCTCTCTCTGCTCGGGAGTTTCGTTTTTTCTTTGGAATGACACTCTCAAGGCATTTTTCATGCGTCTAATTTTAGTTTGCTCCTCGGTTTCTTTGGAACGTCTATCTTTAGCCCTCCTGGCTTCTCTCTTCAATCTGCAATTGAGAACCCTTCAAGTTGACGAGTTTCAACATTTATAATAATTATTAAATAATAAATGATATTATTAAAGTAATGTTTTTGTCATACACTGCAACAATAAGACCTATGTTAACGTATGGAGCCATTGCATGGGGACCGACATTGCATGGGGACCGAAAGTTCTACAAGCAGCGGTCATCCAAAAATTATATCAAATACAGCGACTGGCTTGTTTAAACATCACTGGAGCCATGAGAACAACACCAACCGCGGCAATGAAATTAATCACGGGTCTGACCTCTCTGGATCTGTACGTTAAGGAGGTTGCGTTAATGGCCATGGTACGATCGCAAACGGCTGGCGTAAACCTAGAAGTAGGAATGGGTCGATTGAGGTTGGGCCTATGGCGGGAAGCGCTTACTGCGCAACCTCTGCTGCAGGCAACAAGTGATGCAATTGAACCCAGGTTTGTGTTTAATAAACCCTACAAAATACAAATTAAGCAGAACACAGATGCTACAAATGCAATACGGATTTATACAGATGGCTCAAAAACCAAAGAAGGCTCAGGATATGGAGTGTACTCCAGATCACTAAGCCTAAGGATTAAGTGGGGAATGGGAAGAAATACCAGCGTGGTCCAAACAGAACTGGCTGGGATCTCAATCGCCACAAAAGAAATAACCAAGAAAAGAGTTTCTGGTAAAAACATAACAATCTTCACTGATAGCAGACAAGCACTATTAGCCTTGAACAGACACCGTGTTACTTCAGGGCTAGCACTAGAGTGCCACCAAGATTTAGCCAAAGCCTCGGTAGATAATAACATTATCCTGAGGTGGGTTAAAGGGCACGACAGGAGTAAAGGTAATCGCATTGCCGACTCTTTAGCCAAGGAAGCGGCTGGACTAAGAATTTTAGGACCAAGTGGCACCCACGGCCTGATGACTTCGACAATTGCGGAACTAGTCAAATGTTACACCCATGCTCAATCTTTAAAGAGATGGGATGAAATCAAAGGATGTAATCTTGCCAGGATCACCTTGGGCGACCCTGGGAAGCTGGCGCCGAAGAAATATCTGGCGATGACCAGGAAAAATCTACGCCTTACAGTAGGATTTCTGACTGGCCACTGTCAGCTAAGGAAACACCTACATAATATGGGGCTAGTGGACACACCTCTATGCAGGATGTGTGAACAGGAAGATGAGACTGTCAGGCATGTCCTGTGCGAGTGCCCGGAGTTATCGTCAATAAGAGAGTGTGTGTTCGGCGAGTCTTGGCCTACACCTGTCGATATAAAGGAGATGTCTCCCAGCGACCTGTCCACCTTCCTGGAAAGGACAGGATGGACGACGACCTAGGAGGAAGGATGTACAATGGGTCACATGTGGCCTAAGTGCGTGGGCTTACACTCACCCTCCCTACTCTACAGATACATACAGAAGATTATCTGTGAATGTCTAATAAATGTTCTACACGAGTTTCGTCACTGGTCTCCACAAGGGCATACTCCTAAGCGTGGACTGAGAGTCCTCAGGTTCCAGTCTATTCATCTCCCTGGATAGGTGGAGTTGCAAAGTGGTAGTGGGGGCGAGGGTGGGGTTGGTAGTGGGGGCGGAGTTGTGACTTGCAGAAGCAATGTGTGTGAATAACGTCTCAACTGCTTCATCAAACAAGATGACTCATAAAGATTACCACATTCCTGACTATAATTACTGTGAGTCTGCCTACTTACAACATGATACATCTCGCTTCTGAAAGTCACACCCCTGTTCCCATTACAAACCTCAGGGCACTCAACCTAGAGGGCAGGACCCACAGTCCTCGCTCAGAAGTAGACAGATTAAAACCCTTGCGGGTTGAAATAAAAGAGAGAATAACAATTTAGTGACTTCGTGAGTCGAAAATCAGTTCAAAAAGGATTACTTTTTTTTTTAATGAAAAATCATAAATAATGAACATCAGCTCTATTATTCAAATTAATGTACGGAAAAATTGTTTATAACTTCTTGCTAAGTAATCAAAGTGCTCAGTTTTCGAACTGCTTTTCAAGAAGATATTCACATAATGCGAATATTTCTTGTTAACGTCCACAGAAAAAGTCAAGAGGATTTGGGTCAGGAGATCTGAAAGGGTCATGCGTTTTTTATTAAACATTTCCTCAAAGAGCATTGTTGTGCTAATGTAAAAACTTGCGAAGTAGAGTCATTGACAAGTTGTAAGCTTATCTTACATATTATAATTGATATAATGTCATTATCCTTCCCGATATTAGCAGGTTAAGTAATTTTTTGGATGATATTTCGAATTATGTTCATTGTACTGATTTTTCTAGTAAACCTTAGAATATGAGTAGAATTGGTTACCTCATCAACCGTGCTTCTTCACTTTCATTTCCTCTCCTACTGTTTCTTTTTCTAGCTTTGCTATAATCTCTGAAGAAATCATTACTGGAAAAAGAGAATGAGTGTATTAGAAGTTTTAATTCAACCTAAGAAACTAAAACTAGACTAAAACATGCGCAAACCTGTGGATGACAATTTTATATATTTTATAAGGTGATTTATTCAGATGTCAGTACATGTGTATAGACATGCCTGAACAAGCTATTGTATAGCGAAACACGTGTTGCGTTTTCTTAAAAGTATTCAGTGAAAATCTCACATTAAAGTGTTTCTTGAATGATTTCAATGTTGCACCACCAACAGTGGAAAGACATCTTAAGTAATCATTAAAAAACCGATTTTTTTTATTGCAACTTTTGCAACCTCAAAATGAAGCAAGTTGGAACTTGTATGAACTTTTTGTGAATATTTTTTATGAAAACTTCAGTTTCATGATCTGTTGCTACTAATGTTTAACTCATTTGTGATTGAGCTGCTACTGATATTTATTGACAAGTGCTAGACAAACTAATGACAAGATTTTTCAAAAGAAACTTACCTCAGTTTTATTTCCTCTGCATCCTTTTCGCTGAGAGGATCTTCACTTTTTATGAAATCAGAATCTGAAATGAAAAAGTACTTTTTTTTTGCCTAAAATCGGTGTTTTCAATTGACTAACCATCATTTGAAGAAAACGAGTAATTATAGCTCAGATCATCGCAGTTGTCAGTCTCCGATTTTTCTAATTTTATTTGTATTGGTAATTCTATATGTGATATCACACGCAAGCCAGCTGCATACTCTAAAATATTGAACCAATATTTTATTGAAAGCGTTATAACATAGTGATTCAAATAATAATTTACCTGGATCTAGACATTCTTCTTTTATGTTAACTTGGCTTATAGATAAGTTCAAATCGGGAATAGCTCCTTTTAATAGCCTGAAAAATTATAAATTCAGAAAGTTTGTCTTAGCTTTTATACAAAAACAAAAAGAAATTTTAATATTTAGGGACATCACGCTTTTGCAGTTGATTTTCGAAACTACATAAAGTGGGTGAGACTTTTATATGTAAAGAGGCTCTTATTTTAATTTATGTTTCAAATGAAAAAAAATAGGCATAAAAGTACTGATAAACTTACCCCAAGCTCTTGTCTTTGGCATCAATGTAATCTTTTTCAGAAAAGTGATCTGAACAAATATATCTATTCAGAAAAGGCTGAGCCCCTCCGAAAGCAAAATCTTCAAAAAATTGTGGTTGTCCACTGTTTTGAACCCATGACATACATCTAAAAAATGAAATGTACTATTGCATATTTTGTACAACAGCACTTTTCCCATTCCAGGACAAAAATAATGTCTCTTAGCGCGCGTTTCGGTAACCAAGTTAGCATTATCAAAAGATAACTAAAACTCCTGATGATAACTTGGTTAGCAATATTTTTGTGGGAAAAGTGTTTTTAACAGAAACAGTTGCGTTTTTTGTGAAAACATCTAGATATTATTCAGATGTATGAATATTATTCATACTTTTATTCAGGATTTCCTGATGAAAGAAACAGGGCAAATGCAAATTTTCGTGAAATATGGTATTTCAGTTTCAATTTGACTCTAGCACCATCACATTATGAATGATTTATTCGTTTATTGTCAATATTTCAAAAATACTCTGAATCTTACCACATTCTACGTTTCGTGTTCATACACTATTAGATGCGAAATTATTGGGGAGGGGTAGTATGTTTTACAAGTTTGAGGCTAAGAAATGCCTATAATTCCGGTTTACGTGACAGTAGATAATATGTTATTTGTTTTAAGGTTGATTTCAAATAAAAGCTCGTTCATTAGGTAACTTCAACAAAATGGTGCATATATATTGACTACACTGCTGAAGCAAATGAAACATGGAAAATGCCATCGGAAGGTTCGTGGACTGGGCGACTTCTAGAATTGGAATATTTCAACAGAGATTTTCAACTTGTGATGCACTGTTTGGAACCTTTGGCGTAATAATGAATATCACTGGAGTTTATTTCCAACACTAAATCGTTATTTTCAACACCTCGACACGTGTTTCGATCACCAAGTGATCATCTTCAAGAGGAAGATGAACAGTTTAAATCTTCCTCTTGAAGATGAACACTTGGTGATCGAAACACATGTCGAGGTGTTAAAAATAATGATTTGGTGTTGGGAAGAAACTCCAGTAATATTCAGAGATTTTTAATATAACAAAATACTTTCATGTAAATATTATCAACAATCCAATGTTTTATATTCTAGGTACTAGTGATGAGATGTTGGCACGGTTGAATAAATGATTCATTTCAGAAAAATCTCAAAAACGACCATTCTAAACTACAAATAATTTAATATTTCCACTACTAGTGAGAATTTTCTTTATCGCCGAGGTTGGCAGCGCCACTTCGCGATAATGGTTTTCTCGAATAACATCACTTCAACGGGACGTTAACCATTTCTAAAATAAGTACAGACATTCTTCAGTCATGTCAAAAATTGTTTTTTCTGAATTTATTCAAAAATTTTGAGGAATTTGTGAATTTATCACGGAAAACAATTAGTAAGAAATAAGAATTCAAATGAGTGAATGTACCGCAATGCGAACATTAGCAAATGAAAGTTACCATCGGCTCCAAAATTATGATTTTTATAATTCATAAATTGATTCAATATTCGATAATGTGGAAATACTTTCACATTTTTCTGTAATGATGTTCCAATAATTAGTAGGTTTGAAGTTGATATTACAGCTCCGATCGACCAATTATAATTATACCACTGTCCTTTCACAACACAAACAGACGTACTTACAGATTGAAGTCCGTGGGGAATCCAAAAAGATATGTACTATTTTTTGTAGAATCGTTTGAACACGCGATCATACAACATTTCTTGACATTTTCCATCGCAACTTGCGATAATTTCTGTTAAAACTATATATTTTATCACTTTCGATGTTTCACAAACTGGTCATAAATATACGCCATTTTTAATTTACAAAACGAGAGTCGATAGACAGACGGACAGACCGATGTTTGCCGAAAAGAATCGTAAATCTGATACATTCTGATACAGGGTGATGTAACTATCTACAATTTCAGTTCTTACCTGAATATTGAAATAGGTTTTGTGATATGAACTCTAATTAGAGTAACTAATTTTTTCGCCCTATATTCAACTACAGTACCTACTTTAACTTTGAAAATGAACTCATCTAAAATAGCCGAATTGGAAAATATTACATTTTCTACCGATATGCTTATTCAGTTCATAATAAAAAGGCGAAAATTTAGACCAAAATAAATCATAATGCGGTTAAAATAAGAGCGCTGAATGGTCTTCAATAGTTTTTTTTATATTTTGCTTCACGAAAAAATGTATATAATCGGATTATTTAATTTCAAATGAGAAAGAAACTTATTGTTTTATGAAATCAAATAGAGAACAGTATTTAAAAAAAACAGCTTCGATATTTTAGTCCGTCTATGATTTTTGGTCTACGATTCATTAGACAAATAATATTTTCTCAAAATAACGTTTTTCAGTAATTCCATTACCGGAGCGCCAATTAATTTTTATTGTTGTTTTTATTTTATTTTTATCGTTGTTTTAATAAAAGCAACTATAATAATTAGAGTAAAAACCAATCATTCTCAATAAGTTCCTTACTTTAATACTTCACAATCTTGTTTGAACTCATTGTTCACTGACAAAAGATGGTTTATTTCACTAGTTCGGACTTCCATTGTCTACTATATAAAATGATTTGAAATCCCTGTTTCAGGGATTTCAAATCATTTTATATAGTAGACAATGGAAGTCCGAACTAGTGAAATTCATCACGAAACATTGTCAATCACCTTCAAACAAAAGATGGTTTACCAGATTTTGAATGTGAAATTGTAAGAACGACTTCTATATTTCATAATTCTTCTAAATCCCTATCTGGTCAGATAGGGAGAACTCAAATGAAAGTGATAGATTCGCCAAAGTGATTTTTTTGGAACAATCATTCACGTTATTTGTCTCCGAGAAACTATCATGTATTTTTTAAATGGACCGGAAAAAGAATCAGCCAGTATAAGTTGGTCTTTTTGACAACAATTTCACCGATACCAATAATCGTTTATAGAGAAGTAGAAAGCCAAAATATGAATTTCGCAAAAAGTCATCTCTCCTAAAAAATACAACTTTCAATTCATAACCGTTCAATTATTGAAGTTTCAAACGTCATTTATATATAAGCTCTGAAATGAGCTATTTTTTATATTTATTCGACTTTGTATCTTTTGCTATTTTTCCATGCTATCTTCCCTTAGCTTGAACATATTGTATGGCGAACAAAGAATGTTATTAACCCATTTCATCTCACCATTCATTGATTCTGAAAATTTCATTTTTTTAAAATTTGATCTGGAATTAAACATCTCCACTAAGATTTGCTAGAACATTCCAGGAGAAGTTCGACGACAAAATGAAGGTATAGTAAAAAATGTTGTCAGCTATTGTAGCACCAATAGAAGTCTGACAGTTCATAATTTAACTGTCATCGTGAACTCATCAGTACATAAAAAGTAATCACCCTCTCGCTTTCATTTCCTCAAAAAACAATCTGATTTAGTTCAATTACCGATAAGTAGAGCATATATTTAGGGATTTGCTCGTTGAGATCGTCCACTTCGTAGATGCAGAGATTGCAGAGAAAGAAGTACTTTCGCTCAGTGTCAAACATTCGCCCCCCGCGCAAATACCTTTTCTGTGGTCAACTATAAAAGTGAGTTACGCCATTCTAACTCATCAGTCTTCCATACATTTCGTTAAGTGATTGATTCAGGTTTTGTTTGTAATATGTACAAGGTAAGAAGACGAGAATTTCTACTCGGATTCATGATCTCGTGAATAAGACAAAATTTTCTTTTAAAACTTCAGTTAAAGGCGGTACAGGAGATACAGTATCTTCTTCTCACAGAATCATCGCGGAATCAGGCGAATAAAAGTCAAGTTCAATTCATTTGATTAGTTTTCTAGCAATAAATAATTGTTTTTGACTAGGTACCTGAAATTTTCTCCAAGACTGAAAATATTTTTTAAATGTAATTTAGAATAAACTTGAATCCATATCTGATCCAATTTATTTGACTGAATCAAATCATAACCTACACTATGTACTGAAATGTACCTATATCCTTCAATACACTAAAATTTCAACTACAGGCAGAATAACCGAAACATAATTTGAACATGATCAACAATATTTTGAAATAAGAACCATTTCTATGCAATATCATAAAGGAGGTAACGGTAACATCCCATATTTAGTGTGATCAGTTTCAATAGTGAAATTTTTGGATTGTCGAATTTAAAAATATCAAATCAGCTAAATAGAGAATGTTTTTTTTAATTGGAGACAGTCACAAATTAAATAATCATTTCAAAAGTAGTTGTACGGCCATTTTGAATGTTTGTTTGTTTAATGCTTAGTGAATATTTGATTTAATTTTGCGTCATAGAAGTCATTTATTTAGATTTGAAAGGTAATCTACTCAGTTGTTGTAACCCACCCATATAGAAATAGAATTTATGAAAAAATGTTTTTGTAGACATTTAATGATTTGAAGAAAAGGGTTTCTCTATAATAAACAAATATTTTCACCAAAAAAAGTATTTTTTTATATTTTGAACCTTGTGTAACCTCCTTGTATTATTCTATTATCAATATAACCATTTGGTATATTTTATATGCCTCAGAAGTAATATACCAAACATTTATTCATATTTATTCATTATTATTATTATTATTTTAATGATGTTGAAGTAAGTCTTTTCCGAAAAGGGTGCTATATATTTGGATTCTCTTGTGCATTCGTGTTCCGCCTAATTGTTTTTTTCCGAAACATTCATGAATTTTTCATAATTGGAATATGTTTCTCTCTTTTTCAGTATCTTCTTCTTGCATCACTATGTGTAGTGGGAAACTCTAGTCCAACCCTTGTAGACATTGGTGGTGAGTATCCAAATTTTCAATATTGTGCCTATAGTGTTTAGTGTTTTCTATCACCCTGATTTTTGAAACAATAATTCTGACAAAAGTAATTGATACTTTAATTTACATTCTAAAATTTCTCTCCTAATCATTTTCATATCCTCAATGCGAAAACTGTTGAAGTCATTATACCTTTCTAGTTGTTCAATACAGCAAAACGATCTATTTGAATTGACTCCAGACTTTTATAATCACTGAGTTTTTTTGCTGAAGTGGAAATTCCTCCTTTCAAATAAAATGAAACCGTGTTAATCACTTCTCCTTGCGGTTGTGATTCTGTAAACAAAAAGATCGGAATCATTCTCTTTCAACGTCGAAGAAAGTTCATTTCACTCTCCCTTTCGACACAACACGATCCTTGAATGCATTTTATGATATTCTACTTCGATTATTATTATATCGAGTGTTAAAGTACTTTCTTTAAATATATGAGCAAATGAATAGAATTATAATATTTTGTATTGCAAAACGCATATGAAGAAAAGAGAATTGACTCTTTTTATGTTTTTTATCACTTTTATTTGTAACTAACGTTACTGCAGTTTCGTCCTATAAAGACATTTTCAAACTTAGTCCTATAAGTTTGAAAATGTCCTTATAGGACGAAACTGCAGTAACGTGTGTTACTGCAGCCATACAGTTATGCATATACTTATACATTAACTATATAAATGTAGTAATTAACGTCCTATAAGGACATTTTCAAACTTATACATTATACTTATACATTAATTAAAGTTTAATGTATAAGTTTGAAAATAACTTTATAGAACGAAACTGCAGTAACGTTAGTTACAAATAAAAGTGGTAAAAAACATAAAATGTTTATGAAAGAGGAAATAGTTCAAATGTATCTACAAAAACACTTGACAAAGATGTTTAATAGGCTTTCTAATTATTTAATGTGAGTTCAAAACCATTTTTTATGTAATATTATAAAGTCAATAAAAAATCTTCTTTTAGAAATGTAGTTGGAGCCGTGAGGTGCTGTTCAATATTAAACATCCTTATAGCTACTGACTAGAACTACTCCATTAAATTCCACCCTCCTGATCTCCATTTCCGTTCCCAAGAAGAAAGTAAAATGTACCATTTATTTTATATTTATTTCATTTACCCCATTGAAATAGATCAAATGTAATTTTATATCGCCCACAAATATTTTAAAATTTTTAGATTTGTTAATACTTTTGAGACACACTCTTCTCACTAGATTCATAATATTAACCGAAAATTTGAATAACACGTGACTGATCTAACTAAGACCAACAATACATTACTATTTTTCAACGATACTATCTTAAATATTTCAGGTTTTTTATGTCAAATATAACTATCACACAGCTTCAGGTAGATTCTGCTATTGCAATCTTTCACATACTCAGACACATCATTAACAAAAAGAAAGAGCAAGCGACACAAAACAGAACCCTGGTAAACCCCCCAATTTTCAAAAACATTAAATTTGATCACCAGAAAATTTGCAGATATAGTCAAAGAACACATATTACGAGAGAGATATTTTTGGATTTATCTTTTGCACATGCAAGAACATGAGTAGGTATCTCTTATATTGTCTGTTTATCAAATTATAAATTGACGGAAAATTGCTAAAATAGTTCTTAAGAATACGTCATGTAAACTTAAAAAAATGAATGAAATTCGAGTATACGGAACAAAAATGAAATATTTAGTTATAGCTATAAGTCATTCCCAACGTCAATAAGGAAAACATTACACATTCAATTATACAGATAAATTAGCAATTATGCACTTCATAATTGATTTCTCTATATTAGTTATATTGTGGCTGGATTTCATCCAACTGATTACATTTACGGCAGTAACACATGTCTGAAGTGAAAGAGAAAGTACCAATTAAATTTGAGATGGAATTATTAAGTAATGTCATATTGCTGTTACCCGCTTCATCGATTAATCTGAATAAAATATAGGTACATATTAATGACATTCACTTTCAGTTCCGCTGATGGAAAAATGGAATCGTATTTCTTTTGCATGGTATCAGAGATAAATGATACTTTCCAATATAAATAATTAGGACTTCTCATTAATAGTATGCCAAGTTTCACAAGACACTGCCAATTGTCTTTCAAATTGTTGATTTTAGTGGAATTGAAGATGTAATTTTCGGCCAAAATGATACTTATATATTTTTCTACGGATAATTTGAGAAGTACCTACGTACCTAATATGAAAGAAATTAATTATAAATTTCAACGTTTTTATTGTAATAATACCCATCTACACGCTTTTCAAACAATTTTAGTAAATTTTTTGTCTATTTAGGATGTGTTATCTAATTAAAGACCTTCTTCAGTTGTTTGTAATAACTATACGTGTTAGTATTAATTTTTAACAATGAGAAAGTCCCTTTTGTCAACTGATCATTTTGGAGTTAGAGGTGCTCTTTTTAAAATTTATGAAGATGAAATTACTGAAATTACCTTGTACCTACCTAAATCTACACTTATAAAAGTGAAAGTCACTCACTTAACACTTATTTATCTCTGTTTCTTCGTACTGGTAAGTCCTAGGAAGCTGAAATTTGGTATATAGGTACTTCTTATAGGTACATAGGTCTTAGATGCGCACTAAGAAAGGGTTTTCAAATATTTTAACTGGGGATCTCCCCGTGGAGTAAAAGGGGCGCACTTACATATGAAAATTACCTTTTCAAAACTGTTCCTCCGTACCGCTATATTAAGTTCGTTTTGTGAAAGGATTTTTGAATATTCCAACTGAGAGCGTTTTTACATATGAAAATTACCTTTTCATCACTGTTTCTCCGTATTTTCGGAGGCTGAAATTTTCTATGTAGGTTTGTTTTATGTTTTAGATGTCCAATAAGAAAAGATTTCTGAATATTCCATTTGGGGCGCCAGCCGCGACGCTAGTGCGTGTATATACTTATTCGGGTAATTTTTGTATAATTTTAAAGCATGAATTTCTCTTCACTTATTCATTAAGGGATCATATTGAAGTGTTGTTTTTGATAGGGCGCCCTGGGCTTTTTAGGATAAAGAGTTCCCGCAGGAGCTGACTGAGAATTAATATTAGGATATATTCGGGACAGGAGGTTAGAGGATCCGCACTTGATTTTGAGACACGACTATTTTTATTTCAATCAAGAAGAACGAGTAGGTCTTCACTAAATTTCTATATGGGTATCGCTTCTCCTTAACTTAGTGTAACTTTTCTTGTTTTGAGCTGAATGATTCAGTGGTGACATCTACAACTTTTACTTCAGAACATCACACCCAATCGATGTTAGTGATGAAGGGGAAGGTAACTGTCTCTCAGGATAACCACTTGAGTTAAGTTGAATAAAACTGAATCAATTAAAATGGATGTAACTTATCAGTCTTCCTTGTAGTGTGGTGCTTCTGAGTTATGACTTTGTAAATGATCTCTCTTCGCTACAATTGGTAACCATCATGGTTGAAAATATTCGCAATTCTATTTCCATGTTTGGAAATGTATCAATCTTGTGTTATCTTTCAAAATATCGTTTACTTTCGTACTATAGTACAGTATAGTATAGTTTTTTCTTCAACTCGGCATGAAGAAAAATGATGTATCTTATCAGTAGTTTGTATCCCAAATCGACCAATCCATTGTTATATATTCCCCAAAAATTGGAAGGCTCTGGTCTTATGAGTTTGGAGTGTCTTCATAACACAATAGTTCTGGTTGGAGCCTGAAAGTCTTTGGAAGTTTGGATCCTCTCTCCTATACATGGTCTATATATGTCTATGAAAAAGCCGAAACGGGTATTTTTTTAGGGAAGCTGTCCGCACGGCCGATGAACTCAGTTTGGTTTTCGAGGTGACGAGGTTATCAGAACTGTTGCCGAGTTGGAACCCTTTCGTCCAAAGATGAAGATCATGGTACCTTCATGCATATCCTGCTTGCGACATGTTCAAAAAACAAATTGTTTCATGAAAAATCCAACTTGGTTGGTGAAATGCGTGTTGAAAAGAGTATCGCAGTACTTGTATTTGGCAAAAGTGCTTGTTCTGTATTTGTTCTGCAGTAGAGGTTTCAGTTTTACTATTATTTGGGAACAGTGATTATTTTGAAGTCATCCAAATCCCTTCTTTTATCAAGGAGGATTACTACGGAAGTATTTTGAGGGAAGAGTGAGTTTTGAATAAAGAATAGGTGATACTAATGTTTCTAGAGCTTCAGTAGGTAAATTCTTGATGCTTTTTGGAGTCATGTACAGCTGCACTAGAAGGCAATGAGGCTGCTGACTTCCTTTCAAAGGAGGGTGCTGCAAGCAGCTTCATCGGATCAGAACCGGTCATTGGTATCGCTTTAGGCTTTGCCAAACAAAAACTGAACATCTAGATGGCAAGAAGATTTGTGGACTTCTGGCAGAACTTTCCAGGATTGGCTCACTCCAAGGCGTTTATTAACCCTTCGAAGCTTGATACCAAACAGTTGTTGGACTACAGTAGGGATGAATTACGATTTCTAACAGCCTTCTTACATGTCACTGTCATTTGAATCATCATATGCAGAGACTCGGACTGTCGTAAGACAGAGAGTGTATCGCCTCTGTTTGAAAATTGATGAAACAGCAGAGCACATACTTTGTACTTGCCAAATAAAGTTTTAAGAGTTCGGCAGAGTCATACCTAACCTAACCTAACAGTTGTACTTTTGTTTTTTACCGGAGTTTCAATCTCTTCACAGGGACTGGTATACAATGAGTCTATCAACAATTACAAAATTGTGTACATTGACCTGGAATATTGCTTACATAGTTTATAAGAAAGTGTGCAGTAAAATTCGTTGATTGTGTTACGATTATGTGGAATATCAACCATTATTTTCCTTGATTCACCTCTTAGGTCATTAATAACTGACCAAACTTGTGTACATCCTCGTTGGTTTGCACATATTTCAGGAAGCTATGAGACCTCTAACTGGAAATTTCGGGGCACTTTCTTGAGTTTGCCTTCAGTCACGATGCTTTTTTTTCATACGCCCTGGCGTGGCCCTATTCGATGCGAGGCTATAGGCAACGTACCCAATGGGATTGTATTCAATGGTAAATTGATGATATTAACTTGGAATTCAAACTTTTAGTTTCAGGAGGCGGTTACGGCGGCAATGGAGGTGGAGGTGGTTGGCAAGGAGCTGTTGGTTTAAATGGTGACGATGGCGGTTATGGTGGTGGAGGCGGTTTCGGCGACGGTGGATATGAAGGTGCCGCCAGTAGTTACGGTGCCATCGAACACGGTGGCGGTGAAAACGGCGGAGATTTCCATCACGGCGTGAGCATCGTGGGGACAGGGGGCGGCAATAACAAAGGAAAAATTTTTGACCTCACCGATCACGGTAAGAACGATAATTGATGTAAGAAATTCAAAATTGTGCATGAATCCTGGAAAATAATTGAACGATCCTCTACCAATAGTCATTATTAAAGCGACCTTTTAGTTGACCTGATGAGAAAAGAGACGACGACACCATGTTTGAGATCGACAAAACACTGAAACCACGAAAATGAGACATATTTGGGTATTGTTTATAAGCAATGAAAATATAATTCATCGTTATATTTCCGAAATTATCAAAGTTTTTTTGAAACTTGGGTTAGGTTCCAACGGTTTAAACTAGAAAAAAATGGCACTAGTTCAAAGAATGAAAACTAAGATATACAAATCTTTCAATTGACACTTGTCAATTCTTATTTTTCATATCTGCAATGTCTATAAACATTGGTCTTATCAGTGGTGCTACGCTATTCCACAAATGTATTGCTGGATTCAACTATCCTCGAAGGACAAACGGCTTGTCTTTTAGTTTCAAGATATTAGATAGCGTCTTCGTAAGGGAAGATGTCATCGCTACTACTCAAAAGAATGTATGTTAGTCATAAAAACCAAGGACAACCGATAAGAAGAAGAAGAATTTAACACAATTTCATTCGATTTGATTCATTTTATTTCGAAATCTAGTACAAATAGTTATTTCAGAAACGGCAGCACTGGTAAAGCGTACTTTAGGAGAACTTTTACCCACATTTTTTTTGTAATCACCCTACAGATAATTAGACATATTAGAGGTGTCAAATAACTTTTTTAAGTGTCAATCGTCAGTTCTTTGTAGATAACTTTCATTGTTTGTTTTGTCCAAAGAAACGTACTGAAAGCCTGATAAAAGGAGGTTCTTTAATTACAATTTATAGAGGGCGTGACTCTCAATTCTTTTTCGCTAAACCATTGTCTAAAGAATTAATAGACAATGGCTAACATATCGAGCTGATGCTTTTCATTTCTCATATGTCCCTTTGTACTTCTGCACCCATTCAATTTATAATTTTCAGGTGGTGATAAACACCAGGGATCTTTCGGAGGCAGCTTCGTAGCCTCCGCCAAATACAGCGCCGGGGGCCATGACGGCAGCAGCGGCGGTGAATTCGGTGGTTACGGAGGATCCTTGGGAGGGGGCGGATTCGCCGAAAAATACAGCCATGTTCTGGGCGCCAGCGAACAAGGGGTAGGAGGTAGCTACGCCGGGTACGAGTCGCTCCCTTCCGGATCCTTTGGGGGTGAAGGGCTTTCTTCGTACAGCAGCGGGGGAGATATAGGAGGGGGATACCACTGAAGATTATATTTATTTTTGGTGTTTGTACATATTTATTTGTTTTTGTTGTTTGTTATTGTTGAATATATTTTTATACTTTTTTAAAATTGTGATTTTTTTAAAGGAGAGCTTGAAATATTGCATTTTTCGAAGTTTTTGAAGAAAAGAAGAAAACGCTATTAATTTTTCTTGCGTCGACATTCAAGTCCAAATTTTCAAATATGAATATGTTTCTTTACTTGCTACAGTTCAAATCCCCTAAACCTAGTTCAATTTTATTTCAAAATTCAATTTTGGTGGCCCATTTTTAAAAATACGATTTTGCTATATTCAAATGAAGAACACTGACTAACCAATAAAAGGGTACTAGAATAGAAAAAACACATTGAAGAATCCAAAAACAAGTACATTTCCCAATCACTAGAATTTCAATACACTTCTCGGCGCACGTTTCACCAACAAAGTTTGCGTCTTCAGTAGATGACTCATTATCATGATGATGCTGAGATGATTAGTCATCTCCTGATGAAACAGGGTTTTTGATCTGTCGTGGGAAAAATGTTTTCATTATATCCATGAATATGATGAATATTATAATCATCAGTATAAGTCAAAAACTAGTACATATATGCCCCAGAGTCTGGAACAAATATGGTTGATCATCAAAATAATTTTGTCCACATAAATAACTTTATGGATGGGATTATATGATAGTGGCATCTCAGAGTTAGAAGGTAAATTGTCGATATGATAAAATATTAGTGACATCTTTGTATGTAACCGTGACTGGTCCGAGAATTTTGCCAAGAACTGAGGAAACACAAACACCCTACACCTTTCCTCGTCCCAAGTTATTTCCCACTATGAAAAGCAGAAATTAATTTAATTTGGCTGATACGACTAACTGATAGAGCACAGAAAGAATTCGAAACTCGTGACTAGCTGGAATTATATTTGTTCGGTCGTGACACACAAACGGTTCATTCTGTTCTGAGGAGACCATGCTCAGTCCCGGTACTGATGATTAGGCCAGCGCCCGATCTAGGAGGGGGGCAAAAAAACACACTACGGTCGTGAGCGTTGTGAACACTTAGTGGAACGCACAGTATACACTTGGTGCCATGACACGCATACAATGAAAGAGCTGATTAGTGTGCCAGACCACATCAACCCTATATATAGGCACTGAACCAGGTATGGGAGGTATCATAATCTCTGGTATGGAACCAGATCTGAAACGAATCGATTTTGCAAAAAAGGGAAATCCTTCATTTTTTTTCGAGAAATACATTCAAGATGATATCAATCACAATGTTCAATATACGAGGTTTGTTAAAAAAATAAGGTGAATGTTCAAATGTCGCGCGCTTCGTACCTACATTCGATTAGGGATTTTTGTATGTTTGAAGGTGATTGACAATGTTTCGTGATGAATTTCACTAGTTCGGACTTCCATTGTCTATTATATAAAATGATTTGAAATCCCTGAACAAGTAAAAAAGAATAATTAAAAAGATAATAGTTGAAAATAACAATTATATTAAGCAACAATAAACCTGAATTGAAATGATAGTGAAATAACCTACAAGTAAAAATATAATAATTGAATAAATAAAAATTAAAGGAATGCAAAAAGAAAATAATAAAAAATAAAAAAATAAAAAAGTGTAGAGATTCCAAGTCACGTTAGTTCACGACGTTTCGATTGTTGGTATCTACAATCGTCTTCTGGTGATGACTGGACTGATTCCTCCGAGAGATGACTATTTTATAGGTCGTTGAAATACTTTCACTTCCTCTACTTTCCATTTTCCGCTTCACTGATTCCGTGAGAGATGACCGATTTGGCGGGAGTTGGTCATTTTTCGTTTGATGATGGGTTTCCATATGTTTCGTATATCTACGCTGGCCTGGCTGAATACGTTGTTGGACAACATGTATGCGGCTTCCTTAAATTTTCTCCTGAACCAATGTTCCTCTCTGTGCAAGATCTCAGCTTGGGACCACTCGATGTTGTGTTGATGGGTCCAAACATGGTCTGCTATTCCTGATTTGCTGGTTTCTCCTCGCTGTGTGTGCTTCTTGTGCTCGGCAATGCGAACATTCAATGGCCTCTTAGTTTCACCAATATAGGATTTTCCGCACTCACAGGGTATCCGGTAAATGCAATTCTTGGAATCGCAGTCCGCGTTTGGGGGCCTGGTTTTCATGAGGCTGCTACGGATAGTGTTACCGGATCTGAAACAGGTTCTAATGTTGTACTTGGAACCAATTCTTCTTATCCTCTCCGATAATCCTCTGATGTAGGGAAGTGCAAGCACTGGTTGTGACGGCTTCTCTTCCTTGCGAGGCTCCTGCTGTCTTTTAGCCAAAGTCTTTTCTACCATCGCTTTGGAGACAATGGATTTTTGTATGTTGGTACACTTGTTTCGAACATATGTTCACAGTTTATTATGTTTAGTTTGCAGGAGGCATAAAAGTTTTGCGTGTTCGGAGATTTTCTGCTACCGAAAAATTGGATCAAATTTGCATGAAATTTTGTGAAAAAAATGAAATTAAGTGTTCTAAACACTCAAAATTTTGACTCATGCCATGCAATTTTGTTGAAAATTTAGTAATGAAGCATGTGGCAGCAAAGTTCATTCATGGCGTCAATGGCGATTCGCATTTGCTTAAAAGGGGTCATAACTGGTGACGAATCATGGGTATATTATGAGATCAATATCAATGTCCAATCGTCCAAATGGAAGAGCCCAGGAGAGCCAAGACCAAAAAAGCACGCCAAGTTTGATTCAACAACCAAATGAAAAATTAATATTTATAATGTTTGAGAAAAATGAAAATTTGCCAAACTTTTTGAACAAACCTCGTACATTCTGAATTTGATACCTCAAGACCTACCTTCATCCGAATGTTTGCCTCTCATGAGAGTATATCGAGAATTTGCAGAATCATCTACTTGTCTTTGTTATGATTTCTACACCTATCAGTAACCTGCTATGCATATCAGCTGCCATCACAAAATAATTATCAGACCGACCCAATATGGAATACTAAAAATATTTTATTAAAAAGTAAGCACATAAGCAAATACATATTCAAAATAAATTAAACAGTTGCCAAATACTTAGTCCAATTTTCATCAGCCTCAACATCTGGAAGAGCCCACCCAATAGGAATTTTAGAACCCATTTCATTTGTGGGAGAAACCAAAAACGTATCCCAGCTCCTCCTGAAAAAAAATATACATAAGATACCCAACATTAGAAAAATAAAACTTTTGAACGTGGCAATGTTTGTATTACAACAGCACTAACCTTATCGCAATAAATGTATCAAGGTCCCTCTCAGCAGACGTAAGAGCCCAATAGGTGGCATTCTCTGGCGGTATAACCTGCCTAGGTCCAAAAAGTATATCGTGCCATTCCTCCAATAGCTTGCGATCTTTCTTCACACGAGCAGTTTTGGAATCCTCGCTAGCAGTTTTCTCCAACATCAGTTTCAAACCTTGCTCCTCAATGGTGTACGTTCTAAGAGATGACTCCCACATATTTTTCAACTTTGCTGGAGACAGAAGTACAAAAGTTATGAGGATTTCTTTTTATTGCTTTCAACAATGCATTACCTGTTGTTATATTAAATGCATTTTCATCCTCCAGAGATCGTTTTTCCCCTCTTTGAGTGGCGATTTGATCTCTAATGGATCGCAGTTTTGTTAAAGCAGCGACTAAGGCTAACTGCTTCCTGGCATCTGATTTTTTCTTTGTAACTTCAGCCAATACACAGTCAGCATCTTTTTTCATAGCCTCTTCCTACAAAACAATGTTGCTAAAGTCTATAAATTTGGTACATTTTTAGATGTAACTATGATGGCGGACAAACAGACCAAACCACAACAAAACAACAACTGTGTCAATTTTGATAAACATTTCAAAGACTGTATTGCGGGCGAATGTTTTTGTCAACAATGAAATGTCCCGTCGGCAGGCTGAAAGATCAAAAGGTTCAGTGTTTTGTCTGTGTTTTTGTAAAGTGAAGAATGTATCAATTCAATTGCTGCTCGTGTAGTGGAAACGATAGAAAACATGTCTGTTTGATGGAATTCGAGTTGTTTTTTTTTTCGAAATTAAAGTTTTTTGTTTCTGTTCATGAAACAAATAAATTTGATGAAATTTGCGAAAAATTTTGTTTATAAATGCAGGAACTTGTCAAAAGATTGATAAAAATGTGTATTTCTCGATGTAGCTCTTCAATTTGCAGAGAAACAGATAACTGAAAAAAACACAATATAATTACCATTTTCACTTTGTCCACTTCTTCCATCTTAGTTCTCAACCACTGATCAATCGTTTTATGTAACTTCTCCCTGTTTTGGAATTTTTCCTGAAGTTCTTGTTTTCTGAATTCTTTTTTTCTCTTCAGATTTAATCTTTTCTTCTTTCGTTTATCGATGGCTTTCTTCAAAGCAAAAACAGCTTCGCCGCTCTCAAACTTTGATATGAGCTTGGTAAACTGATCTTTTATAAGGCCGATTTCAATAGTTTTCTGCTTCCATTCTTCAGAGGGTATTTTGTCAACATTATCATGTAAATCTTTATGGGTTTTTGTAAGTTTCTCCATGAGCATGAGGCATTCTTTGAGAGAAGATTGGGCATCACTGATAGAGATCACATTGGCAGCTTAAAGTATCAAAATAAATTTGTTAAATCTAAAGAAATGTCTAATTATACATGTATAAATAATGAATTTCAATACAAAAAGTTATTTCACTGCATTATATCCAGTTTTGGTATTAAAAGCGATTAATGGCTCAGGGCACTTGAAAAATTATTAGAGACTCACATATTTTTGTTTGCTGCTCACAAATCACAAGTTAAAACGAAACTTTCAAAGATACTGCCACTCAAAAGTTGAAAAATCCACTATTTCTGGATCTCACTTCTAATAATAAAAAACTTGTGAAATGACACCTTCTTTTCAAAATCGCATGCTGTGGACCTTTACTCACTTGCACCTTAAATTTTTTTCAATAAAAATTTTCGGTTATCCCAAAATTATATCTTTTCTTGACTAAATGACACTTTTTCAAGAGACATTTTCTTTATACTACTTGCAGAGTAGTTGATTCAAATGGGCGTCTTCTTTTGGTTTGTATCAAATAAACTTATGTGCTTGATCTACACATCTTGGTGAAGAGGTTATTTCAAAGTCAATTAGTTTCTTTGGAAGTACCCAGCATTTTTTAAATATGGAGAAGTTACATCTTTTCAATCTAATTGTATTTTATATAATTATTTATTTATGAACAAAAATGTACATGTGTTGAGATGAGAAGCGGCATTATATTTTAGATCGCAACCAAATTGTTATTGACCACTATTTCCTAATCACGTGCAATCGCGGGGATTGAAACCGTAACAGTAACAACGAACTAATCATAAACTTAAAAAGATTTGAGATACAAACAATTCAACAGCTGTCTATGTTCAATGGATTTGTTGATGAAATGAATTATTCATACATTACAATGTCAAAAACTTGTGTTGAGGAAGTGAAATCATTGAAAGAAGTACCCTTTACACATCAATGAAAACATTTTCAAGATTTTTCAATATAATTTCCATTTCCTAATACTTGACTATTGATACAACAAATAATAACCAAAACATGATTCTAAACGAAGGTTATTTTGGTGAAATAGAAGTTCTTTATTCCAAGAAAACATCTGAAACTACTTAATAAAGGTCCTAGCATGTAGTTGTGAAAAAAGATGTCATCAAGTTTTGACTTTTGAGTGACCATATCTGTTGAAGTAAATGGGAGCACTAAGACTTAACTTAAGATTGTTGATCAGTGGACAAAAATATGAGTTCAATAAAAAATTGATGAGAACTAGCAGGAGCCATTAGAATGAATAACTATGGCATTAATCATCACACACAGTGAAGGTACAGGTACAATGATTACATTTATCCTGTCCTTATAAAGGATTATAGAAATGTTTCAATCTACTTTTAAAATAGATTAAAGAGATCGAAGCTGTCAATTTGAACAAAGTCAATTATAATATAACAAAAGATACCCACCTTTGTTTATCTTTATTTTAGGAATAGGGTGATAGATATTATTTTGCTGCAGCCATGAATCTATCCACAGCTCATCATTGGACTGACTGTACAGCGTTTGCAAAATATTAGTCCTAGGATCCGTTATAACCGACACCTCAAGATTAACACTACGATTAGAAAAGTTTTGATATTTTAAAAAGTTCATTATAAAAATTTAGTATTTGTCTTTACTGAAAGATACACTTCAAAATTAACACATATGCAGTTCACTGGCCTTAGGCAACTGTAACTTGGCTTCTTCCAAAACTTTCTGTGCAGTTAAGTAGGATTCATCCTCTTTTAAGTCCTGTTCAGTTTCAAGGATTTGTTTCAATTCTTCAAAAGCAACTGCAAGTCTACGTTGACAATCAGGAACCATCATTTGGCATTCATTCAGAACTTCTTCTTGCTTTTTTATTTCATATTCATCTTTGCCCTGACCTTTCAGTTTTTCAATGCGGTTTTTTTGTTGATCTGCTTCTAGTTCATATACAGTTTTTTCTTTTGCCAATCTTTTTACCACGCCGGTTTTGATTTTGATGGTTCTCAGACGTGAATCAGCCATTATACACAATATTTTCAAATATAGATCAATACCTCTGAAAACATATATTCAAAGGAACTTTTCTCGCAATGAAATGAGTCACGCTGTCAGAAAATTCTTATTATCACGATCACAAAACGATCACCAGTTTCTTCCATTTTTGCCGACACTTCAAACCTTCAAATCACAAAACACTTTCTCCTTCAAACTACAGAATAAAGGTGAATCAAAACATATATATTCAAAGGACGTTTGTCGCAATGAAATGAGTCACGCGGTCAGTAAATTCTGATTATCACGATCACAAAACGGTCACCAGTTTCTTCCATTTTTCCCGACACTTCAAACTAAACCACAAAACACTTTTTCCTTCAAACTACAGAAAATAAATGAATCAATCAAGGGACGTTTCTCGCAATGAAAGAGTTACGATGTCAGAAAATTCTGATTATCACGATCACCAGCCTCTTCCATTTTTCCTCGACACTTCAAAAATTCGAACCACAAAAAACGTATTTTTCAAACTACAGAATAGGAATGAATCAAAATTTGATGTTTTCTTTCCATACTGTGTTCAAACTTTGAGTACAGTGTTGCCGGCTCACAGTATCTTTGAAAACAAAAAATTTGAAGAGAAACGAAAAAAATACTAGATCAAATACATCAACGATTTCCCGTAGTAGAGTAAGCATTCCTACAGTATTTAACAGGAACAGTGTAAATAGATTTCTCTGCAAGGGTAAAATTTTTACACTTTTTGGTTTTCATGCCCCTCGATGAGTTTCACTTTCTCAAAATAACGTCTCAGAGGCGGTTCCGTGGAAAGAAATTTCATTTTGATAGAAAACACGCATATGCCTGTTTTTAAAATATTTCGATTTTAACAAATATATATTACCAACAATAAAGCTGTGAAAACTGTTTAGAGATATAAATGAAACTTTCATTTCTTTATAATACAAAATTGATGATGCCGTTTTATCGAATAGAGACATAAATTGAATTATCTGAAGGAACAATTCGTTCAGGCCAGTCTTCTCCACACATAGAACTATATTATAGTTCTGTGGTCTTCCCTTACAGTAGTTTCATGGACTGACACCTATCAGAAAACAACTACACCCCTCCCTATGTAGTCTATATACAAAGCTAATACCTTTGTATATAGACTACACAAACTACTTACTCTCGTGGTTTGTGATAGACTATAAAGCTGAGCTAATACCATGAAGGGCGTTGGATTTCATCCGACAGGTGTCAATGCAGGATTTCATGGAAATGTCAATACAGAATATTAGCAGCATTTTGATAATATGTAACAAAATAATACTAATAATAGGGCAGAATTAGAAAATTTCACATTAGCATATTTTTTCTCTTACACTCTAAGTGAGTACACACTTGTCTTGTGCAGTGAGAAAAAACAGCGTAAAGTGAATACATAGACAACAATTAAAAAGAAATGAAAAAAAGAATGGCATTTACAATAACAATTCTTTTTGTTTTTCTTGGATAGTATGCACCCCAAGTTTGAGTAGTCCCTTGTCCCTTCGAACACAATTTGGCCTATACAAATGGTTGGCGTCATTAGTATTATTAACGATTACCAGATATATTGGTGTTTTGCTGTTTCGCATAAAACCGATTAGACTTATGACATAGTAAGCTTTCTACTCTGCTACTGTGCTTATGACCAGAGTCTGTTATGACTGAAAAAATGGAGTTTGGAACATGTCCATTTGTCAATGTCAACATTGTCAAATTCCGATGAAAGTGAAAATAAATGATATGTAACTGGATTGATAAATTAATTTATATTATCAGTCAAGAAAGACTCATAAGTAAATATGAAAGTCAATTTAAGATAATCTGTTTTGTTCTCTACGTTTGTTTAGTTTGCCACAGTCATAATCAACACGCAAGTTGCGATGAGTCATCACCGATGAAAGTGACAGAGACAAACATCCGTTCTAGTAAACAATTATTTACCCAGAAAGTAAATAAAAATATACAAAGCGTAGGTGCCTTATATTCATATTTCAGGTGTTAGATACTTGAAGTCCATTCAAATGGACGAGAGGAGAGTTGCAGATTATTTTGTTGTTGCTGGTCTACCAGATGATCCAGAACCTCTGGATGAGACTACTCTTTCGGAAGGAGGCAATCTCAAAGCTAGCCATGGACAGCCTCCTATTACAGATATTAGTGTTATATTCCCAGCTTTGGGGGAGACTAAGCCAGACGATTACGAGGTCATTACAAGGACTCCCTCAGGGTTGACTGCTGACCTAAACCATGGGAGTTTACGCACCAATGAATGTTTTCTGTGCATCAGGAGAGGAAGAGATAAACCCCCTTTGGTTGATATCGGTAAAGTTTTTTATTTTTACAAAATGAATAACTCCATTTTTGGAAAAATTTGTTCTGCTTCTCCATTAGTGAATGAAAGAGTATTAATATGACATTTGGTGTTTTCACTAGAAATTCTGGGTTCAGTTTGAGTTTAGAAGCAATTCTTCTGAGAGATATTTTAAAATCAATATTTTTCCATTCATAACATTGGTTTGAATTAATGGAAACAGTCAAAAATTACTTCATTCTTCACAAACCTACTTTCATGAATTACTTTTAGGTGTTATGTATGAAGGCAAAGAAAGACTCATGGAAGACGCAGGAGTTGTTAAAGAAAGTGTTGGCGGTAACGTGGCTAATGTAAATAACTCCACATCACAAACTTTCATCACATACAGAAGAGGGCTAGCTTCCATGCCTTGTAATGCTTTGGTCGTGACAGACGTTTGTGTTGTAATAGCTAGTAAGAGTGAATCTCCTCCTCACGCTTTCTGCTGTATAAACAAAAATCTCAACAAAGGAATTGTTGGCAGTGATGTTTTTCTATGCTATAAAAAGTCTATGAATCGAGCCAAGCTGCTCACTTACAAACCTGCAGTTCTTTCAAGGTATGTTTTGTAGATGACTGTATGACAGGTGTTACACACTTAGTTTGGCATTAGTTCAGTCCATGACCTTGATCACCTGATTGACCCATGAACGACATTATTCTATCATTAATCAGTAATATCATACATAGAGTAATGCCGTTCATGGGTCAATCAGTTTGTCATCAGTTCATTCGTGATCAAGGTCATGGACTGAACTGATGCCAAACTGAGTGTGTAACACCTGTCTATGGGCGATTGACAGAATAGTTAGAATATTTATTATATTTTGTTCACAATATACAAAATTGTATATTATGAACATAATATACAATATACATAATAAACAAAATTGTATACTATGAATATTTTCTTGGGAAATATATTGTTTCCTTTGCTTTTCATTATAGAGTAATGTTCTTTTTTACAAAAATGCCATTAAAATGACAGAAATTTGAATAAGAACGGTGAAGTGTGCAAAATTTAACATTTATCATGCTTTCATCATTACACACAGTATGAATACTTCTGAATTAAAATCAATCATAAAAACAAAAGTAAAAGAATATTGTAGCTTCTTCACAAATGGACATTTTCAAATGAAACACTTAAGAAAGAAACATTACTGTTTTTTTATGATCACTGAATTAAACTAAATATATTTTTATGTTTTCTTCAAAATATCTTACCTGCAGGCCTATTTCCATCCTCAGTTGAGATCATTAATATTGTCACTAAAATGACAATTCAGTGAAAATTTTATGCTGGCCAATTTTGAAATAGTGAACTTTTCTGCCTGTGAAACACTTATTTACATGTATCTGCATCATCAATAGATGAACATTTCAATCTAGCAGACCACTATTATAATATTCATGCAGTCATTGCTCGCTGTGGTTTTGGCGTTGAATCTGGTCATTATTACGCCTTGGTCAAAGACGAAACGGACTAGTTAAATTTGACGATAGTCGTGTCACTACGTGTTCTGGCGATGTATTGAATTTATTGGAGCCTCTTGAGACACCATACATTTTGTTTTTTGAGAGGGAGGACATTGGCAGATCAAAATCTTCAGATGATGTGGTGATGAAGGTTTTTCCGGGTTTTCCTACAGCTGAAAAAGCAAATGTGCCACTGGAATCAATGAAGTCATCTTGGAGCGCCAATTAATTTTTGTTGTTGTTTTTATAATTTCACGATTTATATTTTCGAAAAAAAATCCAAATATTTTTTGAAAAATTTTATCCCATAAAGTCAGTTACAAAAAAATGCCTTACTGTTTCGGATTTGAAGACATTGTTGGGGAATTTATTTTGACACTAATAGTGCTTTGAAACAGTGGTAAATGATTGTAAAACCTTTTTTTTTAACAACCATTGGCTAAACTGCTACCAACAAAATATAAATGGTTTGCCATAAAATTATTGACAATTTAGGAAATGGGAATGCCATTGAATTGACTTATAATTTTTTCTGCATATAGTTTTTTTTTTTTTAATATTTCATATATCAAGAAATACACATGACAAACATTCAACAATTTAAAGTTTGCGGAATCACGTGAGGATGATAAAGTCTTGTGGGCAACTATTTTGATAGTCCCCTGTATAGTTCACCCAATATTTTTAATTTTTTTTAGGTATCCAACAAAAGATCTAGCAGACTTTCCCTTTCCAAATTCAGTGCCTTTATTCTGCTTACCGATGGGTGCCACTCTAGAGCTATGGCCACAAGAAGCAACCCAACCCAAACCTGTCTTCAGCACTTTCGTTCTGACTGTTTCAGATGCAAAACATAAAGTATATGGATCTGCTGTTACTTTCTACGAAAAAATTTCTGAAGAGGAGCTCTCACCTAAACAAAAAGAACTTCTCAAATTATCCGAGGGCTCTGATTTTGCACTACACGTTAATAAAAGTATTTGTGTTCTGTCACACTGGCCGTTCTCTGATGATTTCCAAACCTGGTTGAGGTGGTTGCATGTAAGTATTTAATACTGTTATTGAAGTACAGTAGAACTTTTTGTTTCATTATTAAAAATGATAGCAAATATACACTGATAGCTATTTTTCGGGTTAAAGGTGAATATCCAATCAATACAACACAAATTTGTGGTATTTTTTCGAAAGAATTTCATATTTAGTATGATGAAAGGGTATTTTGAAAATTTCTGTATTTCTTGTTTCCTTTGGATTCATATTTAAAGTTATAAATTCAGCAAGTTCCGGGGAATTCATGGTCCCATTGATTATTTTGTGAATTAGCGTAAGATCTGAAAGTAGTTGTTACGAAAGGATTTTTTCTTACAGTTTGTATAATTTTTTATGAATCTATTACTTCAATTTTCAAAGGACAAGAAAAATGAATAATATGATGGTATTGTTTGAACTTGTATATTATGCAATATCACTTGTATGTTACATCAAATGACTATTCTTCCACTTCTTGCTTACCCACTCATTATGTCAGACTCAATGTTGAAAGTTGAGTTTAATTTTTTTTTTATAACTTTTAACTTATAACAAGTTTTTATTTTATAACTTTCATGAAAGATTTAGTGGTTTAAAAATATACTGAAGACATCTTTATGAATCATTTTTTATTAACAATGGAACACTTAGAATAATTCTGGGGAAATAAATGTTCCAACAAGTATAATTTGTAGGTCAATTAATCTTCGATAAAATGTTTGATGAACTTAATATTTCAAACAACTGTAGGGAAGTGAGTAAATGTGATGTGTACAATATAAGTGAAATCTGTTGATTTAAACAAAATCAACAATGACAAATTTCGGTAAACATTACGAGCAATCATTGAACTTATTGAATCATCGATAAAATTATCGAAATAAGTTGAGAAAACAACAACAATAACGACACTTGACAATTATTACATTTAATTGAATGATGCTGTACAATAACAGTAACACAATTCAGATGAAAACAGATCCTTAAAAAACAAAGCATTCTTGATCCAATGCCAGACAGCTTTGTTTCGCCCCTTCCAATTCTCATCAGTGGTGCTAAGCTGGACCCCCAGATGCTTTACTGGAATCCCAGCCTGAAAAGCCTACAAAGACGTCATATATGGAATCGACAGAAGACTCTGTCCACAAATATCAGAATAAAGGAGATACAATGTTCTAATCCAGCGACAAAGGTTCAAAAACACCATTTGTGAGTTGTTTTAGTGATCAAACGGGATGCGCTGTCTTGCTGCAACCATATTTTGGTGTTCGGTTACATCAGGGGTATAGGAAATAATACCCCTAAAGTAGATATTAATTAATTTCGAAGGAAGTTGAGGTTTCTCTGCTACTAGTCGTCTTCAGTTGTTTACTGAAGATGTCTGCCGTAGAAGCAGACAAAACTTTTCTTGGCCATGATCTAGCGGTGTTCAACATTTGAATTTGTTTTAAAAGATTTTACAGCATATTCAATCTGACAACGTGGCATTTTTAATAACTGAAATAATTTGTGATTATATTATATGTAAAATGTATTGAATATGAAATAATTTGACATGATTGAGACCACAAAGCAATAAAGCCATCATTTATATATTCTATGTAAATTAATCAACTGTAATGGAAGGTTGAAGAAGATAATCCAAAATATGAAAAAGATTGAGAAATGGTTGAATGATCTCAATCTAACAATGAACTTAGAAAAGACAGTTTTCATGAACTGTGAGCAAAAAAATATGAACAGTGTAAAACTGAATCTTAAACTTGAGAACAAATTAGTCAACGAAGTCGAAAAACATAAATATTTAGATCTAATGATTGATAAAGATTTAAATTTTAAAAGCCATAAATAAAATTAAATAATCGATTGTACCACTGGTAGGAGCAATCAGAAGAATACATTTTTTAGATGTTCATATACAAATTCTAATATATGATGACCATCTTCTCTCTCGATTTAGATATCTCGTTACAATTTGGTCATCCTGTACTAATAGGAAAAAAGTATAATTTATTGTTTAATGAATGAAGCTATAAAGATAATATTCAATAAACCATGGCTACTCCATCTTTGGAATTATACAAAGTGAATAATAATATATGACTTTGAATCATGTAATACTCTCAATTAGTATATAAATTGTAAAAATTTCCTGAAAAGTAACATTCACTTATTAAAACATTCTAAATTACATTATCATAATGCAAAAAGTTTCAGTGATTTTCATCTTGATGCAATTTATACTAACCAAAGAATAATCCGATTTCAAATTGTTTGGCAGTTTTTAATAAATTGACTGAAAAAATAAAAAATTTGAAACAGTTCATATATTTTCCAAAAACATCAAAGACATTTTTTTAGTTTGAGGAAATTATAATTATTTGATAATTTTTATTAAAGAATTTTTGTACCTAATAAATAATACAAAAAAAGTCTGTATGTTTGGAAATATTTTTAAAATATTTCCTTAGCTTTACAACAATCTGTGGTTGAGCTGCTATATTATGAATAATACTTGAGAATCAATGTTTTACAGAATATAGGTACAAACGGAAAACCTCAACCAATTCCTGTCGAACGTTACATAACGCAACTGTTGGATGAAGTTCCATTCCCGTCCCCCAGAATATTGCTACAGATGTCGCCCAACCTTAACACCGACACAGTCATTTTGACGCAGCCTGAAGATTTGCCATTGCCTAGAAGCGCAGCTAGTTTCAAACAACTGCTCATCAACTTGGGCCCGGAAAATTGCCTGCAAGTTTTATTGCTGATGTTAACGGAACAGAAAGTGTTGATACACTCTTTGAGACCTGATACGTTGACGTCGGTAGCTGAAGCTGTTTCGACAATGTTGTTCCCATTCAAGTGGCAGTGTCCTTACATTCCTCTTTGCCCTCTCGGTTAGTATGTTGATAGTAATTCTTATTAAAAATTTGCATTTAGATTTATTTCACACATTAACTCACATGATAAATATAAATATTTTATTGAACTTTAAAATAATAAGGAGGAAACTGTGACTAGATGCAATGATGATAGAGGATTCTCTTTGAATCATAAAAGAGATGAAAAAAAAAGAACATAAAGTCATGAAGAATAAACGATTATTCAAATGACAATTTTTGTAATTCGAAGCAACCCTGAAATTTTCTTTTGTTAGACGTTGAAAGTAATAAAAAATACATTTTTGTCTCAATATTATCGGAACTACCAATAGTTAGAATATATCAGTTCGATTCAATTCAAATATACTTTATTGTCTCAAGAATAAATTCTTATTGACAAAGCCTTATGCGAAATATAAATAACATATACATGAAATCACAAAAGTAAAATCACTAAAAGTAAGTGATAACATGAACTGAAAAGAGACATGTAAATAATAACAAACGTTCAGGATATAAGAACATGGTCAATAAAATTGAATAAATCAATTTAAACTAAATTGAATAAAATCAAAACAATAAAATACCGTAGATATTACAGTTAGTCTTCTCAATTAAAATTATCATCGTAGAATTCTGCTAAGCTATAATAAGGTCTCACAGAAAGCAAGTCTTTCAACTCTTTCTTAAGAGCTCTGAAGTCATTTATGCTTCTTATAGCCCGAGGAAGGTGATTGAACATTTTGAGACCGTTGTAATTAATGGACTTTAACTAGGGTCGAAGAAGGCAGCGGTAATTTAAAGCTGAATCTTTGCCTGGTTTGATACATTGGCGCGTCCAAATTGTTAAACAATACCCCATTTTAGAAGAGAAGGCAGATTGTCTCATAAATAAATAAGGAGACCACAGTTAGAATTCTGTTAGAGGCCAAAAGAGGCCGATAAGAGTCCCTACGCTTGGCTTTGTATATGCATCATATTGCACGTTTTTGTATTAGTAATACTGATTGAAGGCATGTGGTAGAAAACACACCCCAAAAGCAAATACCATAACGAATATGGGATTCAAAAAGGAAATGATAAACCATTCTAGCTTCTGCAGATCCGAGCTCAAATGCAGTTACTCGTATTGCATAACATCCAGAGGAAAGCTTCGATTTCAAAGTATCTAGGTACATGTTTGTTGAATTTTAAATTGCTGTCAATGAACAAGCCAAGGAATGTAGAAGTTGGTACGTTGTCAATTTGAATATTATTTAGATGTACGGCTGGAATCTGGCAACGATAGGACACTACTTTTGTTTTTGATAAATTCAAGCTCAAGAGATTTGAGTTATTACCACTTTTTGTTTGTTACAAAATCAACTTCAAAAAAGTCTCTTGCATTTTCATTTGTTAAAGGTAACGTTTCCCCAAAATTTGGCATTAAAAACATAATATTCACATGGTGCTTGCATTGAAATTTATTAGGACCTAAATTAATGAAGTGAAAAAGAAACTTGATGTAAAGTATTTGATAATTTCAATAACAATATTATTGTTTCTAGAGAGGTCTAACACTAAATTCGTAATTCAAATACTCCAAGAAATCAATTTGGGAATCAATAACACAAATTTGATATGCCTTTTTTTTTATATATGCATTAGTAAAACTCAACTTCATTTCAATCCAGATTTTTACAAATCATAAACATTTGTGAATTGTAGAAGTCTAGCGAAGAACGGTCAATGTCCATTTGGTATTTGCCAATAAATTACTTTTAATTTCATTATTATTGAACTGTGATATACTGTTTGGTATACAGTTTTATCTTCCTCTTGAAGATGATCACTTGGTGATCGAAACACGTGTCGAGGTGTAAAAATAAAGGAAGATAAAACAGTTTTATCTTCCTCTTGAAGATGATCACTTGGTGATCGAAACACGTGTCGAGGTGTAAAAATAACGATTTGGTGTTGGGAAAAAACTCCAGTAATATTCATTATTGAACTGGGTTATAGACAAGTATACAGCATACAAAGTATGTTCAACAAATAGGGTGAATTTTCATTTTTCTCAAAGAATTTTCATTTATTCATCAATTTCTATATTGCCCCCTTCAAAGTATTTCCCCTCAGACATAATGCACTAGTGCCAGAGTTTTTTCCAACCCTAGAAAAGGTGAGATTCACTTTTTGGTATGTCCTTGAGCTGCCTCAGCGATAAGGTTTTCATCTGCTCAATCTTTGCAAAACGCCGTCCTTTCGTGGGTCTCTTCAATCTTAGGAACAGGAAAAAGTCGCAAGGGGCCAAATCTGGTGAATACGGTGGCTGCGGCACGATTATGGTGTTGTTTTTGGCCAAAAAATTGTACCATTTGTAAACATTATTCTGACTCAGAGTACAATCACCGTATGCCACTGTCAACATTTCGAGTGTTATTGAGCACCTAATTCCATTTTTCATTAAAAATTTCATGCAAATTCTTCGATATTTTTTTTGATAGCGGAAAATCGCCTAACACGCAAAAAAAACTTCTAATATTAATGCCTCTCACCAACAAATTGAACATGCTTGACAGCTGAAAGTGTGAACATATGTTCGAGACGAGTGTACCAACATGAAAAAAATTAAATAATCAAATGTACGTACTGTCGCAACTCATGTACTCGCTTGGCTTATCAACGAGATAATTTTATTCGCTGTTTCACCCATTGACCATTCATCCAAATGATGAAAGAACTCATTGAAAAACTTAATTGAATATTTATTGTAACGAAATGGGGAAAATACTTCAGGAATAAACTTACACTAAAATGTTAGTAAAAAATACAATAAATCAAATTACATTATGCTGCCACCCAGCAGGATCGAAGAAAAGGGGATGTGCTGCATTGCCGGAACCTTTTCTGAAGATCAATAGATACTGAACGAATTTCTCAATACTGTTTGTTTCTGATCTTGACCTCCCTCAATATTTATGAAGATTTATACGCTGACATTGCAACTTTGTTTTATATTTCTATATCCTGTGATCGTATCAATTTCGATGTCTATGAACTTGGAATATTAAAAGATGTAATTCTGAATACTGAGTGATTTTGTTTTAGAATATTGAAGTTGAGGTTGAAACATCTTTCAATGAATTTGAATTTTTTTATGATTATTTTCCATATTTGAACATTCACCTTATTTTTTTAACAGACCTCGTGTTTATCATTTCTGAAAAATGTTTTTCGATAGGTCTAGTCGAAGTTCTACATGCACCGCTACCATTTCTAATTGGGGTAGACTCGAGGTATTTTGATTTATATGATCCGCCACCTGATGTAAGCTGCATCGATCTGGATACCAATATAATAACGGTAATGTTGTTACAATATTTTTCGTGTTTTTTCTTATTCATTTGTAATTCAGATAGCTGAAACCCAAAGACAAACTCTGAACTTCAAGTTACTTCCTAAAAGAGCAGCAAAAATTCTAAAATCGACGCTAGACTATCTTTATTATCAGTTGAGGAACAATACTTCTGTAGCCTCAGATACTGTCAATCAGGATGACATAGAGCTGGAGTTCCAAAGAAGAAAGAAAGAGGTGAGTTTATGTCCAAAAACTCAACTTAAATTTCCACCTCAACCTCCTCTGATTCGAGATGTATTTTAGCAAGCTCAAGAACTGGAAATTCAAGAGGCTTTTCTCAAATTTATGGCCATGGCACTGAAAGGCTATCGTTCGTATCTTCTGCCAATAACTAAGGCTCCGACAGTTGGAACGACGGATCCTCAGGCGTTATTCCAACTGAATGACTTCCTGAGAAGTAGGGATAAGACTCACCACAAGTTCTTCACTTTATTGATGAGAACTCAGATGTTCATCAGGTAAAATATTTTTATTTTTTTCCTTGCTAAAACATAATCATGCTATTTCCTTGAGTATATATGGTTTTCAAAAAGCACTTGCACTAATTGAAGATTCAGTAATTTATGGAGGCAGTAAGATGTTCATCACTTACCAAAAGAAATTGAAGAAATAAGTTCAGTAGAACATTTGAGAAAGGAAGTAAAAGCTCTCCTGTTTTATAATGATGCATTCTAACTCAAGCTTGTTTTAATATGTTGTAAAATGTTTCTCATGTGCTAGATGTTATATATTGTAGGTAAGAGACATTCTGGTATAATGTCGGTGTCGAATTATTGTTTCATTTCTTGTTTCTGTGTGTGTATTTTGCTTTAACTCAATTGAATATTGTTTTAGGCCTTAACTTTGTCAACAAAATTTTGTATTTTTGAACAATAAAGCATATTCTTTCTCTCTCACTCTATTATTGGGTGCTTTTTGTACTACTTGGGAACCACCTGAATTGTCCACTTTTCCCAAGTCTTGTGAAAACACTGCAGCCTCATGCACTTATTGCGTTTTCCTCCATCTTTTTCATGACACCTGTTCTAACAATCTTGTCGTGCGTACTAGTTTGAACAGGTTCCTTACTAGTTGTACGAGGGTGGCCTGAAAAGTTTTCGACCTCAACATGAAGATGGCAGCACTCGTTAATAAAAGCTAGTGAATTTCGTTTTTCATCTGTTGACAGTAAATCACCAAAGTTTCAGCCATTTCAGACGCGCAGTTGTTATGTAACAGTCGTTTTAGTGAATTGATGTGAGTGTTTTTATGAAAATGGGGTAAAAACCTTTCCCCCAGGTGCGACTATGAAGATGATATGCAAACAATCAGCCACATCGTTGAAGACTGGCCCACTGAGGGCCTACACCGGTGACTCCTCGGACTTCCGGACAGCGACTAATATATACGTGACTTAAATGTTTGTTTGTAAACTTAATTTCCTGTGTTTTTTTAAGCTTTTATACAATTATGTTTGTTTTGTTAACTTTTGTGATGTGAATAAGCCATATTCTAAATACATAAATATGAAAATGAACAAAATCGAGTATCGAGCGCAAATCAAAGATGAATTGGATTCTGTGTAAGGGGACTCTGCACCACCATGTCACTCTACAGTGAAATTTTGGACAGCTGAATTTAAACATGGCCGTAAGAGCTTGGGAGACGATGAATGTTTGCGACTTCCAAAAACTTCAACTACCGACGAAAACATCTCTAAAGTTCACCAAATGGTGTTAGACGACCACTGAATCAAAGTGAGAGAAATAGCAGAGGTTATGAACATGTCAAAAAAAATGTGTTTGTCATAATATATTAAATCAACATTTAGGCATGAGAAAGCTGTCTGCGCGTTGGGTGCCGCGTTTGCTCATTTAGGCCAAAAACGTGTTCTAACCAACGTTTCCAACGCGCTCTGTTGGCGCAGCTTAGGCGCAATAGATCCAAGTTTTGGCGCCGATTATTTACTGTAGATGAAACTCGTATTTACTATTATACGCCCGAAACAATAAATACAGTCCAAACAGTGGACTGCAAAGGAGGAACCGGCTCCAAAAAAGCAGAAACTGTTTTTTCGGCTGGGAAACTGATGGCGATGTTTTTTTTTTGGATAGTCGTGGAGTTATTTTAATCGATTATTTGCAAGAAGGAAAACTATTACAGTAGCATACTACACATAACTACTTGACAAGCTGAAGGCAGAACTTGCGGAAAAACGCCCACATTTGTAGAAAAAGAAAATCCTGGTTCACCAAGACAACACATCATCTCACAGTTGCAATGGCAAAAATCAAGAATAACGGTTTGAACTGCTTGACCATCCGCCTTACTCACCAGATCTACCCCCAGGTGACTTATTTTTGTTCCCTCATTTGAAAATTGCGCTCGGAGGACAGAGATTTTCGTCAAATGAAGAGGTAATCACCTTCGTGTACAATTTTTTTGCAGAGAAAAACGCCGAATACTATTCAGACTATGTTGAAAAATTTTAAAAAAATGTCTTGTATCGGAAACTTTTCAGACCACTGTCGTATGTGATATTTTTCTGGACATATTTTGGATTGACCATAAATTGTTTGCTTCCCGTGATCCAGTGCTTCACATTTGCATAAAATATAATGAGCTGCATTGGCTACAGCTAAGGTCTTCGTTGTACAGCCATATTTTGTCCAGGTGTCCTCCCAGTGGACAGTGAGTAATTGTTCTGAGGAACTCACACAGGTTTTCCCCTGTGGAAATCTCCCACAATTGATTTTCTTATAAAATTAGTAAAACTGTTGTACACAATCATATATTGAACTCAAATACATTTTAAATATCCTCTACTTTGTATGCTTTTTTTACCTTTTCACTAAATATATATGTTGGTTTATATAATATATAATAACAAGTGTGAAATAATTAAGAACTTTTCTCTTATTCCAAGGTCGTATATTTCTATTGAAAATGTTATCTAAAGAACAGTCTTGACATTTTACTGTAAAACCGTAATGAGCTAATGTCATTAATTCAATCAATCAATTTATTCAATTCACATACATACATACAAGTAAAATAATACTTTATATTCAAGATTCATTGAAGAAAGAAGCTTCGTAGCAGATGGTGATCAAGGTTTGGCCTTTTTCGACGACTGCATGGAGAAAATCGGAAATGAAGAGGGGCCTATGTTAAGACTGATAGAATTGGATTTGATGCATAAGAGTGATAGGACAGTATTCGTTCTGCCTCCAGAGCCAACTGCGCCTGGTATATTGATAAAAAAAGTTTATTTGTATATTTTCGAAACGAAAACTTTTTTTTCAGGTGAATTTTGTGAATATACCCGTTTCAACTTAAACCCTGAACTGCTCATCACCTTTGGCAAAAAGAAGAACCCCCTTTCTTCTTTGATGCAATCTGTTATTCCTGGGTCTCCCATGGCAAGAAGAACAAAACAGGAGATAAAATTTGCTCAAAAATTAGCCAGGTACAGAAATACTTTTCTCTCTTCAGATTGGTATAATTTCATACTGTGTTTTAGAAAATCTTTGCGGTCACCAGATTCATGGGCTAGATGTTTGTGCGGAACGTGTCACACCCTCTACTTCATGATCCTTCCCAGTATGCTTCACCTCAACGTGGGCAAAGAAAAAGCCATCTTGCAACAATCTTACGAGCTTCTTGTTAGAGCTACAAAGCTACGGTTAGCTTGTGACGAAGTTTGCTACAGACTGATGATGCAATTGTGTGGAGAACACTCCAGGCCGCTACTTGCCGTGAAACTTCTAGTTTTGATGAAAAAATTCGGTATCCAGCCGAACGCTCTTACATATGGGTGAGTCAGCTCATCATATAAGAGTTGCTCGTTTACTTCCTATTCGTAAATATGAACATGAACAATACTATATTTTCTATTAATATTAATATTAATACAAACAAATTAACAAAAAATTAAAGAAGCGTTTCGCATTTGTTCTTTCAATCTAGCAATAAATTCACTTTTTGCACCAGTCATAGCTTTTGCTCCATCACTACAAATAACAATGCATTTTTCTTCCCAATCGATATGTAGTGTTTGAGGGAAGTGCTCTGCAAAATAGTATTTCTTTCATCAATTTTTCATTGGATTGAAAACGCACAAAAGCGACAAACTGCGCACAACCCGTAATATCCGTAGATTCATCAAATTGCAAGGACACAAAAGTACTTTCTTTTATTTCTTCTATGAATTGGTCTTCAACGTCAGTCGCCATATCGCTTATCATGCGTTGAATGATATTGTCTGAGATCTACCGTCACTTACTCAGAAGTTTGCCAGAGAAGACGACAATGTAGAAATCATTAGAAAGTATGCTGTGACAAGAAACCCCCATGCAAGAGTAAGACATCGACACCCAACAGAAACACTGTTAGAAAAATTAACACAACTTTATAAATGAAATTGTTTTGTTTGTTCATTTTTATATCCATATAATTTTTTTTTTATAGAAAGCCATGTTATTTCAAAGCAATTTTGTTACACGGGCGGAAGGACTTCGGTCGATAGCCAGTTGAACAAAATTGTAATTTTTTGTTCAATAAATTGCAATTATTATTATTCTATGATTATTATCATAGATACTACCAAAAGAAAGCTTTGAAGTGTACTCATTATATTTTCCTGGTTAGGTTGTATAACCGATGTGTTTTGGAAGCTGAATGGCCAGCTTATTCAGGTACCAGCCAGCTCTTATGGAATAAATTGAGGAACGTAGTCATTGGAGCTGCTCACTTCAAATGGGCTGCTAGGAAGAGAGCTGCACGAACGCTGTCAGCTTCAACTGAGGGGGGTAAGTCTGAGAACTCAAATGTTTGAAACTTTGAAGAGAAGAGAAATTGTTATTGTTACTACTATAAAACAGTTTTCATCATGTCCTTCTCTGTCATAGTCTTAGATCTTTATTTGCTCCAGTTACATATAATGTACATATATAAACTCCGAGGAGTGTGGAACATGTCAGTAGTAAATAACAACTAAATAACAAATCAAAGTTTTACACTCATAATCAATATTATCTCACGAGTAGTTTTAAGACACAAAAAAAACAATATATACAAAAATCAGGCATATATAAATAACATTCATATAGTTAGCATACTATCATTTAAGAATTCCTGCAAGTTATAATAAGGTTTTTCTACGAGATAGCTCTTCAAACGACATTTCATTGTTGAAATTGGAAGATTTCTTAGAGTGAGTGGAAATTTATTGTAAATGTTTATAACGCTATGTTTGACATTTCTCTGTATGTATGTATAGTTGCATTTCTCATTTCTAAGATCATTCTTTGTTCTGGTGTTGTATAAGTGATCCTTTTCACAGTTAATGAAAAGTTCTGATTTATTTTCTGTTACAAATACTACTGCTTCATGTATATAGAGATTTATCAAAGTTAAAATTTTGCTCCCAATAAAAGCTTCTCTGCAGCTATCGTTTTTTTTTCATCTTATAGATATACCTAATACATTTTTTTTGTAGTATGAGTATCCTAGAGATACCAACAGAGTTTCCCCAGAATATTATTCCATATTTTATTCTAGATTGAATATAAGCATGGTATGCAGAGAGGGCAGCTTCAGTTGAGACATGTTCCGACAGTATTCTCAATGCATAGCAATATTTTGCAATATTTTTTGATAAGTAGTCTATGTGATTTTTCCAGTCCAGTCTCCTATCTATCAAGAGTCCCAAAAATGATTGCATATGTTTATATTTTGATTATTATATTCAAAGGTATTCAACTCTGGCGAGGATCTATTTGCTAAATGAATTATTTGAGTTTTTCAAAAAAGTTTATGAGTAATCAGCCAGACGTCATGTTTAAGACACGTCTCAGTAACTCTCAATTTGACCAAACGATAATATTGATACAATTTTTGCAGGTAGCAGCTTGCTAGATCAAACAGATCGGGCGATATCACGCTCCTCGCTAGATTCACACGAAGCAATAAAAGAAGACAGTGCTTATTTATTACGAAGAGGCACAAGCATCATAAAAGGCAGCTTGAACGGTTTGGAAGAGGTGGACGGTTTGGAAGCTAAAGAAAATGAAATCTGTGATAAAGAACCTGTTACCCATGACGAAGGTCAAATTGAAAAGAAATTCCTTACACCAGATAGCCCGTCAGAGTATAGGTTGCTGTCAAGATCCGAGAGCGCTGCTGACGCGAATCTTATCGACCAAATTCAGATCGGCAACAAAAAGAACTGTTCTAAAGCTCTTCAGTTCAGCAACAGGGAACCCACGGAAATTGTTGAGAATGGAAAGAACTCTCCATCAAAGTAAGTCGATACTTATACGTGTTCTTTGGAACAAGTGTTCAGAGTTTACTCAGTGTGACCAACGTAACTTCTGGAACATTTCTAGAGTTTCCCCTCGGGAAGTAGTGACCGAAAACGATCCTTTGGGGGCATTTGTCGAGCAGCCTCCAGAAGAAACGCCTGCTTCACCAAATGATCTGAACTTTGATTCTCGAATCAAAAATGACATGACAGTCGAACCTGTCCTGTTCAGATCAACCGTCCAGAGGTCGGCTACTTTTGAAGGCAGTCCTCCAGCTCAGAACAAATTGCATCGATCGGAAACGGTCCCAGCTTCAACGGTAGCTTCGAGTTTAGCTAATTTAGGGACGAGTTTGAAACTGGGTTTCAGGTGAGCTAATGTCTGTTGATTGTTCCTATGTAAATGTTTTTTTTGTTAAGGAGGCAGGGTTGAACTTATCAAAAAGGCAAAGAGGAAGTTTTATGTGGAGTGCTTGCCCTCTTTTATAGTTTTCAATGTGGGGATTCGTTGAAGATGAAGTATGCAACACCAGTTATCCGATATATTTTTTATATATTTCGATTTTATAAGCATTTACAATAATTTAAACCCTTATTAACAATAAGCATTCAGGAACTGTATCATGATAATTTTTCTGAATAGTAGCAAAAAATGTACCAAAAGTTTTTCTTAAATTGAAAAACCAACTTATTTCCACTGTCACTTCCGAATTTTCATTGCATACTATATTGACAATTATAATTGCAGTGTCATTTGACACTTGACAACTGAATGACTTTTTGTCAAAAACGTTCTAGCTTTAAGCAGGTTTGTTGATGAGTGAAAATATATAATTAAATCAATACTATCAATTTATTTCCATACGGTGATTGAATAGGAAATAATTTATATATGATGTGAAATATATACTAGAGTACTATGTGCTAAAAACTCTTCACTAAGTGTTCTGGCAATGTCTTGAATTTATTGGAGCCTTTGGAGACACCCTACATTTTGTTTTTTGAAAGAGAGGACGTTGGCAGATCAAGACCTTCAGATGATGTGGTGATGAAGGTTTTTCAGCTGAAAAAGCAAATGTGCCACTGGAATCAATGAAGTCATCCCGGAGCGCCAATTAATTTTTGTTGTTTCATAATTTTGTGATTTGTATTACTTTCTTCTTTAATATATATTTCGGAAGACATTGAATTGTTGATGTTTGAACTGGAATATCTACAAATGATCTGATTACAGTGAAAGTAATATAAAACACTTCACAAATTACATATAGGTAGACATTTGAAACTGACAATTTTAAAAATAGAGTAAGTAAATTAAAATATATTATTGAATGAAAGTATCCAATTAGCTGGAATAAAATTCTTCAATATTACAAAACATTTCCAACAGAAAAATTTTGAGATGCTTTCTGAATTTGAAGTCAGTAGTTTCCTTTTTAATTGATTCCGGGAGCTTATTGTAAATTCGTACGCCATTGGAGATAGGTCCCCCCTGAGAGTTACATTCAAATTATTTCGAGGTGTTTTTAGATGGTGGTTAAATCTAGTTGTATAACTGTGATCATTACTGAGTGCTAATACTTGTTTTATTTTTGAAAATGTAACAGGATATTTCTAAAATATACAAGCAAGAGAGAGGAAAAGTATTTTCAGATTGGCAAATAATGGTCTGCATGATTCTCTCGTGACTTTTATTTAATAAAGTTCTAAGGCATTTTTTCTGCAGTACAAATAATTTCTGAGCTGTTGATGATGAACCCCATAATAAGATTCCATATGTGAGTCATGACTGAATTTCAAGCATAATAAAGTAAAGCGTAAAGTGTTAATTTGTATTCATCTAGGTATTTGACAATATCTGCTATATATAAAGAGAACAATATAGGTGCAAGGACACTTCCCTGCGGTACCCCTATTCTTATCGATATCAAATTTGAGCAGTGTATGCTGTTTTCTCCATCATCCTTAATGTGAGATATCTGTACATATTGTTTTCTACCATCAAGATAAGATAACAATGGTTTCAACTGAAAAAATGGAAATATCACTTTTCAGTGTGATAATTACTCAAATTTCGGCTTATGCGACTAATTGGAAACATTCAGTGGGATTGGCAAAACTGAAAGTAAACATATTTATAACTAGAATTCAAAACTGAAAGTAAACATATTCACCACTAGAATTTCACTTGCAAAAATAATTGCGGAGATAATTTTGGGTCCAGATCCATGTTATGCTACTGCAATTATGGTCAATTTAATGCAATATAGTGACAGAAAGCGCTAAAACCACTAGTAACCTCTATCGAAAGTTGCCAAGTCACATGTTGCCTTATCAGTCAGCTGCCTTATCAGTTGTACACTTATATATTTTCTCAACATTTCTCACCGGTAGAAACTTCGCCAATCAAGACCAGGCAAAAAACGGCCTTCGTCGACTTCATCGAATCCCGAGCATACAATTTTTATGCTGATGGGATGAATTGTACTGATTCAAATGCCACTTATTTCGATTAAATTGAATTAGTGTTCACTCAGATATTACAGTTTCGAGGAGACTCATAAAAACGAACAAAACTTTTTAAACGACATCGATTCAGTTATTCATGAATGTCATAGAAAGCTGAAGTTGAGTTTTTTCAGATGGGAGTACCATATAACTTTCTAATTCATTTGGTACTTGCAATGCAAGGACTTGATAATTGTTTGAGTAAAGGTTCTGATTGTAAGTTTAGTTTAGAAAAACCACATAAACTTTGTATACAATTTCTCCAATAAAAACAACTAGATGGAGAAAACCTATGGAAATATTTGCCATTTTGATATTTTTAGATATTGATGTTGAATTGATTGATAATGATTAGAGATCACTTAATATTGTGGATGTTATTGAGAAACAAACCTGCCTCTGTAAAAATGGAATCAGTCTCTAAGTTACCGTGAAAACTTTATTGAAATCATTTCATTTATTTTTTTCATCCAATTGAAGATCTTGTCATATACATAATTTGACAAAAAATGTTATTTTTCCACACATTAGAACATAATTTGGAATCATATTGTAGATAACTGTAGATCTTTCATGATTATTCACATTCTTGATTCATTCATCTAATTTAAAAACATTTTTTTCTCAAATTTGCTATACAGAAACCTTTATATTTCTGAATATATTTACTATAAAAGAATAATACGATTGTACAACCAGTATCATTATTACTATTGTTAAAATAGAGATTTCACCTAACGAGAGATTTCACGTGACCCTGCTCATTATTATAAATGTTACCAGTAATCGTGCATGTGGCAGTTTCGTAGTGCATTATGCTTGACTGTCTTGCACTGCACGGAAGTAGTACCTAGTAGTAGATGTTTCATTTTAGCCGCTATTCACCATCACGCCTCTCCCTTCGCAAAGCCGACCTGAAAGTACCCCAGCAGTTCCTTGAGAATGCCATTAACAACTTCAGGTAAGTCATTCATCAAGTTTTGTTTCCTTATGAACGCTTTCTAAAACTTCAAAAAAATTAAAGGAACATGTATCGCGAACATAACCTAAAATTTGTAAATGTCACTTTTGTTTTTAACGCCCTTTCAGTAAAAAATTCTCTCGTAAGGAATATATAGCAAGAACATCCGATATAAATTGTTTTCATAAAAATAATCAAATTGATTTCTGACAACATGGGCCTCAGGATTGAACCTTGCGGCGCACTCGAACCAGATTTACAGTCAAAAGACTCGAATTTTTTTCATGTATGCAGTATTATTCTCGATTCATATCTGTTCGTTTTTTTTATAGTTAGATCTTAGCATGTTGATCATCGTTCGTTTTCCACCCTACATGTCTTTGTTTTTGTTTTTTCTAGTCCAAGTAGTTTAACTAGTAAAAAATCCAACGAACTAATACAAGGTGGTCTCAGTTCGATAAAATCCGCCGCGACGTCGATGGTCAAGCGGATGGAGGAGATCAAGGAGGCCATATCGACGTCGGCCAATTCGACGCCTGTCAAAGTCTCGGTGGGGGGTGATCGACTGGCGGCGGGCGACGCCCCGGAATGCGCCGAATGCGAATCTAATGAAGGCAGCGATTGTGGTGACAGGCACAGGAAAATATCTGCGGAACTGAGCAGCTACAGGGGTAGTTGCACGAATTTGAAAGACTACGACGAGCCGCTGCCCGAGAGCCTGTTTCCAATGCCGAAGGAAGACAGAACTGGTAAGTAATCCAATAATATTAATAATATGTGAAATAATGCATTCCCTGTCTATCTGTCTGTCATCCTTGGCTAATTAAGTCTGCTCAGGGTTCATGATCTCGGACCCAATGATTGCTTACCTCATGGTGTGGGAAGTGGTTATTGGTTATTGATGCCAGCGTACCCTCTGAATGTATCAGGTTTTTTACATCGGGCTCAACAGGCACAACCTCTTTTGGAGTAGTTGTGTGGTCACTTTATGCAAACTATGATTAACACAATCCAGTTGAAAGGACCATGAGAATTTTGAACGAGTTGAACATTGACCTTTTTAGATTTTCATATTAAAAATTCGGGAGATATATTAGGAATATTGTTTGATTTTTTAAAATTTAGAAGGAAACATAACTCCACCATTTTCTAGTCTTGATGCTTAGATAACGGGTGATTTTTTTAAAGGTATAGGATTTGATTTTCAAAACAGCACAAAAAAATTTGAAAAAATTGATGAAAACTCTATTGGAATCTATGGAACGATCATGCAAATGTTGCCGCGGCTCCGCTTTAGATGGCCAATGCGCAAGGTCCAATTTTGGCACACTCTCTCTAATATTGACCAGTATTTCACGTATAAATGCTTCAATATTGGCTTCCAGAGCGTCAGTCGTTGCTGGTTTATCCCTGTAGGCATGAGCCTTAACATGACCCCACAAGAAATAATCCAAAGGCGTGAGATAAACTGAAACGAAGGCGGCTCTTAATTGTGTTATTTTTTGGCGTGCCATGTCGCATGTGGCACTCTCTTGTTGAAATCACATGTCAGGCATGTCTAATTCTTCCATTTTGGACAACAAAAAGTCGTCAATAATCACACGGTAGCGCTCGCCATTCACGGTAACGTACCGGTCTTTGTCGTCTTTGAAGAAGTACGGCCCGATGATGCCACCGACCCATAATCCACACCAAACAGTGACTTTTTCGGGATGCATCGGTAGCTCTTGCAATGCTTGTGGCTGGTCTTCACTCCAGATACGGCAATTTTGCTCGTTAACGTATCCATTCAACCAGAAATGAGCCTCGTCGCTGAACACAATTTTTCGATAAAAATGTGGATCTTCCTCCAACTTTGCCAGCGCCCATTCACCAAATGTTAGACGTTGTGGGAGGTCGTGTGGCTTCAATTCTTGCACAAGCTGTATCTTATAAGGTTTTACACCCAAATCCTGTTGCTGCGAACGGCGGCGAATCGACATTTCACGGTCATCACGAACACTGGCGGATACAGCCGCAATATTTTCTTCGGTCCTCACTCTACGTATACGTGTTGGTGGTTTAATGTCCATTTGTAAACTAGGTTTAAAATTTAGTCACAAGCTTCCGAATAGCTCCCTCAGTAGGCCGACGAAACTGCCCATAAATTGGAAGAAGTGCACGATGCACTTTCTTCAACGAGCATGAATTTTGATAATGTTATTCAATAATTTGCAAGCGTTGTTCATTCGTTAGTCGATTCATGGTTAAATAATAGACCAAACTGAACAAGTTTGACAATGACACAAGACACGATTCACGCGTGATCTGTCAAAAACAGTGTTGCCAATATTGAATTTAGTGGAAATGAATAGCTTTTATTTTCAGACACCGAACTGGACATCACCTTAACGACATGTTCTCAATGTCACAACTGCTCATGCCTACTATACGACGAAGACATAATGGCCAACTGGTCACCAGAAGACTCGAATCTGAACACCCTTTGCCAAGCCTGTGGAAAGTCGACGGTACCTTTTCTAACTGTTGCAATAACGGGGCCAGACATCAAGCCGTGCGATCCCTTCAGCATACCGTACTTAAACCCGCTCGTATTGAGGAAGGAACTGGAGAACATCCTCGCTCAAGAAGGAGATTTGAGTCTCGCCGATTCCAAGTTCCTTGATGATCACCCCATCATCTATTGGAACTTGGTGTGGGTGTTTGAGAGGATCAATGTTCAAACGCACCTCCCGAACCTGTATTTGAGGAACAAAGCGGACAGCGGTAGTACGGGGAGTAACAAAAAATTGGACGACTCTTCTGTTGATTGTGGAATCGATAACGGAGGGGTTAATTTGATGAAACCTGTGGAAGAAGGGACTGATCCTCTCACGCAAGAACTCACGACTTTAGGTGAGTGTCAGTTATTTGTATTATTTCAGGAATGAGTGATTGCAAATTTATTGTAAATGTTTATAACGCTATATTTGACATTTCTCTGTATGTATGTATAGTTGCATTTCTCATTTCTAAGATCATTCTTTGTTCTGGTGTTGTATACGTGATCCTTTTCACAGTTAATGAAAAGTTCTGATTTGTTTTCTGTTACAAATACTACTGCTTCATATATATAGAGATTTATCATATGGTGATATCATATGGTCAGTCATACGTTTCATCTAGTCTGCTTAACCCTTCCAAATCATTCAAACAATGCTAAACCTTCTGGAAATAAAATCAAATTTGTTGAGTGAAAACACTCACTGTAAGTCTTGTGATAATTCAGTAACATGAAAAGTGTCGGAAAGTCAATTTTTTAAAAAAGGCTAATTCAACAAAGAAACGAGACCTCTGGCCCAGCTTGAATTGAATGCAAAAAATGTGGGCTAAAGAAACACTTTTCCATTCAATAGGGCAAAGTGGAAAAAAGGTTTTTGGCTTTCTACTTCTTCATTATATAAAAAAAGTGGAAAGACAACAATTTTTTAACTAATCTCTCCTACAAAATATCTCGCCTTTCAATTTAAGCTGATAGCCATTCAGCTATACTAAACTTTTACAGATCTGTTTCAATACTCCAACATGTGAGTAGACTATAAAATATTTTGTGGCACTAATACCAACATCAAAATAATATGGTTCAAGAATAAAATCTTTCATGCCATCAGAAGATGTTTTCTCAATTTTTCCATTTCATAGGAAAAATAGCTCGACAGTCTCATTTGTCAAATTCATGAGCAGATAATTTGAAGTGTACGAGGTCTGTTGAAAAATAAGCCGAATTTTCATTTTTCTCAAAAAATATTGTCGTAAATCATGCCCGAAGGAAAATAACGCCGGCCGCCACTGGTAACCATAAACCAAACGTGACGTAGCTAAGAGCGCGCGATGATTCCCCGCCACTCGAGAAGCAACGAAAATAATGCTACCGACTTCGAGAGAAATTTCTAAGGCATTCGATTAGGTACGATATTTAAACGCTAGCTGCGAGCATATCGACATAGACAAGTGGAAGCTACAGTGCGGTACGCGAAATGATCTGGTAAGGCGATAGACATTCAAATAATAGTTGAAGTTTTAGTCGAAGTGTTTGTTGTATTTTCAAAGTTAAATAAAGTTAAGTTTGATTATTCAGTGTAGTCAATTATAGGTCAACCCACGGGGAAAAACGTAACAATATTTATTTATTCATCAATTTCAATTTTTTTCCTTCATTCCCCTTTATTCCAATCAGCGAAGCAGTTCTGATATGCACATTTTGATATGTCCTTGAGCTCTCTCAGCAATTTAGTTTTTTATCTCCTTAATCGTCTCCTTTCTTCAATCTTGAACAGCAGAAAGTCGCATGGGGCCAAATCTGGTGAACACGCTGGCTAAGGAATGATTACGGTATTGTTTTTTGACAAAAAATTATGAACAAGCAATGACGAGTGGGGTGTGCATTATCGTGATGCAAAATAAGCTCAAACATTCAAATTTGACTTTTAAAATCAATGGTGACCAACACAAGCATTTGACAAGGTATTCAGGCAATCTGAAATTGATGAAAATGAAAACAAATATTGGGCAAAATTTGATTTATTATAAAGGTATCAAAATTTACAATGAGCTACCAAATGGTTTAAAAAAATTTAATGAACAAAAATTCCGAATTAATTTGAAAAAATATTGTTTGTATAGATATATTATCTGATGAGTACATTTATGTTCATGTGAATAATCATATTCAGAAATATATGTATTTATATATGTGTATAGATAGATAGATAGATTTTATTTAAACTGCATTCCAAACAGGTTTACACCTGATTATATGTATACAGTCAATGTCATGGTACATAAAATATATGATTTCAAAATACAGAGTAAATAAATACCTAAAATTACGTACAAGAGAAACATGAATAAAAACAGGTATATATGGCGCTTTTTTTTAAACGACTGTCTTATTTCGAATTCATCACAGCAAAAAATCAAGACTTTGATGACTTACGTCTAGATCATTCACTTGCCTAAGGCAGCCATTGAGTGGAGACTCTGATCGGGTGTCTGCATAGAAAACCCTATTGCGATTTCTTAGACTAGCACTAGGAACATGAAGATTGATCACACTGAGGAGTTCAGGTACATTTATTATCTGATTAAATATGTTGAATATAAATAGTACATCATTCAAACTTCGACGATCCGAGTTGGCATGTCAAAATGTTCTAATTGAGTCCTATAGGAGACCATAGAGGGAGACTCTTTATTTTTTTTGAAATTTCTTCTGTATTCGAGCTTTGATCTGACAAAGGCATTGAATGGAAGAATTTCTAGTTCCCATTTGAAATCCCTGGCGTTTCTTAACGCAAAAAGATATAACTTTGCATTTAGTCTCATTCAGCATCAAGTTATTCTTCTCACAAGAGAAAGTGATAGAATCTAAGTCTTTCTGAAGGTTTTCACTGTCTCTTTCATCGTTGATGGTTTGGTATAGTTTGAGATCATCTGCATAGACTAGGAATTTGGAATGTCTTATATAATCACCTATATTGTTAATGAACATTATAAATAAAATTGGGCCTAGAATTGATCCCTGAGGAACGCCAGAGGTTGGTCTGAATAGTGTCGACCTTTTTCTATTGAAAGCAACAAATTGATCTCTATCTGATAGATATGACTTCACTAATGTCATCATTGATTGATTCATTGAGAATTTCCTTAATTTGGTGATTAGAACCATATGGTTAACTTTGTCGAATGCTTTCGCTAGGTCTGTGTAGATTACATCAACTTGTTTTCCAGTATTTATGAGATTTTGATTTCCAGATTTATGGATAGGAATTATACATCCCATTTTGAGTTGTTTTGGAAACACACTACTTTCAACAATGCTATTCAGAGGTCTGATTATATATGTGTGTATATGCATACATATTTATATCTTTTTTCAAGTTTCAGTCCTGATTTAACTTTTTTTGTGTGCTCTGTTCATACTTAGTTATGTTATAGTTGGTTTTTTTGAATTATTTTTTCCCTTCTATAAACATTGTATGTTTCTTGAGGAAATAAATTGTTATTATTATTATTAAAAGCCATGACTTTCCACAATACCGAAAATTTTCTTCGTATTGTTTATTGCAAGCGGCGATAACAAAATTATACTCCTTATTGACCGTACGACCATGTGACAAGAACTCCAGATGCACTGCACCACAGTAATCGAAGGAAACAGCGAGCAAAACCTTGACATTTTATCAAACTTGGCGTGTTTTTTTTTTGTTTCGGCTCTCCTAGGCTCTTCCATTGGGACGATTGGACTTTGGTTTCGATGTCATAACCATATACCCATGACGTCACCAGATATGTCCCTTTTAAGCAAATCTGAATCGCGGTTACTGTTATTCAACAATTCCTGAGCGATGCTAATGCAACGGTTCTTTTGCTCAATATTCAGCAGTTTAGTACTGCTACATCCTTCATGCCCAAAATGTACAAAACAATTACACCGATAGGTCGACATCCTCAGCAACTTCTCTAATAGTGATTCGACGATGCTCCTTAAAATTTTCTTCACTTTCTCAACATTTTCATCGGTTGTTAATAATATGCTGTGACGTCCAGGGCGAGCGTCGTCATTCACATCATCTCGACCATCTACGAAAAGCATGTACCATTTGTAAACATTTTTCTAACTCAAAGTACAATCACCGTATGCGCCTGTCAACATTTCAAGTGGTTTTGAGCATCATTTTTTTGCACAAAATTTGATGCAATTTTTTTTATCTTTTTTTTTCGGTAGCAGAAAATCGCCGAACACGAAATACACTTTCAACTTTTATGCCTCTCACCAACAGATTAAACATGTTAAACAGCTGAAACTGTGAACATATGTTCGGGACGAGTGTGCAACATAAAAAAAATAAAAAATCGCTATTGTACATAACCCGCGAAATTTTAACATTCACCTTATTTTTAAAACAGACCTCATTATTTTGGTAACAATGGTAGTCAGAAACGTAAATATGTATTTACTCTTGATTCCTGTGAATAATCCACAGATAGTGATATTAGAACTCCAATTGTTGATACACTTGATGTTATATGCTTGTATAATCATAGTTTGAAGGAGAATTTCTTCACGAAAACGCTCGCAATTAGTACCAAATTTTCAGATTATATTATAAAAAGTGCCACTCTTTGGTTATAGGTTTTACTGTTTTGCAAAACCTCTTTGTACTTTTGAATTGAACAGATAATTTTTTTGTTTCAAGCTGTCCAAAAGGAAAATAGTAAGTTTTCATTTAATAAACTTAAGTTGTTTCCATCTCGACCTTACTAGTCATACTGTGTACTGTAACATTATGGTCAATTTTTTATGAATAGCCAAATAACTTGACTCTTCTCATTTTACTCTATTCTTTCAATTCAGCCCAATTGGCAGCTCAAGTGAGAATTCGATGCCTCTGGGACGAACCTGGTCTCCATTTGGAAGGCCCACCTATGTATACGCTATGGAAAATGAGGGACACTATACAAATGAATTCGAGTGGTAGGAACACGAAAACGTGAGTTGTAACACACAAGTTATATTTAACATGACATGCATGACCATCAAGCATGTTTTTTTTTTTTTTTTTTAGGTTTATGCAACAAGTCATAAACTATATTCGTGTTAGCGATTTGGCCGAACCAGTCCGAACTTTGGCTAGTGAAAGAAAGAACGAAGACTTGAACAATAAGTGCAACTCGATCTACAGGGATATTTTATTTTTAGCTTGCAAAGCTTTGGGTAGGGCGCAGATAGACATAAACGCCTTCGATAAGGAATACGCGACCGCCTATTCTAGAATTGCAGAGCGACAAATCGAACTCTTTCCCCAGGATAAGCCTGTTAGTTTATCTGCCTTATATTGTCGACAGTACTTCAGGCCTCTCACTTTACCTTGAGTTCTGTGATGTGGTTTTTGTTGAGGTTTGTGGTCTTGGTTTTTTGATCAATTATTCCAGAGAAGTGAGGGGATTTGTTTAAGTTTTTACGTTAATTTAAGTTATTTAAGATGTAAAATAAATCTGTTAATTTGTGAAATGTGTTTTCTTTTTCCATGGTTGGTGGAAGTTTATTTTGTGTCTATCGTCGGAATTACTCAATAATACCAGTAGAACGGTTTTAAAAAATGAACGACTATTTCTTATTTCAAGATATCGAATAGAAAGCTGTAAGATCCATGGACGTAAAAATAAAATGGACCCAGTTATTTACTTCATTAGGTGAAGTCAGCGTTCTCGAACATTCTGAGGTTATGCTGTTGAGCTGGACATTGTAATATTGAATTTATTTATACACACCAGCCGCTGACCACCTTAGTTTTGTTGGGTTTTTGCCTTTGTGAAGAGCCTGGGTTACTTATCAGTGTCCAATCACTGTCTTCATGTTTTTTTTTTTATTAAAAATATAACGACAGCGTACAGTTCAACATAGTTATGACACTATAAATATAAAATATGCTGTTATTTTCCCTAATCAGCAAAAATGCTAGTCTCGGGATTCACAAACATTCAACATGACAAGTGAAACACAAAAACTAGTAAACCACTACAAAGCTCATAGTAGTAACGCATCAGACGTGTGCTTAGAGGCTCAGGTGTTCTTTTAAACTATTAATGAATGAACTATAGCCCGGCAACTCACGTATATAGACAGGTCATTCATTGAAGACTTATAGCCTGTGTAAAAGGATTGTATTATCCTTTGTTCATTCTTACCATGCTCAGGTGTAACTCATTTCTACCCCTTGTATTATACTCATAAAACTGGTTGTTGACTAGTAGATTGGGTGTAGTTCAGTCTGTGTGGGTTCGAAATGGAATTTGAAATAAAAAAGGATTGGAAAATAGAAATAATAGAATGTTACTATAATTTTTGATTATTAAAAATTCATTCTACTCTATTATTCATCAAAGTTAATTATTTTTGATAAAAATTATGTTTCTGATTAAATGTGTGAATTTGAAGGGGTCGATAAAATCATCTCTGTTCCCAAAATGAGATGTTACTTTCAAAACATGTGAGAAACAGTATAACTCTATCAACAAGGTTTTATCAACAAACGTTCAACAATGACGAATCTTAGAGACTTACAAAACCAAGAATGGTTTATAACACTATTTAATGCGTAAGTCCAATCTCGTCTGGAATATGGCTCCCTAATCTGGTCACCTATATACAATGTGCATATACATCAACTCGAATCCTGTCAAAGAATTTTTATGAAATACATGGCTTACAAACTGGATGGAGCTTACTCATCCTGAAGAATTGATAATAGAGTGCTGCTAAATAGATTTGCCCTCTTATCCTTGGAAAACAGAAGAACATATTATACTTGTATCTTCATATATAAATTGATTCATAGGCTGGTAGACTGCCCAGATTTGTTATCTCAACTAGATTTTCACGTACCGAGACGAAGTAGTAGAAACAAAATCTTCTTCTATTTGCCTATACCAAGAATCAACTTGTTAATAAAATCTCCAGTTTATAACATCTGTAAAATTCATAATAGTTTCTATTCAGAATGTAATATTTTTGTTGTTCCATTTGGACGCTTCAAGTATATAATTCGTAACAGGTTAATTTATATGCAAGTCTAATTACAACCCATGAAAGTAAAATACTGTGTTCCAACTCTCTGCACACTGCCAATTCAATTAGAATTCTACAGAATATGTTTTTTGATTATTCTATGTATGAATCAGTGTTTGTATAATGTACTTATCTATTAGTCTATTGGTTTTATATGCTATCATTGTATTTATTCTATTTTACTTATACTTATTCATAGCTGTAAACTCCATTATATTTGTCTTGTAATTGAGATTACTCCTGTTAGACAATGACCTTTTTTTTTGACATCATGTTCAATTCAACAAGTGTTGGACAACACTGAAAACAAGATAATGGAAACCGAAAAGTGAGCATTAATAAAATGAACTTTTAGAGCTGCCACAAAAAATATGTTGGTCAGAATAGCCGAAGTATTAAAGTCGTTTCAAAGAACACAAGGCGCATAAACATGATACTAGAGTTTTGGACACTTCTGAAAGTCTGGAAATAGCAAAGTGTATGAGAACTATGTTCTGTGACAAGTGTCCCATTCCAAAAAGTCCATTATCTTTTCTTTAATAAACCACTCAATGATGTGTGACTAAAAGAGGGAGTCCTTACTGTTCGGTATGAATGTGTGAAGTTGAAGAAATTGGTAATTTCATCATTTGATGATGGCGACCCAGTCGCCCAAAAATGAAGACCAATTCTTTCAACGATTTATAATAATTAGTACTATTATTTTCAACCAAAAGAGGGTTATTGAAAATACACAAATATTTAACATTTTATTTTTAATAAGAGAGTTTTTAGTAAGATATTCCTATAAACTAATAATTGCTAAGATATTTCTTTTTATATCAAGGCAAAATATACCTATATTAGTAGAACATTAAGAAAAACCTTCATAGAAAAAACATAATCGAAAAACCAAGAAAAGCTTCTCAGCTCAAAATAACGGAAATATCAATAACATGTTTGTTAAAGAGGATATTATATAAATACAATGATTCGATGTTGAAAGTGATGGAAGAATTTTATTACCTTTTACATTGTCGTCATACTCCAATGTGGAGCTTAAAAATATGGTTGGAAATATAAGAGTATGTTATATACGCAATTTGAAACCCATTGCTTTCATAAACTAATAAGTTGATGCTTGCTTTCAAACTATATTCAATTTGATCAGTTATTGCTCTTTTCACTTATAATCATCAATGACTCACTAATTGCTTGTTCAATCAAAATATTTTATACACTACTCATATTAGCCTTAAGGTCAAATTTACAAACATATCATACAGCTATGAATCAAAGTATAAAATTGATTTGCACTGTTGACCTTCAAACTATGAATCACAGATTAAAAAATAAATTATTCTGAACATATATTTATTTCTCATTAAAAATGAGTCAGCGAATACTTTAAAAAATAAAACCCTAATTGAATCAAGAAAGTTATCCTAAAATACAAATTTTCAACTGGATCAGTTTTAGATTATGATTACAAATATTTGGTGAAAATATAAAACTCAAATTTGTCCAAGAGCAGATAGTAGATAATAATAGCAGTAATAGTAAACATTCCTTTCATTTTAAAGTTTAAGAATAACTTTGTGCACACAAACTCCACTCAAATATGCAACTTGAAATTTAGATTTTATTAATGTCTAAATTTATTGTTCTATTACATCTGTTTACAAAGAAATCAACAACATTAAAATGGACAGTGCAAAAAATAACTATCTTCGATTCAAACTGAGAAGTTCAACCTTGTGTTATTGAGTTTGTACTTGTTTTTCCAGCAAAAACTCAACTTGGTATGAATAATACATAGCAAATGCTAGATATTTTGAGTTTATACTGCCAATATTTCAGGCCATTCATTTTGATGCTTGAAAATTATATTAAATTTGTGAAAAACAAAACTGTACAGTGATAAAAAGGCCCAATTTATTAATGTGACAGTTTCTAAACCTTATTGGAGATAATCTGATTGTCATCTTGAAGACTATCACAAATTATACAGATTTTCTATGGTGAATGTTGATTACCTTGCTGAACACTTAGATGTTTTGGAAACAATTGTGGAAAAAACATAAATTTGGAATAAATTTCCCAACCTCAACAATTTGAATAAAGCACGACGCAAACTGTTGCAAAGCCAAGATTTGATATCAACCACCGAACAAGATTTGTCCTGATGTTGTACTACAAAAGCTTTATTCTAGGGTTCTGTTTTCAACTGTTCAATATATGGGGTGAGTGAAATTCAAGAATTCCATCAATCATCATATATTTTGCAGTTCCCCATAGTCTAGTAAATTTTTTGGATGATGGCATTGCAGCTGATAATGGAGACAACATATTCAAGAAGATGGATGATTTGGACATCTCTGTGGACTGCAGAGAAGAAAAGAAATAAGAAGTTATCAACCAATTTCACTGAAGTTAAAAAAAAATTATTTCCATTCATTTCTATTATTGCTATTCAAAGAGATTTCTTATATAATTCAAACATCTGAGATATAGGGGGAGAAAGTTCTAAGCGAAATATGTACCATGTATGCAATTTCTGTTTTCACTAAGGTATAGAAATCTGAGAGATTTCTATACCTTACAATTGATGAACTTGCAGCACATATCTAAACATTAAGTTCTAACAATAGCCAGTACTTATAGTTTCAACTACCTCAGTATGAATGCTATAAGTATAAGCCTAATTTTTATTCACACCACTCAATGTGTTGTAGATTTTTCAGATGGTCTTTCGAAGTTTTCTTACATATTTTACATATTATTATTCTATATTTGAAAACTGTAGGAAACTATGATTGATATGTAGGCAACAGTGCCATTTAGTTACCATATTTTCATTTTTCCAATCTAATACTCTGACCCCATATATGCTTGAAATGATGCATATGGTAAATTATAAAAATAATCATAAACTGTGATGATTTACTAATACCGTATAATATGACTGGAGGTTCTTCACAAAAAAAGTAGAACTTCATATTCATAGAGTCAACTTACAAGGTAAACGTAACTAAATTGGAAATCACTAAAAAAAATATTCTCCAAAACGAACAGAAATGCATGTTTTTATTGATGTTGTAATGAAATATTTAGATTTGAGGACAAGTTCTGAGAATTGAATTAAGTTTTGTATATCAAATTTACAGTTCACCACGAAATATATAATTGAGTTTAAATGTCATATAACGCTCATCAACCATATATTTGAATGCTCAGTGAACAACAAGCACATTGTCGAGTAACTTCATTGAACTTATTTGGTTTTAATTGGAAAATTTTTTATACACACCATATTTCAACAATCATCATGTCTCAAGCACTGTATTTTTTAATTCAAAGGAATTCTTCACTGAAGCCAGACCTTAGAATAGAATGGACTGTCAGCATATTACTCCAATTCATACATTTTTGTAATACTCCACTTTTGAATGTCGCAAATTGTTTACTATAAGGTTCTTTTTGGAGAAAAACCCAAGTATCTTGGGTACAATTGAATTATTTATAATACAATAAATAACTAGATGATAAAGATGAAACAGAAAGTGGTTTTTTCCAGATACCGATCAAAAATGCACCAAATATGCCCAGAGCTCCAAGGCATATCCCCCCTTATCAGCATATCACCATTTTTGCATAGGCATTACTCTAACTCTATTTTTCTGAATTGGTCGTGAATCTCCGGAGAGTGTTAGGTACTAGTATTATCATTTTATTTTCATCTATGAAAAAAGACTACATTTATGAAGGTAACCGACAATGTTAAATATTTAAACAACATCGAAGAATCGAGTAAATTGTTATTTAAATTTCCAGTTAGATGAAGAATAGAAAACACTTCACATGAAACATGGGTTTAATTTTACAGGAAAAGTGGTTCTTGCAGATTCAATAGTATAATAATTCTCTTCAATTAAATATTCGTAGAAAAAAGTTGTTTCACATGCACTTATCATTATAAAATATACTTAAAAGAAATATTTATAAGATTTAAGGATGTTTTTTTTAAATCGAAATTCAAGTTTGCCATCAGTTTCTGCTTGGCTCCAGATGAAAAATAACTAAAGAGTAGTCACATGTATCCCAGTATCTGTCGAATTTTATTTTTTCACAAAAAAATGTATCATTTGTGTAAAAGCATATTTTTTCCAATTTACCGATTTGAGAACATTTGCTGAAAATCCAACTAAACCTAGAAAACTCAGTAGACAAGTAATGTGAAAAATATATGAACTTGCAATAATATTCTTCCAGTCTACAGAATTGAGTCGAGTATGTTGCAACTAGAAAAATTACTTGAAAACCCAGTTCTTTCCAATTTCATCTAAATTTCCATCCAAGAAAAATATATAAGCATCCTCTTTAACAATTACTTACGAATATTTGTGTAGAATTTTTCATCACAACTTGTGTGCGTAGAATATAGAAGCAACAATGCCTTAATTATATTTTTTTGATAAGTATGTACATCAATAGAAAGAAAATTTCTTGAATATGAACATTTGAAGACAGCAGTCATGTTGAATAGTCAGGAAACAGTGGTATTTCCCATCCTAATATTGACATTTTGGAAATATATTCATCAAATTTCTTTCTTGTTCAATCATGATGCGATTCATTTGAATTTCTCTATTGAAGGATTTTTGTGAAATATCGTAGTAATGGGAAAAGTTTTGAAATATGAATATTTTTCATGTTTTATGATACAGAAATTTTTGAATTGATACTGTTAAAAACAATGAATATCAGAACAATTTCAACTTTCACTTATGAAGAAAACCAAAGTTTTCCACATGAGTAAAAAAATTCAAGAATTATTGAGGTAAAAAAAGAAAAGTCAACAAGAAGTGAATTTCAGAAGACAATTCCAAATTCAATAGTGTTAGCTAAGTTTTAATGATGATGCTGGTAATGAATTCAATAAAGTAATTTTTCAGAATAAAATTTGACTATAACTATAGGATCAAAATACTTTGTCGTAATCTCATATGCCTTCTCTTAACCACACAAATTCACTCACTTCAAACACTCACACAGTAATTGTAAAATTTTTCAAAACTTGGCGATAGTTGGATCATAGTGGGGGCAGAACAGATTATCACTCATTCTCGAGAGATCCCTAGTATCAACTTTCCTGACCTATAGAATTGAGCACTTAATCTTGATAGGAACCCTTCCGTGGCTGCCAAAGTTTTTATGGGATCGCTTTCCTCTTGACTTGTCTTTTCGAATTTCCCTAACTAAGGTGTAAAAGGCATCATCCACACCCATTCTCGTTTTAGCAGATGTCTCTACGAAAGGTATTCCATACTGCTTGGCGACCTAAAAAAATAATCATATGAAATTAACCTGCTTCAACATTTCTCACTCAAAGTTAAATGAAATCTAACCAATGAAAAAATAAATTCAAAGCAAAATGGGAAAAAGCCTTGTGTATTTTCTTAGAACACTTACAGATATTATCATTGTTCAAAATATATGCCCTGTTTGCCCTTCCAGAGTTTTATTTAAAAAATGTGTGTATATCTTATTTCTTTTCTTATTGTTCTCTACCTGTGCAGAAAAAAGGAAAATGTAAAGAATTTCAGATGGATAAGCTTGTCACCAGTTATTCCAAAAATGTTTTGTTGTAGTGCAACTCTTTTGGTATGAAACAAACAATTACACAATTAATAACTGATTTCACTTGAAAAGTTCACTCTACCGTAATTATGTATGTACTTGTGATACACTGTTTGGAACCTTTGGAGTAGTAATGAATATTACTGGAGTTTTTTTTCCAACACCGAACCATTATTTCAACACCTCTACATATGTTTCGATCACCAAGCCATCAGATATTTCTCCAAAGCAATGATGAGAGTCATTAATAGTAAATTGTTGCTTCACAAGTTACAGTACACTGATGATCTTGTGAGAAAAGTAACAAATTCAGCAGTGATTTTGTTTGCTGACAATTTTAAATTATATCAGGAAATTAATTTAACCTTATATTGAGCGAATTTTCAAAATAATCAGAGTCTCTTGACCGTCTGGTACAGCAAGAACAAATCTTACATTGAAGGTTCAAATGAAATCAATGTGCGACATATACAACTCAATTTGTGATCATTGTGATACTGATCAACTAAAAGTAACGGCATTTGAAATATGGAAATGATTTTTACACTTTTTTTCTGGTTTCATTTCATTATTTTGAATACTTATCTGGATTTATTGATTGAATAAGGCAACGCGAGACATACTGCAAAGCATTAAATTGTCAGGACATAACCTTACCTCTCTAGCTTGATTCATATCGACAGCCCACGTTGTTAGGTCACATTTGTTTCCAACAAGAACCATTGGTACTTCCTCGGCATCCTTAACTCGCTTGATCTGCTCCCTGTACGTCCCTATGTCTTCGAAACTTTTAGCGGAGTTCACTGCAAAAACTAAAAGGAAACCTTCACCCGTTCTCATATACTGGTCTCGCATGGCACTGTACTCTTCTTGACCTGCTGTATCCAAAATATCCAGAAGGCAGGTGTCACCATCTATCACAACTTGCTTTCTATAAGAATCCTCTATGGTGGGATCATATTCATCAACAAAATGATTCTGGATCAACTGAATAGTCAATGCTGATTTTCCAACGCCACCTGCTCCTACTACTACAAGTTTATATTCAGTCATTTTTGAGCTATCTGTTAAATTTCTGAAAAATATACGTAGAGAAGCTTTTCGAGATCTTTTATTTTCCTTACGAGTCGTTTCAGCCACTGTCAAAGCATAATAATGAATGCACACAACGAACCAAAACTGAAGCAATTAAGAACATTCATACACTTAATAAAAAGTCCTAATTAATTGTAATCAAGAAACTATAGAGAACGGCCAACAAAAGTTATGATACCGTCACGCAAAAATGACAAAATCAAGAAAATATACGTTTAGTTGTTTAGTACTTTTAGGAGATAACTAAAATCCTGTTTAGGTTTTTTTGGTCCCAGTTTTGCCAACACGTTTTGGGCGTTTCCACTTCGTGATTACACACTTTGAAAGGACTGTCGGTTCTTCGATTATTTCTGTATATATATTGAATAATTACGTCACGAGCAATATGCATGCAAACCCTCGTGTTTTTACCAATTCGCTATTGTTTTGTCAAAAACCCACGTCGATAGATGGTGTCATGAATCGAAATCTGCCGCGCGTATTTTGTTTAGATTTTCAATGCATGGACGATAATTGAAAAAAATCTTCCACCTAATTTCAGTTCATTCTCAAATGTAAACTAGATTGAAAATTGAAACCTCTCTGTATTAAATGGATACGATCTGACCGGTAAAGATTGATGAAAGGATATTTGAATTTGTCAATTTCAATTTGAATTTTTCAATTGATCATATTGATTAAATTGGTGGAAAATATCTGAAGAATATCATGAGTTTCTTATTATTCTAATCAATTCTCGGTCTATGATTAATAGTATGAATTTGATTTCTAGTTATCACTCGTCACATACATCTTGAGAAAATGCAATGACATGACAGTATAGATGATCCAACACACCAGAAAGCGTTATTTCGATCCTCATGAATTTAGTTGACTTTCAGTGAAAGCTGCAAAAAAGCAATGACCAAATATATCTTCCGGTGGTCGATGTTGAAGCTTGTTTCTGCAACGAATTACCAGTGGGAGCCTCGAATAATATTGATATTCCCGTGGATTGAGACTTTTATCGATCCCATAGATGACGTAGATGAGAAAACATTGCATTTTTTAATCAGGCCTTTTTTTAAATACAGTTTATGCTAGTAATGCATTCACGATTTAGACTTGCACCACCGATGAGACCTAAGGCGGGTTAGAACAGCGATGTCTGATGTTGGTTCATGAATATTTTCTCAAAAGCTAAATTCCACTGTAATTTTTCCAAATATCGATTCGGCTAGACACACCGTGACTAAAGAGCTTGATGAATGTTAGATTAAATGAATATTATGCATTTTCACATTATATATTACAGTTCACAATATATTCGACAGCAAGTGTAGTCAACATCTGAACATAAAATGTTCTTTCTTTTTGAAAAAAAATGGAACTAAATTTTCTGAAACGGAATATATTTTTCAATATGTTGAAAAACATCTCAAATACATATGTATTGACAAAGGAATATAATTGGAGAAAAGCTCAATAAAAGTTCATTCATGAAATTTCTAAAAATAAGAAATTATAGCATTTGTTTGATATAGATATTTCATATCATATATTTTTCTCAATAAAATAATTTTCGAATTCTAGTTCTGTAATTATCTCTGTCGGAGATACAATTAAGGATATTCACTCATCCTCGTCAATCGTTTTAGCATATATAGACACTGTATTATTCATAATTTTTTATAAGACTCATGGTATTGACTCGTTTATTCTCAAATAGTAAAAACTAACAAAAATATTCTGTTTTGCAAAATGATGATAAATGAATATTCTCAAGTACAGGAGATTCGTTGGTATGTCAACAATAGGTAATACCAAAACCCCGGACAATTGACACGCAAACCATTCTACAAATTGCAGTCAATTTCATAGATATATACTATATATCATTTCTATGGTCAATTTTGACTCAATCACTGATGATAGTATACGCCAATCGAGACCGCGTGTTTCTATTGTGACACCGAAGTTTGGCAACGTTAACACACAGAACAAATAGCAGAGATGAAAGAGTTTGTAACTTTAACGAAAAGTCAGAAAAATAATATCTGTATTTGACATATAAACATATGGAATGCAATGTTGTCATTTTCTCTTCATCTTAATTTGTTAATCTTAGTGTTATGAGAAAGGTCTGGAATAATTAAAGAAGACAAAAGACCCGGAATTTTCGTGAATCATTCCACATTCAAGGTATTCTTAAGATTACTCTTCGGTTGATTTTATTTTGATGATATTTAAACTAGTAATCTAAGGTGAGTAGTAGAAAACATGATTTCTTTATCCAATGATTATTGAAGATGGCCATCATTTAACTTTTAGAGAAATATGTCCTGGAAACAAGGCCACGATTGCTACACAGACAATATTAAAGTAAAAATTTCTGAGAGATATAAACCTCCTCCCCGTATAAATATAGCAGTGACTTATGCACAGAGGTTAATCATAAATAAACAAACACAAGATAATATTCCAAAATATGAATTTACCACTGAAAGAAATGTTTTGGATAGTCTGAGGAACTGGAAAAGCGTTAGGGCAACTGCTTTCCAAGAGCGAAGAACAAAAATTGAAAAAGCTAGGGAAGAAATGAAACGAGTAGCATTAGAAAGTGCTGAACAGTTAGATGAAGTAGAGCTCAAGACTGTACAAGAGACTGCAATTACGACGTGTACTAACAATAACTTTATTCCTACTTATACAAGTGTACCATTCAGTACTTCTATTAATCAGAGTTGCATGAACTACTCGACAAATAATAGTATTCTCGTTCCTACACAGGCTACTAATCATTATTCTCACATTTTAACCCCTGTTCCGTTACAAAATAATGAAAGCCAGCAATATAGTTGCAAACAACATGATAAAAGCCCGTTTAACATTTCTGATTTTGAAAATGATACCTCTAGTCCTTTTGATAATATGGAACTGAAATCTATTAATGATATGGAAGAGTTAGCCCAAGTTTTGAATAAAGAAAAGAAGAGTTATGAAATGAATACTCCTGTGTATTCGAATTTTCCGAATGCTCAACCAACTAGTTCTCGAGTGCAACCACAATATGTGGGTTACCCAAATAATCAATTTTATAACATTCCGCCTTCGATTTCTTACATGCAGCCACCTACAACAGACTATTCACAAACTAATGGTTATTACTACCCCCAGAATCAACCATTGCAACAACAGTATTTTTATTCCAAACCCAGTACTGTAGACTATAGGTATGGTACATCAATTCAATCTACTCCTTTTGAAACTAAATCATCTAACTGTCGAAGTGTCCCAGATATAGTGAAGGCTCTTGAAGATGAACTGGAGAATACCTGTATTGGGGTCCAAACTCCAAAAAACTCATTCATTAGGACTAGTGTTACTTCTCAGAATAGCCGACCTAAGAGCACTGACGCTGTATATCCAAGGCCAAAGATAAAAACTGACCAGTTGGATGACCCTTTCGATTTATTGACTATAAAACAACAAGAAATTTGTAGACAAATATGTTCAATGGGGTTTCCCCTTCCTAGGGTGGCGAGGACTTACAAAATATTTGGAAATGATCAAAAGAAGGTGAGAAATTTGCAGCATACTAGAAAGAATATGTGAATGATTGAATGATTTGCATTATATAGTAAGTAAGTAGCCTTTATTGAATAGGAATAATCCAAATATTCACAATACAAAGTTATAATTCTACAATAAATGATAATAATCATTATCATCATAATAATCAAGTAAATGCTATATCAAAACATAATATAATAAATGAATCCATGTATAAATTTATAACAAAACACATTATTAACAATAAACGAAGTAAGATTGAGATAATACAAATATCAAAACTATACAATACTGACTCAATTCAGCTGAAAAACTATAATACAATACAACTACATTCATAACAATCACAGATATTTTGAGAGTTTTTTCTTAAACGATACAAGTGTATCACATTTTTTTAATTTCATTTGGAAGGGAATTATATTCAAGTAAACCTCGTATGAATAGTGAGTTCATACCTTTTCTGGTATTAGCTCTATCCACATAAAAATTGTTTGCACTTCTAGTACAGTATTTGTGGACCTCATGAAATAAGTTTGCATCAAACCTTTGACAATTTTAAAAATGAAGATCATTGCTGAGATAGTCAACCTTTTGGTTACTGATTGCCACTGTAAAGTCTCTAACATATGGGTTATTGGAGTATATCTATTACATTTTAGGATTAATCTCATCCCACGATTTTCAAGTTTTTGTAGAGAAGCTTTCCTGTTAGTGTCTAATAGAAATAGTATTGTAGAACAATAGTCAAAATGTGGTTTAATGATTCTATTAAAAACTGTCAATCTTGCTTTCAACGATATGTGAGCAGCTATTCTTGAGAAGAAAAAGAGTTTTTTAGAAATTTTTTTCTGTGTATTTGGCGATCATGTATTTTGGAGAGTTAGTTACTAATTCATATGCATTAAACACAAATTCATTTTATAAATACGATGTATTTCTTGACCGTTTTATTTTATTTCGTCGATTTCCTTGGGAAATTTGGTTTGTATGAAAATAAAATTAGAAATATAAATGGTCTAAATCAATCAAACACTTTTCTTGTTTCTATAGAAGCTAGTGTCTTCCTTTTTTATTAAATAAATGTTCTGTCATTAACAAAGCAATATACTGTGGTCTTTTTAATTTTTCCAGAAGTAACACAATCAAAATTAGGAATATTCATTCATTATAAATTAACAGGTATACAAATAAATTTTCACAATAGACAGGTGTTTGATCTATTTATTAATGACATGTTTATCTGATCATCATCTCACTAAATATATAAAATGTATTAACTGATAGTTACATGGCCTACTGACTGCAAATAGCCATGATGCTCGCTAGGTGGCTCGGGGAGTTATTAACATTATACACCCATAACATGAAGCTGATGAACAAGCAGTCGTTGCCGTTAAAACCAAGAAATAAAAAAGTGTTAGTTCTTATGATTCAAAACATTGTGGAAATTATGATCAGTAAAAGGAAAGAAACTGAAAATTGTCTCTGTTTGGTTTCTGAATTTCACAGTTGATCTTGCTTCTTGAAAGTGAACTTTGTGAAATGAGTTATTCTCTTATGTATATATTTTCAAGCTGAAATTAGCAATAGTTAATAAAAGTAAATAATGATATTATCTTCTATTGCAGATGGTAGAACATCTTTTGGCTTTAACAGATCTTCTAGATTTAGGATTTCCGGAAAAAGATGTCTCAGATGCATTGGTGCAGTGTGACAATGATCGGGACAAAGCCCTGGATAAATTGATATCATAAAATTCTCGTATGGGTATGGCTGTGCTGTTACATAATCTGTATGCTGAAACATAATTTATACTTATTTATTTGTAAATAATCATTTGTACCCTCTTTGAGACTTTTACTTTATCATATTTTAAGAACAAAACGAATAAAATTATTATCGATGCAATAATTTTTTACTATTAGGCGACAAAACCATAACAGTTTCTGCTTTCCTGTACTGACGAGAGGTAATACCCTGAAACCGGCCTGTAGGTGACCTTCTCAAATAATTTCAGCATAGTTCTGTTGCTGGATGAACGAGAAATATCTGCTAGGCTAACCTCTGTGAGGTATCTTGCTTAAATGTCTGTCGGATATAATTCAATATCCCACGTGGTATCAGCCGGGAAAGTAGTTGTTTTCCGGCAGGCATTTATAGTCTATCCATTCCCAATTGGAACGGCAATAAAAATAAGAGTACAGTCATAAACATTTCTTGCCTGTGGCCCCTAGTCGCCCAGATAGTTAGTAAAAGTGCTATCAAATGTAGTTGAGGAATAAAGGCTCGGCTAGTTGGACTGGCTGAATACTAATTTTTTGTTTGTTTCACAATATTTCTTTATCAGTGCCGTGTGTTCGTGGGATTACGTGAGGTAGTGAGTGGTTTTGCAAACCGATTTTTGAAAACTTTTTCTAGAGATTAATTACCCTAACACCAAACTGATATTTTTGCACTCAACGCGCGTTTCGCTAACAAGGTTAGCATCTTCAGGAGAAGTAAATTGATACTGAATCTAAAGACAAGGGTTAGCTGTTTATACACCTAAAGTTTTTTGGTCTGATGTGGACTTTGTTAAATGATGATTATCCTAATTGATTTTTCGGTAATTAACTAGTGGAACCACTACCTGCAAATTAATTTGTCAACAATAGATTAAAAAGCGGACAAATTAATTTGCAGGTAGTGGTTCCACTAGTTAATTAAGATCAATCAATCAATCAATCAATTAAGATAATCATCATTTAACAAAGTCCACATCGGACCAAAACACTTTAGGTATATAAACAGCTAACCCTTGTCTTTAGATTCAGTATCAATTTGCTTCTCCTGAAGATGCTAACCTTGTTAGTGAAACGCGCGTCGAGTGCAAAAATATCAGTTTGGTGTTAGGGTAATTGATCTCTAGAAAAAGTTCTCAACTTTTACACCAAAGGTTCCAATCTCATCGTTTGAACCGATTTTTGTGAAAATCTTAGTGATTTTGGGTACTTCCATCAATATGGCTTTTTTTAGATCTTTTGAAACAAATGACAACATTACGTGTGAGGAATCTGTGTCAATCGACAGGGATCCGGAACTTGAAAATAAGGACTTACAGGTTCAAGTTCAACAAGTAATTTTAAATATTCATGAATGCTTGAAGAAGGAAAACTGTCACACTTTACAGAATGCTATTGTGAATAGAATATGCGAGTTAACGAAACTATCTCGATCGACAATTCTTCGAGTCATTAAAATAGGGGATGTCATTGACCATGCAATGAAACGAAAACAAAGGAATAAAAAATCGCAAACGTTGATGGTGCTACAAAAGATATGATTCGGCGAACAATTTATGGTATATACCAAAAAAATGAAGTACCAACCTTGGAAATGATTTGGTATAAATTACTCGACTACCCCGATTACAATTACAAATCTTTAGAAATTGTACGAGGTGTTTTATTGTCTTGTGGTTTCAATTATAAAAAATTGAACAATCGGATGGTTATAATGGACTCGACACGCATTGTTCAACGACAAGAATATTCGAGGCGAATGAAAAGCTACCGAGAATCCAGCAGACATATAATCTACCTCGACGAAACTTGGTTTGACACCCATGATGTTGTCAAATATGGCTGGGTAGACGAAACCAAGTATTGTGCATTGAACACACCTTCTTCAAGGGGAAAACGTGTTATAATTTTGCATGCCGGGAATGAAACCTAACGCTTTGCATCTGTCGGCCAAAAATATAAAAGATTCGTCTGCTGATTACCACGAAGATATGACTGCGGCTTTATTCGAAACCTGGTTCAGTGAGCAGCTTCTCCCAAATATTCCTGCAAACTCGGTTATTGCTATGGATAACGCTTCGTATCATTCTTGGTTATTGACTACAATACCAAACAATAACACAAAAAAAGCAGATATTGTTGATTTCATGCGAAATCATGACATGGAAATACCCGAAAAGATTTCAATGAAAAAGGTATTACTGGCGACCATAAAACAACGTAATTTCAAAGAAGAGTATATTATTGATTCGATGTGTGAAACACGTGGTCATATTCTCTTACGTTTGCCTCCATACTATTGTGTTCAATCCAATTGAAATGGTTTGGGCCACAATGAAAGAAAGCTTGCGGAAATGTAATCAGTAACCGACTTTGAATGCCGTAGTGCTTGACAATATAAGGCGAGTGGTGAATGAAGTAAGTAATAGTGATGTGTGGAAGAACTGTGTGGCCCACGTTATAAAAGAAGAGAACAAATATTATGTGCAAAGTTCCATAAATCCGATCGTTATTCAACCCGATGATGATTTCACCTCATCCGAATATAGCGAAGAATTTTTATTTTTCTAGCAATTTTGTTGGCCTCTATTATTTTGTAAATATATGTTTGACGAGAATTCGGTGTGATTATTTGTGTTTTCATTGTATTTTAGAGTTTTCGACTCGGAAATCAACTACCTTGAATTTCGAAGTTTTACATAATTACCCATGGTGGAAAAATTTAGTTGAGATAACTGTTTCATGGGGTGATCAATTGCTATGATTGTAATAATAAGTAACTGAAAAACTACCACAGAAAAATAATATGCTGACGCCTATGTCGAGGCGTGAATTCCTTCTCTATGCTGTTCCAATTGGTATTGGAAATACTAAGTATACCAGAACCTACGGTGTAGGTAGTTGGGAGAGATGAATATTTCGAAATATTTATTATCTTATATGTATGAAAATTGTTTTCGGAATTTTTTGATAGTTGGATTGAAACTAAAATCCAAAGATTTTGCAGACGGATGTAGACGACTGTGAAAATTTGAATTCAAACTTCTAGCCTAGATCTGGGAAGACACAATAATTCTGCAGATATTGTATATATCATGGTTGTTTCAGAAAACTCTTGATATTTTTATTGATCTCTAGCAAAATGGTATAAGCATACATGGTAGGTAGTGGCATTATAACGAGGTGAATGAACTGAAGAGAGAATTTTTTGATTGATTCGGCCGTTACTCGATGAAGATCCATAGTATAGGTAATTTCAAAAACTACACCTCACGATTTGATCTCCACAAACTTCATTTGAAAAATATCTCACAACATGTTCCGCTAAGACATTAGATTTTTTAAGTGATTTATGAGCTAATGTGTTAGCGAAACATGTGAGATATTTTTCAAATAAAGTTTGTGGAGATCAAATCGTGAGGTGTAGTTTTTGAAAAAAAAACAAAAAAATGAAGAGAGAATGTTTCCTTCACATTTGCTAAAATTGCAACAGTCTTTTCCTGAATCACATTTTCTAGCCTCTCATCTGTTGAAAGAAAGTTGTAATTGTTGAAATGTTTGGAGCTAACTGATCCATTGGATGATGGCTATTTAGCTCGGATAACTACAGTTCTCATTTAAGTAATTACTTTCTAGAATTTGTTTTGAAATGTATCATTTCTTAGATTTCCAGAAGAAAAATTAAATACTTTAACAACTATCGGTTGTTGGCTGGTGATTTAAAAAATGTACTACATGTTTGGAACAATTGATCAAATGAAAGTTTCTGAGAAGTTTAATAAAATCAGTATCGAATGCTGAAATTCACAATAACAATTGACAAAATATACTTGGATCTTCCACTATTTCTCCTGACTGCTAGATAGGTTGTCCCACACCCATCTCTTTTTTTGAAACCGATTTCTGGCCAGTGGCCCAATTCCCGACTCACTGGAATATTTTTCTAATACGTTGGATAGTCAAAGATGACGTCAGTTTCTATGGGAAACACTCCCATGGTTCAAGAGTTGTGCCCAGCTAAATTATAATCATCCTCATGGGTTCATCACGTTTTTGGCATCAAACATTATTGTTCTCTGTACTAATTTGTAGAGGGAACAATTTGAACACCTTCTTTATTAGATGTTTGTGACATTCTTCTGTAAATAACTTGTATGCCACCTGTGATCCGGTGCCTCATCTTTTTATTATCCGTTGTAAAAATAGCGACTTGTAAACAGCCCTGCCTGATATTGTATCATGGATATACTGCTTGCTGTGAACGCTACAGACAGACAGAAAGCATGTATTCCCCATACTAATATTCCATATTTAATAAAAGTCCCGTAATATGCCGTTTTCAGTGCATTGATTTTCAAGTGACTTCTGTCACAAGTGACAAAACTTATTCGCTAGTTTTTTTGCGAGATAATCAATATGTACCTCATCTATATAAATTCCTGGCAGTTTTGTAATTCACTACTGAACTAAAAAAACTCCGGAATAGTAATATTTTTGGGAACAGTTTTAAACACAAAATGCAATCTGTTTGAGATGTGTTTAATAATAACTTGTTGGTATTAAAAATATGTGGATGCTATAGAAATGCTATTTGAAATTAATTTTTGCAAATTAAGGTTCGTATTTACTGTTACAATGAGAATGGAATCATCTGCATAATCCACAACTTTAGTACTTGACTGAAAATTTCAGAGAAACCATTTATATATATATAATAAATAGCAAAGGCCGAAATATACTTCTCTGTGGTACTCTTTTTTCTATTTCAGTGAAGCCTGAGAAAAAATCATCATTTTGTTGTCATACTTTCTGTTACTCAAATACGATTTCAAGAGATTCAAGGCATTTCCTCTGATTCCATAATTGAAAAGCTTTCGAAATAAAGTGGAATGATCAACACAGTCGAACGCTTTAGTGAGGTCCACGGAGACACCATAGACACAAGGGTTTTGTTCAATTTCATTTACGAACTTGAACAAAGCTGTTTTTGTACTTTTCCTTTTGAGAAAACCGTGCTGAAAATCATTGAACAAACCACGTGCCACAAAAAATTCATAATTCTCATTGATATAATCACTTCAAATAATTTAGAAAAAGCTGTTAAGAAACTTATTGGTTTGTAGTTATTCATGTCATTTTGTTCACCTTTTTTATATATGAGTATAACTACGTCCAATAGCCTGAAATATTGAAAGGTATAATTTTTAGGCTGGGTTACAGAATTTGCGATAATACTTTAAAGTGTACTGTTTCTGTGCATTAAAAATTACTAAACTTTTTTAATGATGCGAATGAGATATTTTTGACTTTTGAAATGGGAAGAAAAACATGAAACTCGAGAATCAATATATTTATTTGAAAAAACTTCACATAATATAATATTGCAACTATCAGCATTCCTATAAAATTAAATATACATATTTAGTAGGAAAATATATAATTACTTGGATTTTATGAAGATATAGCTAAAAAATTAATAACTAGTGACTAAATCGGTTTTCAACCTCGACAATTATTCAACTTAATTCAATCAAAATTCAATTACCTATAAAGAAATAAATAAAGATCCCTATGTGGTGGAAAGTGACCAAAAACAGTCATGGAAAGTATACAGACTGATAGAAAAATCAGTATTTAATTACACATCCTGCAAAAATGTTCTATATCAACTTTATTATTACAGAATAGAAAATGTTTTGAATCACTTTATTTGAACAGCGAGTAAAATAATTCAACAGTGCCACCCAAAATGTTGATATTTTAAATGATTTATCCAGTATTTGAAATCCAAAATTTTCCGAAACACTAGAAATAAAAATTTTATTCAAGACAAGAGAATCCCAAAAATTTTTTACATGCCAAACATTGAATTTTCGAATAAATTACACACTTCTTACTGATGGTTTGTCGTTATTGACTATAGAAATCTAGCAATGAGATTTCCCAGAATCCAAACACCTGGAAACAGTTAAAGCTGCTTCAAAGAAAATATATGATGGAATTGGCCGATACTTGATGAAAATTCATAACTAACGTATTTAAAAAACACTATGAGATTTTCACGAAACAACTTTATAAAAACGCAACATGTGTTTCGCCATACAATGGCTTCTTAGGACATGTCAGTACACGCCTAAAGAAGCCACTGTATAGTGAAACACGTTTTGTGTAAAATTGTTTAGTGAAAATCTCACAATAAAGTGTTCTTTAAATACGTTCAAAGAACATATTTTGGCTCTGTTGATTAGTCTGAATAGCTAAACCTGAAGGGTGTTATTTTGATATTTATTAAGTTGGAGACACAACGCTGTTTTTCAACATTTGAAAGAAAGTTAATTTACATATCATGAATCAATTTTTTCAAAATATAGATCCTTCTCTGAAAGTGCAGTCCATTAAAAATACTATTCAATCTCAATTCCAACTTTTAACTCTAAATTTTGACTTTTATTTGAAAATTATGTCTTGGAACACCAAATTTCTACTTTAGACTTTTCATTGTTTGCTAGGTTATGCAAGGACCATTTCTAAATTAGAAATTGGAATATTCAACTGTGAGTATGGTAATTCCATAAATTCTGAAATGTAATATTATGAACATAAAATACTTAAAATCTGAATTATGAATAATAGTTGAAATTTCGTTTTTTACGTCCAAATCTCACATTTTATGCCAGAATTTAAAGATAAGTTTATGTTATGTCAAAATTCCAATTTAAATGTTAAGATAAATATATTCATTCCAAGGCAAAAGTATACATTCTAGGATAAACATGGAAGTTCTAAGATAAATGTTCACATTTGAAGGTAAAGAGGTGAATTGCATTAAAAAGTAGAAATTCCAAAATAAATATGGAAATTCCAAGATGAAAACAGGAACTCTAAGTTGAAAGCTACAATTTGAATTCAAGATAAATGTCAAAATTTTAAATCACAAATGTTAGCACAGTAGTAATATAGAACAAAAATTCCAGTTTTACTTCAAAATTTCAAGATAAGTGTTGAAATTTTTAAATAAATGTCAGAATTGGAAGATAAATGTTGAAATTTCATAAATTATGAAATGTTGGATATTATAAACTACTCAAAATCTGTAATTACAGTTCAATATTCAAATTCGAAGATACATGTTGAAATTATGAATGGTAGTATTTCAAAATAAGAGTTGGAATTCCTTTTTTACGTCAAACTATCACATTTTTTGTTGGAATTTAAAGATAACTTAATGTTGGAATTATAAGATAAACATTACACTTTTTTTTTAAAGATGATGAGACGAATGTATAATAATAACCCAATTAAAAACTCTGTAAAAATATATAATTTAAAAAACATAACTTTTTTTGAAATGAAATAAAAACCCCAAATAGTAGAAGTTTAGAATTTTCAAATTGCCATCTTGCATTTAATAAATAATCAGATCATTTCAATTTCAACTCAATAGAGATTAGGTGAAACTATAGCAAGAAAATTGTATAATTATAAACATAGATAGTGTTATTCATTTTCATCAAGTATTGGGTCAATATATTCAACAGATGTTGATTTCTATGAATGGCATGCTGCCTTTGTGTTATTTCGACCTCAGTGACTTAAACAATATGAATGACCACAAAGTATCTACCACATTTTTCCGTATTTAACATACATAAACCTTATGTTTATATGTAAATTCTTATTTTCAATGCATACCGACTGACGTACATAGGATGATACGTTAAAAGTCCCATTTCATCCTAGCTTAATATCTAAGATTCCTAGGGTTGCTACGGCGATTAGAATAACTATTTTTGAAGATTTCCGATTATATAAATATCCTATCGTAAGGGTGACACTGTATCTTAAATATTATTAGTGCTGCACGACTTGAAAAATAACTTAGAAATGCATCTTTTAAACTAGGCTGTAATTTCTAATATTTGGAAAGGAAGATGGCACTGCAAAGTCAGATTTGTGTGATAACCTAGCGTTACAAATATCCCATGTCCCCGGATTTTTCCACCGTCTCAAATTATTCCTACACTTTCCCCCATACAATATTCACCAACAAAATTCTAACCCCCGAAACAAATACGCAATCCTTTCGAATGTTACTTTGTAACAATAGAAAATTTCATTGAAACCAATTAAAAAAAAAACATATATTTTGTACGGCGAACGAAAATTACTAATTATCACAATTCGGATTATATAAAGTTATATGTATAATGAATCAAATATATGTAAACTAAATACATAAATATAGAAGAAAATTGTATAAAGATTGTTATGAACCAATTGTAAAAAAGTACTTCATGGAAGTAAAAATTTAAATAAATATGCCTAATGAAGAAACTCTCGTTTAACGTATACCAGTATATAGGCTCAGAACGGACCGGGTTTCTTTTTGCGAGCGTGCTTTACTGAACACGTTCCAGAACCTCAACGTTTCATCCCCAGCTCCGGTAACGATGGCTTCTCCGTCTGGCGAAAGGGCTAGGTAGAGCACCCTGTAAGAGTGCCCAGTCAGCTTTGCTACTTGAGTCAAACTTGGATACTTCCAAACTAGGATTTGGTTTTGCGAATATCCGTGAGTCGATACAAGTTCGGAACTGTGCTTAGACCAGGCTAGATTACATACTTGGGAACCTGAAACGAGATAAATTTAATTAAGTACAGTGACTATAAGGAAGTGTACATGATGAAGTAGTTGTATTTCGGGGAGAGGAGGGGGTAATTGTTGAATTTCGGGGGATTTCTGAATTTTCGGGTGAATTTCTGAATTTCGGGGCGAATTTCTGAATTTCGGGGCTAATTTTCAGGAGAAAAACTTTATATATGAAAATATGTGTGTGTATATTACAATATTCATTCGAAATGTATTGAACGTTCAAAAAACACTGTTACCAAACACCAGAACCGAAACACTAATCTCGACGCGCGTTTCAACGACCAAGTTGGCGTCTTCACGAGATGAAGTGCAACGATTCCATTCAAAATCAATATGATTATGACGAGAGAAAATCAGCATTCCGAACAGTTTACAGGTAACAAAAACATTAAAACTTGTATCCCAATGGGGCAGATTTTCAGAAATTGGCTTTCTTTCTTTACCACCCAAAGTTTGTGAATTGACATTAAGAAATACTCTGCACAGACGTATATAACCATTGATATTGGTGTTATTCGCATACCAGATGAATGGAGCAGCTTTAAATTTATCAGTACTATAAATTATGAAGAAAAAAGGCCCTTGAACCGAACCATGTGGCATACTATCTATAATTTGAAGTTCATGGACATGTTGGAAACAGTGTTTCAAGTAAGACAGTTACTATTGAGAGAGAGTTGGATTTTTAGTTTGAAAGATAGTGTTAAAATAACAGGGGCAAATATCACAGATGTCTTTGGTAGAATGACGATTTTCCTTTATTCAAACCTCTAATAACGCACGATGTCGACAGATAATCTTTTTCAAAGAAAACAATATTAGCATCTTTATTTATTTGAGATTGTTAACAACCTTGAAACTGCAATTGCTGGCGTAACAACTTATTACTATTCATGATAATTGCAATAACATCTGTACTTTATTCAAATGTTCTTTGGTTCAAGCCTGAAACTTACTTTAAGAATATCACTGATAAAAAAATCTACAAGAGTTAATGAGGAACAATTTTTATTTGTTAAATTGTACTAGAAAATAATATTGTCGAAATTTTTATCTCTCCCAACTACCTACACCTTAGTTTCTGATAAATGCTTGCCGGAAAACGACTACTTCCCCGGTTAATACCACGCTGGATATTGAATTATATTAGAATAGAAATTTATGAAAGATACCTTACAGAAGTTAGTCTCGTAGATGTACCAATACTCCAACAATTAGTAAATAGGATGTTTCTTCCCTGCATTGCGGCTTTGTTCACGAGATGGAGGGGTTTCTAGTTAATAATCTTTCTCTTAGACGAAGGTTTGAGCCGCGTTGAATCCCAGACACTTTGCTGTTTATATCGGATCTTTCCTACACTGATAAGAGGTAATACCTCTACACCAGCCTTTAGGTGATCCTATTCGAATAATTTCATCATAGTCCTGATGCTGGGTGAACAAGAAACGTCTGCGAGACTGACCTCTGTGAGATATACCTTGCATAAATGTCTGTTGGTATAATTCAATATCCAGCGTGGTATTAGCCTCGGAAGTAGCCGTTTTTCAGAACCTACGGTGTAGGTAGTTGGGAGAGATGAATATTTCGAAATATTTATTTTCTAGTACCTACGTATCCCTCCTCGATACAATCTTCAGAGACGTTTTCATCTCTGTTAAACTGTACAATAATTTTGGGTATTCCAACACGACTTCATAGTACGAACTTTTATTCAAAAGTAGAGAAAAACATTTAAGGTTTCTGGTTAATAGGTAACGTGATGGTGTCAGTGTGAATATGAATTGCACACAAATGTTTCGACTGAATACCTACTCATAATTTCATTGTAGTTTCTTTCTTAGTGGTGATGAATCTTTGATAACATATAAGAGATAATAGGAGGCTGCGATTAAATCTTTAGGACACCAATGAAATGGAATTTAATAATGGTCAATTGAATAAATGCTTTCTAAATGAATGTCTAACTGTCTTCAGGTGAAACTTTGAATATCAGTTGACCTTTGAAGCCATATTCATTAGGTGATATAGAATTGACAATAAACGAGTTTCCACAAATTGTATTGGACTATTACTCAGTTACTAGACATTGATGAATGCCCCCATGGAATTTTTTTGTCATCTAATAATAACAACTATATTACATAGAGAAAACTTTAAGAAAATGAATTGATACCTCTTCGTAGAAATCGCCGACAATACGCCAGCATAACGAACATCATGAATGACATAAAAAACGAGGCAAAATCTTCCACTATAGATATTCCAACCGGGGTGCCGCAGGGTGTTGTGCTGGGTCCGGTACTTTTCACTGAATATATGATGAAACTCATTTCTTAAGATTTCATAATGATCAAAAAACAAGATCACGATTTTTAAAGTGAATGATAACTTTTTTTTATTAAAAAAATAACAACAGCGAACAGTTCAAGACAGTTAAGACACTATAAATATAAAATATGTTGTTAGTCTCCCTAATCAGCAAAAAGCTGGTCTCGGGATTCACAAACATTCAACATGACAAGTGAAACACAAAAACTAGAAAACCACTACAAAGCTCATAGTAGTAACGCATCAGACATGTGCCTCGAGGCTCAGATGTTCTTTTAAACTATTGATGAATGAACTATAGCCCGGCAACTCACGTATATGGATAGGTAATTCATTGAAGACTTTCATAGTCTGTGAAAAGGATTGTATAATCCTTTTTTTCTTCTTACCAGGCTCAGGTGTAAGTCATTTCCACCCCTTGTATTATACTCATAAAACTGGTTGTTGATTAGTAGATCGTTGTTGGTTTTGATTCTTTAATTTTTTATTTTATATATGTTCTTGCATTGCTCAAGTTCATAAGTAGGTATTTAATTGGGTGTAGTTCGGTCTGTGAGAATAAATAATTTGTGTGGGTTCAAAATAATTTTTTTTTGATTTATTTTGTAGCGTTTGATTTTTTTAAAAATTAGTAATGCCACAATTACCCCATACGATTAACAGATACCTAAGATTCGCCAATATATATGCATTGTAAACCAAGTATCTATTATTGAAGCTCAAGTAACTGGAACACCTATATAGAGCTCCTAACATTGGTACAATTTTATCATTAATATGTTCTGTTTCCTGACCAGTTTAACTCATCATTTATTATGAGTCCCAAATACTTGGTTTTTGCAATATTCATTAAGGGTAAGTTATTTATTCTTAATTCAATATTTCCACAAATTCTATTTTTTGTTTAAATAGCATGTACACGGTTTTTGCAGAGTTCACCTCAAGTTTATTATGTGCAAGCCAATTTGAGTATTTAGAGAGATCTTCATTAACTGTGTTCTCCAGTAAATGTAAATCATATCCACTATACAAAAGGACCGTGTCATCGGCGAATGTGAAATACCTTCTCTTAAGCCCGGCCTGCCTCAGTGGCAGGACCATCAGTGTATACAACAGGGGTCCCAAAACGCTCCCTGTGGCACGCCACAATTATTTTTTATATACTCACTCATGCTCTCACCAACAACGACAAACTGGGATCTTTCCTTTAAAAATGTCTCAATGAGAGAATAAGTTTTGACCCTTATACCCATGCAACAGTTTGTTCAGAAGAACAGTATGGTCAACAATGTCAAATGTCTTTTTTAAATCAATGAACACTGCAATAACCATCCTTTTTTTATCAAAATAACTAGGACACACTTTTACTTTCGGGGTATTCACGTTGATACCACTAAGAGATGGAAACCCACTGTAACTTATTAAAAAAAAAAAGAAACATTGAATTTTTCAACAATATCATTCGATTTCAAGCCATTGCTCTCCCCAATGAAACATAAACAACAGATTAGACATTAAGGTTGTTTTTAGTTCAAATATGTTTATTAGTTATTTTACTTCATCGAAAATCTCGAAACAACATTATACATACCTTTAAGCCAAAAATCATTAGAAGATCATTAGGCCCTAAACACAGGAGAATGCATAATATTCATTCATTTGAGAACATTACCTCATCATTCATTTTCATGGTGTTATTAATTTATTTTCAAATAACTTCCTCATAATGAAAATGTAACTGAATCAAATCATTGAGGTATCGGCCACTACTTGAACTAATAGAATGCTTGTGGAATTAAAATTAATTAAGATCCTTATCATAGGGCCGCGATTTAGCATAAACACCTCGGTTTTCAATTTCTTTAATTATTTTAATTACTCGATAACTTTTATGTGCACTAGGCTTGATCAACATTTAATGTAAGTTGAAGTACTTTTATCCATTGCAGTTCATTTCCAAAGAAAGGGATCTTTTTTTTTTAAAAAAAAGGAATTGAAATTACTGAATTGACTGAAGTGATTATACTCTGAGTCGGAAAAAACTACGAAATTAGCTTCGACCTAGTTATCTCCAGCTGTGAAAGTTTATGTTCTTTGAGAAAATGAATATTGCGGGATTCATGAAATAATAGGTTTGTTTTAGTTCACAATTCTGTACAGTTCGATCATGTGCAGTTATTAAAATGTGTTTTGGTTCAGTTAGAATCGTTTTAGTATCGTTCACAAAGTGTTTTGGTTTTCTCCGAACTGATTCGGAACTATTCCAGAACGGTAATTATTAGTTCGTACATTTGAGTAGGGACTGTTTGGAACTTCGAATTTGATCTTGCGTACTAATAAAATTTTTCATTTGCGTTATTGTGGATTTTGGTAGTAACGTTTTCTTAATCTCATTTTTACCCGTATTTTAGTTGGGTGTTTCATTCGGTATTTTATCTACAATACTGTCTCCGGTAAAACAAAGAAACTCGGAGAGTTCATTGCGACCTGTATTATTATCACATCTTTTACAATTCCAAAAATTTATTCTTGTTAAGTTTTTGTCAAACTCATTAGTATAAGATTACAAAGAGAGGACAATATATTTTCAATTCAATTTTGGATAACCGGAGATAATGTCTTAGTTAATTACCGTTACTCTTATTTTTTCAAAAACATCATTAGACTTTAATTATATATTTGCTTAATTTTTCACTCTTGTCTATGAACTTAACTCAAAAGTACAATGATCATTATACCAGAGTAGAGGTACCTAACCTCCAATTTTTGTTTATACACTTGTCAGAATAATTTTTTTAATGTTTTGGTTTTTTACTTGTTGGGACCGTTCCAGAACTGTTCTGTGACTGTAATGTTCTGCGCATTGATTCGGCGTCGATACGGGACGGTTCAATAACATTTCGAAATACAGAACCAAAACAAACCTCTAATCTGCGAGGACTATAAAAACATGTCGTTCAGGCCAGACAAACTATCCAAACTGGTTTCAAAGAACAAATATTGCCTATTCTAGTATCGCTCAATGCACTTTGGAGAGCGGTCTTAGATTAAGTGGACATTGTTTAAAATTAATAGGGAACAGTCACAAATATCCTTTAAAATAAATGTGACTGACATATGACATGACGCTAGACGTTTGGACGCCTACGAAAATATTAAAATAGCACAGTTTGACCAGAGAACCACGAACAAGGTCCTATGTCAAAAAGTCCATTGTTTACTTTTTCATAAACTACTCACTAGAAAATTAGGGGTAAATTTTCCGGAAAAGTTGTACTAAACAAATCAGTGAAGTGTGAATGAAAATGAAGGAGAGGTATTATAAATACAGGAAGTTAAATATGGGGAATTTGTTCAGGTTGGTAAAATGTGCATCGAGAAGTGTTGCCGTGCTTATGTGTGAGAGATAATTATAGATAGATAATTATAAAACTTTTATATCATAGGTTGAATCATATCGCAGTTGACTAGTCTAGTGATCCAATGAAATATTTCCGAACTAGAGGTTGGTCGGGGCCAGAAAATCGATTGATTTCTTGCCATATCGAATTTTGCCATATTCAATTAAATTAGAAACTTCAGCAAAAAACAATCGTTTAAAAAAAACAAATTGATCATGGCACCAGTCAACCTATCCTTCAAAAGAAAAAAAAATTACCTGTATCAACACACTGCATGGGCTGCCCGGTCAGCGTGTTCCAGAACCTGATGCATCTGTCGGCTGTACCGCCTCCAGAGGCCAGCAGTCCGTGGTGGTGGGGCGACCAGGCGATGGCTTTTACCGCCGCCAAGTGGTCGGTGTAAGTCTGGACGGGGGACAGGGACTGCATGTTCCAGACGTACAGCCTGTTGTCGTTGCCGCCTGATGCGAGATACTGGTTATCCGGGGACCATTTCAGACCGCACACTTCCTGTCGATGGCCGACCAGCCGCCTCTCTGTCACGTTGGCTGAAAAACAGATATTCAATTTAAAAGAAAATGAATATATCGAAATATTCATCTGTCTCAACTATCTACACCGTAGGTTCTGGTAAATGCATACCGGAAAACAAATTACTTCCCCGGCTAATACCACGCTGGATATTGACTTATATCCGACAGACATTTTTGCAAGATACCCCACAGAGGTTAGTATCGCAGATGTTTGTCGTTCATTCAGCAGCAGGACCATACTGAAATTATTCGACTAGATCACCTACAGACCGATTTCGAGGTAGTACCTCTCATCAGTGCAGGAAAGACCTGACCCAAACAGCAGAGTGACTGGGACTGGAACCACGGTATATATTCCAATATGCATTAGAACTGAAATTATTATGAAATACATCGTTTTGGTTATTGGTTTCCGGGTTTTGCCGTGGTCTCTTTGATTACAATCTTCAAACTTTTCAACTGCAACAGTCATCTCCAGTGGCGTGCTCAACTGAACTGAAGCTCTCATTTCTGCCATGTCTTTTGTATTTTGTTTTTCCGCGCACTTTCTGCAATGGCGGGTTCGCGCGTAGTTCCCGCGCGATTTGGGTAACAAGGCTTCATTTTCGCGCCTTTAAATGCTGAGTGCGAGATCTTTGGTAGATACGTTCTCTCAACAGAACTTCAACAGCCCCAATGGAAAAGACCAGAAGAGCCAATACCAAAAAAAGCACGCCAAGTTCGATCACATGTCGACATTTCGCTCACTGTTTTCTATGATTACCTTGACGTCTTGCATCAGGAGTTTTTGCCAGATGGTCGAACGATCAATAAGGAGTATTATCTTGAAGTAATGTGTCGCTTGAGAGAAGTAATTGCTTTTTCGTAAAAGCGTGATCATGCATCAGCCACGGTACTCTCCAGATTTGACCCCCTGCAACTTTTTCTTGTGCCCAAGATTGAACAGTCCCATGAAAGGACATCGTTTTGCGACGATTGAGAAGATAAAAACCGAATAGCCGAGAGAGGTTAAGGACATACCAAAAAGTGCATATCAGAACTGCTTTGAAGATTGGAAAAAACGCTGGTACAAATGTATTATATCTGAGAAGTACTACACTGAAGGGGACAAAATGAAAATAATGGATAAATAAATATTTTTTGAGAAAAATGAAAATTCACCTTATTTTTTTAAGGGACCTCGTATATCATCAAAACATCAGATGTATTGTGATGATGTGTCTTGTGACACATCATTTTGAAGCTCCTGACGAATACTTCACAACCCTAGAATATGAAGTCAATATCTTCACCTACTACAAAATGTCGGAACATTTGATAATTTCCCGAAGATGAACAAATTAATATCGATATTTCTAGAAATATTCCTTTTTATCTGCCATATGGCAATTCCAACAATCCGATAAGGTTTGTTAAGTTATTTTTTGTTTATAAAAACGACAAAAAATGTCAGTACGACAATGAATATCATTGTTCAATTAGAATATTCTCATTTAGTTTTCGGTTTTACTGGTAGAAAGGTACCACGTCAACAATCTCTAAAATGGTCAATTCTCGTCCATTGGAAGAAACATTTTAAGCGATCTTCATTTACGGTGCGACGCGTAACTTTCACGAGACCGAAAGGATTTTCAACGAACGTTTTCCGAATCGTCTTGTCTGTAGAAAATATTTGTGGGAACTTTTACACAAATTCACAACTACCCGTAGTGTACATAGCAAAAAGCCCCCAGGTAATCCGTCCATTCCGGAAGAACAGCAAATAATTGGTGAGATGGTAGTAAATCCTGAACAGTCTACTTATTCCGTCGCGAATGTTTGTGAGATGTCTCCTTCTACTGTGTGGAGACTTTTGAAGAGGAATAGGAACCATCCATACAAAATTAAAATGGCACACCAATTAACTGAAGATGACCCTGATCGAAGAACAGAATTTTGCAAAGTCATGACGGAAACCATTGCAAGGCATCTTACCTATCTCCACAATATTTGTTTTAGTGACGGATGTACATTTTTTTAAACGGCAATGTTCACAGACAAAATTGTCGTTATTGGAGTGACACCAACCCTCACGTTTTCCGGGAAACACATACCCAATAGCCTGAAAAAAATTACGTTTGGGCAGGAATATTGGGAAGCCATATTGTAGGACATCTATTTATTGATCAAAATTTAACAGGGGAACTGTATTTGAATATGCTGGAAACTATTGTTGACCCACTTATCACTGGAATCGTCGAAGCGAATCCTAATGAATTCGATATAGATATTGTATTTCAACAAGATGGAGCACCACCACATTACTCCAGACAAGTAAGAAACTATTTGGATACTACTTCTTCCGGTCGTTGGATTGACCGTCGAGGTCCTACAGAATGGCCAGCCCGCTCGCAGGATTTGACATTTCTGGACTTTTTTATGGGGCTATTTGAAGAAGAAGGTGTACGAAACTGAACCTGCTTCAATATTGGATATACGGCAGAGAATAATAAATATTTGTAGAGATATTGACGTTACTGTGTTCGAAAATGTTCGGCGTGAAATATCGGATAGGCTGTTCATACGGCAAGAAGTTAAAGACAACCATTTTAGCCAAGGGCACAGCCAAGTTAGTCCAAAAGTTTGTCGATACCGGATCTGTCTGTAATGTGGAACACCAGCCACGGAAACCGATCAGAAATGAAGCAGTGGATGTCGCTGTTTTGGGACATGTTGAATTGGATCATACTCAAAGTACCCGTCAGCTTGCTGCAGCCTCAGGTGTCTCCCGTTCGTCCATAATACGGATATTAAAAGCCTATAAATTTCATCCGTACAAAATTAAATTAGTACAGGAACTCAATGAAGATGATCCTGATAGAAGGCTGCAATTTTGTGAACAACTGAGCCAGCTACTAATTGATGATCCGCACCTATCATTCAACACGTGCTTTTCCGATGAGAGTTTCCTGGACGGTGGATTGGAAGGAGAGGCCCCATCGAATGGTCTGCCAGGTCACCTGATTTATCGCCTTTAGACTTTTTCCTTTGGGGACACTTGAAAAATAAATGTTTTGCTACGCAGCCCGAGTCCATAGAAGATCTTCGCCAACGAATTACAGCAGAGTGCAGAAGTATAACACCTGATATGCTACAGAATGTTAGGAATAGATTTGAACAAAATCTGTATTATTGTATGGAAGCAAATGGGTCACATTTTCAGCACTTGCTGAAGTAGGATTCTACTAAGTCAATTACACATTTCAAAGTACTGGGTTGTAGTTGTTTTTCTTCATAATACCTACATGTTTGAGTGAAATACAACAAATTATGTATCATTGGAAAGATAATTTTGTGCCCTTTCAAATGATATATCACTCGACCCCACTTTCCATTTAAAATTTTAGGGTTGTTACTCACCCTCGCTAGGGGGTTGAAGGCACAGATAGAAAATACATCTAAAATGTGTCCCTCTCAAAAGCAAAATTGACCTGTCCGAGCATTTTTGCGTTAAGTTACAAAAAAAGGAGAAAAGCAAGGTGCATACTTTTCGTTGGACCACTCGATATGTTACACCCTGAAAAATTATTATGATACTCTGACAGAAAATTTTTCATTTCACTGACTTCCTGCATATAACGACAGTCATTTCAACAAGCATCAACTTGAAACTGAAAATGAGGCCTCGCTTTTTTTCAATACGTACAAATTTCACGAAGATCTGAGTGAATTTCGTAAAAAGCCACATGGTTGTAACAAACAATTTTTTGAACAAGATTTTTTCGTATTTACACAGAAAGAAGATACAGAGGCGTTTTCATATTATGAAATGGAATACTGAGTAACAAAATTGGAAGCTATAATTGTGACAAGCTGGATAATTCATGTTATGTACACCAAACCACCGATTAGATAACTATTTTTACAACAATACACGAAAGCACGTGTGGCGATAAAATGTTACGAACAAAACATTGATCATTAAATTATTCAACATACAGAGTGCGTCACAGTTTTACTAAAAAATATTGTTCCTTTATTAATAACTCACAAATATTTCCGCAGATTTGGATCAAACTACGGGTAGTTGTTATGAGTAACAAGGACCTTCTCTTCATGAAATTATATAGATTTCAATTCCAGTGGCGTCGCAGAGGGTAACTCGGATGATATTTGTTATAAAAAATCATTGCACGCCACTGTTTTCGCTAATAAATCTACTGATAATTTTATTTCAAATCCTTATATGTTTTTAAACATCGTAAATTTCCTTGAATGGTTAATAAATATTATTATTATTATAGTTAAACTTTATCGAATCAGAGTCAGTGGCGTAGAAATGGGGATTCCAAATCTCTCAAGTTGATATTCGACGCCATTTGAACAAACTTTTAAATGAAAATCTGTTTGAATAGTAGATGTAAGACGTATTCAACCTGCTAGTTAATTTATATTTTATTCGGAGAGTAGCATAGGTAATAATTGAAAAATAATTTAATCAGATGCTCAAACTGAGAACCTTGACTTGCAATACAAGCATCAAGTCTTCTCATCGTGTGCAGCACACTTTCAAACATTTCAGGGTGTTGCGTATGACATTAGAACAATGAAAAAATCTATTTCTCTAGTCATTTTCATCGTCAATTGGTGTCGCACAAACAAGCGATCTAATATATCCCCCAAAAAAAATCCAAAGGGTTCAAGTCTGGAGATCTAAGTGGCTATGGTTGAGGTCCCCCATGACCTATCAACTGGTGTACAAAAGTAGCAGTAAGATAATCACGAGCGGTTACACTGAAATGAGCAGGTACCTGTCGTGCATAAACCACATATTTCATCTTACTGGCAAAGGAATATCCTCTAACAATTCTGGCAATGTGCCTTCTAGAAATTGTCTATACGTCACACCATTGAGTCGAAGAGGAATTTTGTTCAATTATTTGAATGAACCACTGACAAAAATCCAATCGTCTAGGAAAATCTCACGGTAATAGTGCCTGCATCTGTTGCTTCTGGTATGGATATAATAAATATGA